TAACATTTGGCGAAGCACAGATCGATTGATGAAGAATCAACAAATGTATGAGGTACGAAGTGATTCACTCCAACCCCGTGTTGTCTGGTCTCGGAGCTCACACCGCTGCATGCGGCCTCTGCCCTGTGTCCCTTTGTGTCCCATGCTGGACAAGCTCCAACGAATCAACTTCGTTGATCGGCAATCTGCCGGTCGTTTGGTTCTGCACTGGTCTTTTAATGGTCTGGGGTGGCTGCATGGCAAAGGGGAAGGGGGACGGATGGGTACGGGGAGGGGGCGGGTTGCAAATTGATGGCAGTGGCAAACCAGGCTGGCCTGGGATCAACCATCAATCCTTGATCAACATTGAAGCATTGATCAAGACTTGATGTGATGATGGATAACGGATGGGCGGATCCGATATTAAACTAGCTTTAGGTCTTAGGTGAATCTCGTCGAGTCTGGCGCCAGCAATCACATTGTCGATTATGTATGCGTACGCATACTTCGTACTCTTCTTCGCGTCAACATTAGGGGCCAATGCATTGAACTTTGGCCACAACAGTGACTACACTATTGGATTTCCTCAATTCACGCCCTTTCACATTCACCGGTCTAATCTCCGCTCGGCGTACGACCAGGCCAGGCAAAGGGCGAGCTGGTCCGCAGGTCAGGCCAGGCTAGTCCCCAAGCGGAGTGAATAGTCGGGTCGAGCTTGGCTGACGTGCATGGTCCATGGTCCAAAATAGCCAGACTGGGCAGCTTCACACCAAGTCCACTGAAGGTCGTAGGATGAGAGCAAACTACTCAGTGGCAGTGACAGGCAAATGCCGAATGGGGCATTTGACGACCTTCCGTCTCTGCCTCTCTCTGTCTGTCACATCAACAAGTTCTTGAGTAGTGACAGGCAGTCCTGAAATATACATAGTAAACTAATAAACACTTGCACCTATCGTGCATATACTCACTCATGCATCACAGCTCGCCAGGCGGATGGTCGTTGCATGTTACAGCATCAGGAAAGACTAGCTGGTTTCCCCCGTTTTTCTTCTCCATCTCACTTTTATCAAGGTGCAGCAGGCAGGAGTCGGCAGTAGCGTATCCGAAAATACTGTGCGTCGATCGACAGATCCTCTCATACACCCACAGTAGCCCCTTCTCCCATCAAAAGGCGCAGATCAGGGAATGAGATGCATCAATGCCAGGCTTCGGTAACCGCATCAACCGCGTACGTGAGATGTTGTTCGGTATATAATGCCTTTTGTCCAGGCTTCGTATGAGACAAGACTGTCTGCTGAGAGCTTTCCCGGCTGCTGTTGCTGGACCGTCCGATTTTCGGCGATCTCGATCGACACCTCATCTGGGGATATGCTCGCTGGCCTGGTGTGTCCAGACGTTCGGGCCCAGGACCCCGATCCTGAAATACATTAAAACTTACCTTCGTACACAGGTAGACATCGCCGATTTGGAATCAGATGCAATAATGATGCCACCAATGGCATGGAATAATCTTAGTAGGAACCTGAGTCCGTGACAACATGAACAAAGTTGGGAACATGAGACGGTCGGGTCGGATGGCGACAATGAGCCGAGCACGACCCTCCTGAGTTCACAGCGACCATCAATCGACCACGGTTAAAGGACGAGCCACGAATCAATGAATCTGCCGTTGGACGGACAAATAATGGTTCCGAGGTCTGCCTATTTTTTGCTGCCTCGGAGCCATGCCATTGTGCTGCTGTCATCGGCAGTGAACGATGGACAAACATGGTCCAAATTAAGTGGCGTCCCTCCCGCCACGAAGGTGGAACTGAGACGAAGCAACGAGTAAGTTGATCCTTTTTCTGGCCCCTCACAAGTGGTCATATTTGAGGTGATTCGATTCCCCATTTTCCTTTTTCCCCTTCCTCTGATTTTTACTAGTTCACACTACGAAGTACGAAGTACTAGTTTCCTTGTGGATAGTGATTATTCGGGGCAAACAGTTAAAACCCCAATGATACACTACTTCGTACAGCATAATAAATTTGACGTAACTTCCACGACCACCTCTACATCCTTGGACGATAGTCTTCACGAAAAAGCCAGCTAGCTGTACAACTTTGAATCTGTTGCATCCCCACTGCAGAGCTTCAGCACAGCTAAGGCCAGTCGTTCACAGTGCTCTTTACCAGAACGGGCTGAAAGAGAGAAGGAGAAGAAGTAAATGTAAAGAGAAATCGAGGAAAATCGAGTCTCGTATTTTATCGGAATTGATGCGGGACTATGCAAGCTCTCCTTCGAACTTCGTAGTTTACAAGCAGAGAGTCATGCTTTGATTGCTAGTTCATGTCTGGTGATGTACGATGCGGTCACAGCCAGCCAGGCATCCTGGACGCTGGAGTCGTCACCGCAATCTCGATACTTTTTCTGGAGCCACCATGTTTCAACGTGTGCCCATTCCTTTCCCAGTTTAGATTTTTTTTTTTTTAAGCCCAAGCTGTCGATCCTGTCTTGGAGAGTCCTCTCCTGGCTTCGCTCTCGATATAATTCCGCCATTCGGAGAGATTTGCTCAAATGCTGAGATAATTTTGGTCAAAATGTCTCTCCTATTTCTGTTCCGTCCCCTGCCACTGTCTTTTCGTCACCAACAAGTGAGAAAGATTTGGGGGGAGGGGAGAGGAAGAAACGCCCCCATTCCTTTTTTTCGGCGTAGGAGGAGGGAAAAAAAACTTGCTCTCACCAAGCCATCCCATACTCCGTCATCTTCCGGGGTACCCCGTACCTTGCTTCACACTTCTGTAACTTCATACTCCCCACGCTACTGCTGGTGTGTCCAGATGCGTCGGCGCCCACTCCGTCCAGCTCTGTTACCGCCGCCACGACCGATTTGATCTCTGATCGTCACGCTCCCTTGCTTCCTGACAAAGGGGGGCGGTCCCGGGATCTGCTCATCCTGCCAACGTCGACCCCTGTGATAATAGCCATCAATGATCTGTCTCTCTTTTCCTTTGATCACGCGAAACGTAGTTTACAAGTAGAGCTCGGAGGACGCTCCAAATGTGTTCCTAGTTTCCAACCTTGTATCCTTCGTACTCATAACACCGAGGCGCTTGGCTTTTCCCTTGCTCTGTATTACCGGTGATCCTCGAAAGGGAGCGGAAACGCCTCGGGCGGTGCTTGGGATATTTGTAAAGTGGTTAAAAAGGTTTGAGAAGAGGAAATTTTGGGACACCAATGCAATGCGACGATTCGCACAATGAGGGTATCCCCGAGGTCGTTTGTTGGATTAACCCTACAGCCAATGGAGAGAGTTGATGCAGGAGGGTACGTCAGGAATACAACCTAAACAAAATCACGATTTTTTTGTTTAGTTTTGGTACACTTACGCGCCATCTATTTTCGGCGGTGACGATGACGGTGACGAAGCCAACGAGCTGGATTGAAAAGTACTTCCCAGAGGCATTAAGATTACAATGGCTGGCTGGCCCCTTGTGCACAGGTACGAAGGTACGACTCCGAGGTACGCGTAAATGCGAGCTCCTGTCACCTTGACTGCCGACCAAGGAGAGCTGCGGAGTACATCCACTGCGACACTACTCTGTTCAGGGACGAAGTTTAAGGTGGAGTGGAGTGCTGCCAGCTGGTTGGTAATGCCCCCAGTCAGACAGTCAGAGGTACCTCCGTACCTGTGTACGCGGCGAAATACTGGAGCTTCAGTGCTCCCCACGACTTTGGGCTTCGTACGAAGCACCAGCGCACGCATACGGACCACGTATTAATGTGATCCGACTACCGCGCCGAAAGTGACTTCAAGCTGTGTAAATCTGGTTTGACATGATCCCCATTGATACAATTGTACCAGTGATCCATGGATGCAAATCCTCTCCCTGTTGCTAAAACAGCTCCAGCCAGACCCTTCAAACGTTATTTGGGGGCTCATACTTCGTACGAGATCTGCAACCAAAAGGACCCGGTTCCCTTCCTTTTTGCTCTCACACGCTCTCTTCTCATCCTCATCTCTCTTGAGATGTTGCCCCTTCATTCCAAGGCCAGCCGGTTCCGGTTTCCGTCTGGGATCCATCAAGGTCCCGTCCAATGTCGAGGTCCTGTCAAAACGATCCATCAATGTACTTGTAGCTTGAGCTTTGTGCACTAAGTAGTAATACTGGTACGACAAAGTGGTTTAGCCTCTGTCGTAGCACTATCGCCTCCCCCAACTATTATTATCATCTCGGCTCCCTGTTCCGCTCTCAACGGAGTCAGTTGTGCGGTACCGATCACCAGGAAAGTCTGTGCTCCGCTGGTCACCGCCACCCATGCTTTTCCAAGACAATCCCTGTCCCCTGTTCTGCCCTGTTGTGCCCTCCGGGACCACGCCGACCAGCGAGACCAGCGAGACCAACCATGGTCGCCTTAGTCTAAATACCGCCTTTCAACCCTGCCCTTGCCCCTACTTGCAGTCGGGATGTGCCCATTACCCACCCTACCCTCGTCTGGCGTGCCCTACTAGTCTCAACCTAAACCACCTCCCTCCTCCAACCCACTTATACGTACTCGCTCACTCCGACACTCCGTCACTCGCTCGCTCACGGACTTGCATCCTGTTTCTCTTCTCAACCGCTTTCTTCGTCCCTCAGACCTTACACTCATTTCCCAGATCTCTCTCCTGGAATGCTCCTCGGCTCTGTCGAAAAAGCTTGACGAATTGTGATTAGACCTGTCCTGGGGATCCTACATGCGAATTAAGGAATGAATGAGGAAACAACACAGCAAAAGAGCCTAGAATACGACCGCTCCTCTCGACGACTTACATCCGCATCTTGAATGTCGCACCAGAAGCCCGCCATTCGAATCCTCAACTGCGCTTCTCGACTTTCACCACTTATCTCTGGGCGGTTAAAGATTGAACAAGGCGGCCCTATTTCCACTCGCATCATGGGCTCAACTCGCATGGTTTTATGATAATCACCCCTCGCCCACCGCCGACTTCATCCTCCCAACACCTGGCCCTCGTGCGGGCCAGCGAAGCTCCCAGTACGATGGCCGCAAGCCTGGCCATTCCTCCCGGCGGTAGCAGCAGTAGTAGCCATGACATCTTCCCGCGCAATACCGACGGCACCGACGTTCCCAGGTGGCTAGACGACAACGATGTCTTCTTTCTCAAGCTGACGTCGCTGACTTGCTCGTCCGTCAGTGTCGTGTTTGCTCTGGTGGCATTCTACTGGTTTACGCGAATGAGACGCAGCTTCCGTCACGAGTAAGTTTGTGTGTTTGGTTGCGTGTTACGCTGTGTTGCGTGAGGTGCAGCACGGTTATGACGAGCATGCCAAGCTTGAGCTTCTAACCTTTTTTTTTTTTTCCGTCACAGCCTCATCATGCTTCTTATACAGAGCGACATGTTCAAGTCACTCTGGTTTATGATATTCGCCGTCGTCGATTTCGTACATGGCCCCGTACAATCCTCGTCGGCGTTTTGCCAAGCCAGCGGCTTCTTCCTAACCGTCGGTGTCGAGGCGTCAGATGTTGCTGTGCTCCTTATCGCCATTCACACCGCCCTCTACATCTTTAGGCCAAAACGCGCCAACGGCGAATATGGCTTATACCCGTACCGCCCCTACGCTTATGCCGCCTTCTTCTGCTTCCCCGTCCTCATGGCATCTCTTGCTTTTATTCACAAGCCCTACGGCTACGTGAACCTCGGCGAGAACTGCTTCTTACCTATCGAACCTTCTTGGCCGCGGACCGTGCTGAGCTGGGTTCCCCGTTATGTCATCTTCCTCGCGATCCTCTTCATATACGCTTGTATATATTTATATGTTTCGTTTCTTATGAGGCGGTTCAACCGCATCAACCTAAAGAGGAACCAAGCGAACTACGCATTTACGCAATTACGCGAACCCGAATCGCCGGCTCCGACCCCGCCGGCGACGACATATCAGATCTCCTCACTGCCGTCCTCAAGGAGGGGGTCGGCCTTTGATCACACTTGCCGAGATCGACAAAACTCGGTATCCACCTTTAGCTCGGTAAAGTTCGACCTAGCAAGAGTTCAGTATGACGCGCCGGCCCCAACTCAGCGGCACCAATTCCCAACAAAGTGGAAATGGCCGAACTCCAACGCCACCGATCCACCGACTCGGCCGGCATCGAGACCCGCCGACAATTTATCCGACATTGAGTCTGTCTCACCCACAACGATCGTCGACTTCGAAGGTGGAGGCATCAATTCTCCACGGACCCCCGACACTTTACTATCGCGCGATGGAGACGGACTCCCTCTTTCGATATTTGCGGCAGATAATACGTCGACCGCCGCCCTCAACCAACAACCCGCCCGAATCATGTCCGTCGGAAACATATCCACAACCACACGCGACGGCGCCGCCGCGGGCCGCGCATCCTACAGCTCGACGACATCCTCGTCGGCCCTCTTCGCCGAAACCGATGCCGACGTATCCGGCATGGCCAAGACGCGCGAAAAGATCCGCCACCAACTCCGCCTCCTCTTCATCTACCCTCTCGTATACATGGTCGTCTGGCTCGTCCCCTTCATCTCGCACATCCTCACGTGGGAAGACGACGACGACCTGGTGCCGTTCGGGGTGCTCGTGCTCAGCCTCATGAGCTTGTGCATCCAGGGTGCCGTGAACGCGCTGCTGTTTTCGATCCGAGAGAAGCCGTGGAGGCATGTGAACAAGACGAAGCTGACGGGGTCCGGGACGTCGTCGTGGAAGTTTGGGGCTGCTCCGAGGAGGAGGCAACCCACTGTGGGGAGGACGAGGGAGGAGATGCTTGTTGATGGGCGGATTGCGCGGCGGAGGCTTGATGTGGAGATTGCGGAGAGGAGGTTGAAGATGCCGTTGGGGAAGAGGAGGAGTCGGCAGTGGTGGGATGTGGTGGATGTGGAGCCCCCCAAGGATATGGGGTCCTATGATGAGGAGGCGTTGGTTGGAAGGTGATTGTGGACTGGCGTTCTATTCTATTTTCCCCCTGTATACTACCATACCGGGGTTTTCTTTTGTTATTGTTACAATATCCATTCCCGGGAGACACTTGGAGAGTTCACCAAGACTGGGGATCCCGCATTATGGGCTTGCATCTCAAGGCATGGACGCTAAACTATACCCATTGGAGAACACAGGGGCGGGCTGGGGCGGGTTCGGCGGGATCACATCGGGACGGGGAACACAGAATTTGGCAGGTTTGGGGGCATCTATGACACCAAGGACGACCAAAGGAGGATCGTCGCTAGACTCTGGGCATCATCAGCATTGGGCAGGGGCGTTTTTTGTGAACATTTTTATTTCATGGCATCACTACCCTTTTTTTCTCTTTTCTTTCTTTCTTTTTGATGGGAAGGGGATAACTCGGCTCTCGGTATTGGATAAGGAACGGTAATCATGTTGGCATACAATAACCACGGCGTTTTGGGGGGGGAGAACGAGCATGGCATAGTACAAGGTTTGTATAACCAACTCGGAGCATTGATATATCCGTGGATATTCTGCAGTTAAGGAGCACTTTGGCGAGGGATGTCCCCTTCATGTTATATACATTTTCTATCAAATGCTGTAGCTCTATCATAGATGTCTCTTCCACTATCTTCTCGTGCAACAACGATCAGCCTCATAAATAAAAGGGATCGGAAAATTCAAGTATCGTACTTCTAATTATATCCCCTCTATATCCAAGAAAGAAACAAAAAAAAAAAAAACTTATCTTTCCAGTTTTACTTATTCCTCTTCCAGGAATCGCACAAACGCCTTCGCTATCGCAACCCCATCATGCTCATTACCCACCCTCTTCATGGCGTCCCCATAAAGCTCATCCGAGAAAGCGCCGGCGTCATGTCTCCTCTCGCAAATTTCTCGGACGATCTCCTCGTTAAACTCAGGATGGCCCTGGACCGAGATGTACCGCTTGGGCACATACATAGCTTGTACGGGGCAAAAAGCCGTAGAAGCGAGTTGGATGGCATCGGCCGGGAAGGCCTTTACCTCATCGCGGTGCATTTGCTGGATTCTCTGTGTTTATTATCATCCCCTCATTAGCATTTCGTCTTTTTCCTTTGTCTTTCACGTTTTCGCCATTCTTCCTCTCTTCCAAGTATAACAGACATATCCAAACTCACCATCTTCCCCAAGCCAAAGAGCTTCTTCCCTTCCTCACTCAACTCAACATCCGTAACGGCCACCTCCCACCCCTTCTCACTCTGCCCCACACCGACACCCAAGGCCCTTCCCAGAATCTGATGACCGAAACACACCCCTACGACTCTCACCCTATTCGTCTCGAGAGCCTTGCGAGTATAATCCACCAAATCTCGGATCCATTCGTCGTCTAGGTACGCTGAGTGCTTAGATCCCGTAATGAGGATGGCGTCGATGTCGGAGAGGGAGGGGTAGGCGGAGGCGTCGTTGACGATGTGGTGGCGGGTGATGGTGAAGCGGGCTGCTACGGGCGTGGGGGACGTGGCGGAGGTGAGGAGGGAGGTGAAGAGGCCGGTGTAGTGGGAGTAGCGGGCGGCTGTTTGGGGTTGGGGCATGTCGGCCTCAAGAATGGCAAGGCGGATGGGGGCCATTTTGGGGGATGGTGGGGGTGGGTTTAGGACGGGGGGGTTGGTGGTTTTTGAGGATAGGGGCGATGGTATTGAGAAGGATTCAGATTGATGGCTCAGCGAATGGTCAAGGGTGTTGAGAGTTTAAGATTATTGATGCGATGAAATGAGGATGGATGTGGATGTGGATGTGGATGTGATGGTGGCGGGGTCGAATTGAATTGAGATCGATTGATGAGATGAGCGGAGCAACCCCGCCATGACTGAGTCAGTCCAAATCTAAGAAGCTCGATTAACTTCAAGCTGGACCTGAGACTTTGATGAGCAAATCTATTCTTCTTTCCCAACCATCTACATCGATTCACACAACAATGTCGCCAAAACCGAGCCTGCGAGCTTTCCTCTCTCTCGCTCGTGCGAAGCTCTACGCTTCCCCAACCCAGCGAGAGTTGCCTTTGACCCTGGTAGCCGGGAACGAATCGGCAGGTAAGTAAACATGAAGAGTGCCGAATTTTCTCACTTACAAGAGATCGAGAAATCTCACTACTTTTCCTCTTTCTCTTTTTATTTTATTCTCATTTTTTCTCACCCTTCTAGATCTCGACTCGCTGTGCTCGGCCGTCATCTTCGCCTATCTCCACACAATAAACGCCCAAACCCGAAAAATCTACATTCCCATCTCCAATCTTCCTCGTGATGACCTCCCTCTCCGATCCGAGATGACCGCCGTGTTGGCCCGTGCCGGCCTTGAGCCCCGCGACCTTCTCACCCTGGACGATTTACCCCAGGGCGGCCAGAACGCCGCTTCGTCCGACGACTTATCTTTGTATCTCGTCGACCACAACAGCCCCACGGGTATTATCAAGGAACGCTACGGCACGCGCATCGTCGGATGCGTCGACCACCACGCCGACGAGAACTTCGTGTCCAAGGACGTGCAACCCCGTGTCATCGAGACGAGCGGGAGCTGCGTGAGTCTCATCGTCGAGCATTGCCGCGAAGCTTGGGATTCTCTGGCTCGAGAGGCGAAGGTGTCACAAGACGCCGCCGAGGCCGATAAGAGCATGGCACTCATGGCCCTGGGCGTCATCTTCTCCGACACGGTCAATCTTCGCGCAAAGGACAGGGTTACGCCTTGGGACGTCCGCGCCGTGGAGTACCTCGAGGAGAAGCTCGGTGGGACCGGCTATGACAGGGAGAAGTACTGTGATGAGATACATAGGGTGAGGAGGGATCTCGACGGGCTATCTTTAAGAGACATCTTTAGGAAGGATTACAAGGAGTGGGTCGAAGGTGGCATGAAGCTGGGGACATCTGCTGTCGTTCAAAATTTTGATTACCTGCTCGGTAGGGCCGGTGGTTCGGCCGATGTCCTGATGGGAGAGCTCGGTAAATGGGCTGAGGAAAAGGGTCTCGATCTCGTGTCCGTAATGACGTTGGCCACGCACGACGGACGGTATGAGAGGGAGGTGTTGCTCTGGGGACGGAATGAGAAGGCCGTTGAGGCTTCGAGAGACTTTGAAAAGGCTGAACAGGCGGAACTTGACTTGCATTCGTTTAGGGACGGGCTGCTGGATCTTGATGCGCATGGTCAATGGGGGAAAGCATGGAAGCAGGGGAATTTAAAGCATAGTCGCAAGCAGGTTGCACCTATGATCCGCGACGCGATGAGAAGAGCGTGAGAAAAAAAATATAAAGAGAAAAGAGAAGGGGAAAACCCACCTAGAAAGGACGGTAGTCCAACGCAGGTATAGAGAAAACCCGAGTTGAGGCCTAATAAGCTGTTTATTATTGGAAATACAGGGGATCAATGTCTCTCTGTCTAATTTAATCTGAGTTATACAGTCTACTAATACAATATTTCTGCCAGCAAGTTTATTCGCTGTTGACATTCTCCTCCATTCTTGTCATTTTGCCAGTCAGGGTATGCTGCTCCCTCACATACCGCAGCGTGTTAACTAAGGTGACAAGCTCTCTATCCCGATGTCTCTCGTACAAGATCTGCGCCCTGCTCTGCTTCCATTCGTTAGGAGGCCCGATATAGTTCGAGCTGAGCCACTGAGCTTCACCGCTCAAGACCCTGTCAGCCGTCTCGATAGCCGTGGCGTCGGCGACTGATACACATTTGAGAATGGCGTTATACACGGGATCCGTTGGGAACACCGCCGGGTCCTCGAACTGCATATCGTGAACGCAGGTTCGGAGCGCCTCCAGACACACAGCTATGTTTTTCGACGACGCCGCAATCTCGAATAAGGCAGCGTAGAGGCTCTCGGAGCGGGCACGTCGAAATCGTGGTGGGAGACGCCACGTGTCCCAGAAGCGACTCCAGTTACCCTGGATGGCGTAGGCTTGCATGAGTCGTATGAGTTGGGGTTCCTCGGGGCAAGGGAGACGCTTGATGATCAGGAGCGACTCGACGTTCTCCTGGGCTTTGGCGAGGATCGGGCTCTTAGACCCGGAGCGAGCGATGGACTCGATGAGGGTGATGAGAATCTCGTTGTTGAGAATATCCTTGTTCTGATCGGACACGATTCGGATGACATCTGCTGCGAGACTGACTTGCTCCTTAGCATGAGCTTCGCCGAGGGACGGCGAGAAGATGGAGCGGAGGACAGCGGGATATTGCGCATCGCTCGGATCGAGCTGGAAAGACAAGACCTTGCGCCGAGCCTCATTTAGAGGGCTGAACGGCGTAAGAAGACTCTCGTCTGAGGATTCACCGTGAACAAGGCGTTGAGTAGAATAGGACCGCTTCTGCCCGGGGAGCGACTCCGACGGGTGCGGCTTTGCAGCAGTCGCCATGCCCTTTGGCGGCGCCGATGTAAAAGACTGTCTCTGCCTTTGATTCCTCGCCAAGCTGTCGAGCCAGAGTTTCTCGAGATTCAGCTCCGTACGACGCGACTCCGTCATGACTTGTAGAACAATTGTACACCCTGTCTCCACGGCGCTATTCCCGAAGCCGGATAACTGACCGGATTCATCGAAACGCGCAGTCTCGTTGACTTCGGCGCCAACCATGCCGAGGTTAACGCAGATCCAGCCAGTCGTGATACCGTCGTCGGCCCCAGCTCTCGAAATCGTATTAGTCCCGAGTAGCTTCGCTTTGCGCCGCATCCGGCGGAGCTTCGTCCTGAGTTCACCCGGACCGATGAGGCCGTCTGCTTCCGCTTCCAGTTTGTAGTTGTATCGCAGCCATCGCACTAGGCGGGCCGACGCAACGTGTAGGTGCCTCTCGCTTCGAGCGGTGCCGAAAAGCATGAGCAGATTGTGGCCAATTGCGGGCGGAGGATCAAAGTCTCGCAGGTCTAGCAGGTTCAAATCGTCTAGGCCCATCTCTTCGTATATATATTTCATCAATGGTTGGAGGAGCGGAGGAGAATCGGCGGGTAGGGGCGGTAGTGGTGCTGCTTCTTGCACGGGAGGATGGCTTGGAGGCTCGACCTGGAGATACCACGGGGTGTCTGTCGATCCTGCAGTAGACTCAGGGGGAGCATTGCCCGTGGTTGGTTTCTGGAGCTCGGCGTCCTCGGTCGGTGTGTCTTTGGGATTCGATGTCCTCGTCGGGAGCGAGGAGCTCAAGGACCGTGTCGCCGTCAATTTGGAAGGTGTGCACGAGGCCTGGATTGTTGGATGGCGGCTAGCGAAGCGCATTGAGGAGCTTAGGATAGCTCTCGAGCATAGCCGGGTCTGTAAAGACCCCAGAGAGGTCGAAAACGGTCGAGCAGCCATGGTGGAATGAATAACAGGGCCGTCGACCGAGTGAAGTGGCGATGGGTTTCGGCACGCTCCTCTCTCAAGTCTCAAGACACCCAAGATAAAACCCGCCCCCCATCATTTGATCCATCAATTGATCCATCCACGAAAATTCCACTTCGGCCGACGGGGAAGGAGCTTTGACCACCATGCCAGCTGCCAGCTGTGGAGTAAATTACTCAACTGACACGTGACAATCCGCGAATGAGAATCTCGAGATTTGCGCAGTGACAGAAGATTGAAGATTGAATCGAAGGGAAAATTTTTGGAAATCCTCAGTCGAGTCGTGCTAGAAGAATCGCCTCTATCCCCAAGTACCTCAATTCTCGGGGGAACGTCTTCAACAATACCCATCCTTCCGCCATCGTCTTTCTTCTCAACGCTCCTTTAGGGAAGACCGACTTGTTTTACTTTTACCCATAGCCATGTTCTTTTATTAATTGGTACTTTAATTACTCTAATCTGGCGACCGCCAAACCTCTCCTGTTCCTTTTCCCTCGCGTGTTCACGCGGTTGATCGCGTGAGGCAAGATGCTTCTCCGACACGGCCCTCGGCCTTCCCTCAATCGGATAAGGAACCTGCGATATGTATCGCCGACCACTGCACGACGCTCCTCTGCAATTTACCACACTTTAGGCCCGGCGAGGACCGCTTTGCCAGCAAGGCAAGATGGCCAACCCTGGAGTGGCTCCAATAATGGCGCGAGGACTCTAGCCACCGCAGTTGATGGTAGCAGCCTCTTCGCCCAAGGTCCATTCGAACCGATATCCTCATCCCATTCGCCTCTATCTAGTTTCGACACACCTGCTTCCAGTCCTTACTACGAACTCCGTCCCTTCAATGTCTCTCAACCTCTCAAAATCGATGATCCTGCGCCCAGCATACAAAGGTTGCGGATGAATCGGCAAGGCATCTCCGGAGATGTTGAAGAGCTGATTGCGGTATTCAATGCGTGTCTTCAGGTCCATAAGCTCGACCGGGCGCAACTAGTCCTCAAGCGACTCGGCCAATTCGATGAATTCCCCCAAGAGCAACTAATCATGCTCCATAACCTTTATCTACGGACGTCTCTCGACCAGATGCGTATGTCCCCCGATAAGACCGCATTAGAGGAGCTCCATAAGTGGTACGAACTTCAAATTCGACGATCGGGACTTCCTCAGACTGCCGAAACGATTGCTTGCATGCTCAAGGCGTCCATCTTGTCTCAGCGAGGTGCTAGGTTGAGCCGGTCAGTCGCACGATACATGGGGATGGCTCCAGGCGATGCGGGACTGGAGGTGCTTTCGATGGCGGACATCCTGTCCGATCAAGATCTCGCCGTTATTACAGACATTTGCCCGACTTATAACGTGGTGGTTGAAGAAGACGCTACAGCTGTTGAGGCGGATGCGGCCATACACCAACACCAATCTTCCAACGACATCGCGGCGAGCGAGATGCCCGACGTTATGCCTACACCTCAGAAAGGTCTCAGTCTCAAACTTGTCCAACAGACTCTTTCTTTATTTGATGAGATTCCTCAGGGTTGCGATATCTCTAGCTTGAGTGTCAAAGAGCGCAAAGAAATCCAAAGCAGGCTAGAACGTGACTGCGTTGATGCGGCAGTTCAGCGATGGAGAGAGGAGAACGAATCGCTCCAGAAGATGGGCCTTAATTCCATCATCGGACGCGAGAGCTTAGGTTCTCGCATGTATGATTGGCAGTGCGCGCTTGAGGATAGGCTGAAGGAAGAGCTCGTCAAGGTTGAGATTGCGGAAACGAAGACGGAGAAGAAGCGTGAAGAGGATTTTGATAGGTGTCTCTACGGGCCCTTCCTCCGACAATCTACCCCGTCGCGACTTGCTGCGGTTACCATCCTTGGAACGCTGAACGCCGTGTCTATTATGGGCGTGGAAAAGGGAGCGAAGCTTGCCGCGACCATCAACGGCATCGCAAAACTTGTTGAAGAAGACATCCGCGAGCAGACAGCAAGGAAGGATAATACTTCGTCGAGTCAGAAGAGGCGTTTACGACATGTCCAGGCTGTCCTTCGAACCGCCGAGTCAACCGAAGCCACGGACGCTATTGAGCCACCGGAGGCGATAGTATCGCCTACGCCGACAAATGTTGAAAGCCCCAGTGCCAAACCGTGGCCGACCTCTATCCGTGCCAAAGTCGGTGCTGCGCTGCTATCCGCCCTGATCGATACGGCCAAGATCAAAGTTTACCGGAAGCACCCCGAGACCAAGGAAACGATTAGCCAATACCAGCGCGCGTTCCACCATACTAAGAAGCTTAGCAAGGGAAAGAAGGTCGGCATGCTCTTCGTGCATGATGATCTTGTGGAACTGTTGAAGAAAGAACCCAAGGGAAACTTCTTGGCTAAGCATCTTCCTATGGTTGTCGAGCCTGAGCCCTGGTCTAAGTTTTTGAAGGGCGCTTTCTTGGAGACTTCCGCCAACCTTGTCCGACTAAAGTTGGGAGAGAAGGATCAGCGAATGTATACCGAGGCTGCCATTGCTAGGGGTGATCTGGACCAAATGCTGAAGGGCCTGGACGTACTAGGCAAGACCGCGTGGCGGATCAACAACCCCGTCCTCAACGTCATGCTCCAGGCATGGAACCAGGGAGATGAGATTGCTAGCATTCCCGCCCTCAACCCCGACGTCTCGGTTCCCGCCGAACCCGAGACTGATGACCGTCAGGCTCGCACCGCATGGCACCGTGCTGTTGTCGCCGCCGAGAACAAGAAGTCCGGTTTCCACTCGGTCCGCTGCTTTACTAACCTGCAGCTCGAGGTTGCACGAGCTTACCGCAACCAAACCTTCTACTTCCCCCACAACATCGATTTCCGCGGCCGAGCTTATCCCCTACCTACCTACCTCAACCACATGGGTGCCGACCACGTCCGTGGACTTCTTCGGTTCGGCAAAGGCAAGGAGCTTGGTGAGCATGGTCTTCGTTGGCTCAAGATACACCTTGCCAACGTGTATGGTTTCAGCAAGGCAAGCCTAAACGAGCGAGAGGCCTTCACGGAACAGCATCTGAGGAACGTGTTTGATTCGGCCACAAACCCGCTCAACGGCTCGCGGTGGTGGCTCGAGGGCGAAGACCCGTGGCAGTGTCTCGCAGCTTGTTTCGAGCTCAAGGCCGCTTTGGAGTCGCCCGATCCCAAGAAGTTCGTTTCTACTCTCCCAGTCCACCAGGACGGCACCTGCAATGGTCTTCAGCACTATGCCGCCCTTGGAGGTGATACCTGGGGTGCGCAGCAAGTCAATCTCGAGCCAGGTGAACGACCAGCCGATGTGTACTCGGCCGTGGCCAACCTCGTCATCGACTTGATTGAGAAGGACTGTCAGCAGGACAACCCCTTCGCCAAAGCGGTGCGCGGGAAGATCACCCGCAAGGTTGTCAAGCAGACGGTCATGACCAATGTCTACGGTGTTACTTTTGCTGGCGCTAAGAAGCAGGTATGCAAGCAGTTGGATGCCGCCTACCCTACCTTGGAAGCCGACAGCGGATTCCCTGCCATCCTACTCGCCAGCTACATCGCGCACCACATCTTCAAGGCCATGTCCACTATGTTCAAGGGAGCGCACGAGATCCAGACCTGGCTCGGAGAAGTCGGCGGTCGAGTTTGCAATGCTCTTATGCCGGAGCAGCTCGAACGTATCGCAGCCAACGAGGATTCTTCCAAGGCCACCAAAGCACGATCGCGAGGCCGGAAGACGCCGCGGTCTGCGCTTGACGAACTGAGCGATCAATTTAAGAATACCATTGTCTGGACGACGCCCCTCCGCATGCCCGTCGCTCAGCCGTACCGAAAGAGCGTCACACGAGTTATCCCTACCTGCATCCAAGATCTGTCGCTTACCGTCCCCGATTTGGCCGATCCTGTCAACCGTCGCAAGCAGCTCCAGGCTTTCCCTCCCAACTTTATCCACTCCTTGGATGCGTCTCACATGATGTTGTCGGCTCTTCAGTGCCACGACGACGGCCTCTCATTCGCTGCCGTCCACGACTCCTTCTGGACTCATGCGGCGGACGTGGACTCGATGAACAGCATCCTTCGTGACTGCTTTATTCGCATCCACAGCGAAGATGTCATCGGACGTCTCGGTGCCGAGTTTGAGGCGAGGTACAAGGGCTCGATCTATCTTGCCAAGATTCGACAGGACTCGAAATTGGGCAAGAGGCTTCTAAAGTGGCGGAAGGAGGAGCGCAGGTCGGCGAGGGATGAGCTTGTCCTCGAACACAAGCGTCAACAGCTCCTCAATTCATCGGACCCCGCCGAGGTTGAAAAGGGCAAGGCCATGGTTACGGCAGGGAGCATTTTCGAAGAGTACTCCGCGGCTGAGTCCGACGCTCTCGTGCCACCCGAGGGTGCCGAGGAAGTCGGCCTCGGAAAGATAAGCGATACCGAGGTGGAGGACGTTCTCGCGGATGGAAACGAGGGAACTGCCGAGAAGATGGAGGCCCTCGAAGCTTCCGAGGAGTCCGAGGCGGATGAGGACACGACGTCTGACTGGGTCGACCGCGTTCTGCACAGCATGAAGAAGCCGCACTTCCAGGCGGTGACGGAGGAAGCTCCTAAGAAGCGAAAGGCGGCGCCCAAGACTATCCAGGTCTGGCTGCCGCTGACGTTCCCTCCGGTTCCTGAAAAGGTATGTCTTTCGTTTTCCTTCGTCCTGCTGGCCTCGCGTATACGAATACTAACTAAAATTTCGTAGGGTGACTTTGATGTGCAGAAGCTCAAGTCGAGCCAGTATTTCTTCTCGTGATGCATCAACTACGCGTGGGTGGCAGGCGTTTTATGGATACCATTCTTTTCATTCTTTCTTTTTTTATTCTTAGCTTTGTATTACATTGCATGTACCCCTTTATGTATAGACTTGGAGGATTGGGGCTGTCTCAGATGGATGCGCTCTAGGAGGCAATGTGGAGTGTACGATATTTCATGCCAGGGACAGCCATCCTGTATCATATATACTTTTGTACAAACATTCTGAGCGAGAGGGGTAAAACAAAACAAAAGGAGAAAAGGTCAGGGGCGACGCATAGAGGATTTAAACCAGAAAGCATGTAGAAAGAAAAGAAGTCAAATTTCAGAAAATCTCGGGACCATACCAGCACCGGATTCTTCTTAGGATTGGATCAACTTTCCACGTATGACCGACCCTACTATATAGCTCCTAGCTGGCAAGAGAATCCGTGTGGTTCTTTTCCTGGCCGACAAGCTATGATACCAAAGAGGGGATGAAGGAGAGCAACAGCCCACGATATGAGGGCGAGGGCGAAGGAGTGACTGAGGGAGGGCGATTCTTCTCTGGACACTTGGAAAAGGAAAAGGGGGACTGGACGACACACCCTCGATGGAGTGATTGTACCCACGTCCCTCCGTGGTTAGATTCATTTATCGACTTTCTCAATAGCCCGGGATGATGATGCCGGGCTATATATAGAGAGGCAACATCCATGGTCGATATACCCGATCAGATCACTTCCGGGATGCATCACCATACCCGAGAACCCTGGCCGTTGGAAGTCCCCGGCTCATCTACGTTTTGCTCTCTTGGCTGTAGGCTAGGATCAAAGGATTCGGCTGGCATATAGTCGTGTAGTTTAGATTGATGTACCAGGGATAATATCGCTATACGTCATTCTGCCAAGAGCCACTGACCAGGAGATGAGAAACCCAGGTGATAATTAAACAAGAGGAGAAGACCATGCACGGAGGGCTAGGCTATAACGGTCTGCTTAAGGTGGTGTGCCCGGTCTACTCCGCTGGATATTAGATTGTCCGGGTATTTTGGGCTCGGAACCGGGGGCGCGTACCTGGTTATTGTAGGCTCACTGAGGCGAGGGTCCAATTTGAATTAATATATCTTCCGCGTGCTAGGGCGTACTCGGGCATGGCAGTCTTTCCTGAACATTCTAGGCCACGGGCATGATGTGATGGATGGATGGACAATGACCCGGGTGTATATAAGATCTAGATGGTTCTCAATCCTGTTGCTTGGCGAGGTTCGTCTTGATTGATGCAAAATAGAATCTACTCAGAACAGCAATACGAGAAAAGCGATTTGCAAAAACAGCCAAAAACATATAAACTAGCACTTCTTGTGGTACGAGCCAAGAGATATCAAGTGAAGAGCTATGATCTACACGGGTTTGATCGTTGCTACCCTTGCCCGGATCGGGTATGTATATACCTTCATGTCCTCAGAAAGGCTTACCAGAGCCAAACTCGATTGTACTCCTTGACTTACTCGAAATTCTTCTTCAGCGCGAGCGTGCCAGCACCTCACGTCACGTCTCCACCGTCACTCGAGGACGCAGTTGTGCTACCAGAGCATTGCACGACGGTATTCGTCAATACCATTCTAGAGACAACATGGGAAGTCTCTCAACAATGGTGTTATACACATACTCTCCCGGCCGGTGAGTGGCTCTCTGCTCTCTCATTGCCAGACTGAACGCCTAGTTCAAGTGGACGTCGTATATATTCTTTTTCCGAAGAAAACAGTTGCACTGACGAGAACGCAAAAACAGACAATGTGAGGTGTCCATGCCCCTCAGACAGGAGCATTATGTGCCCTATGTACATCGTCATGAAGACCATTGATATTCCCTGCCAGTGCGTGCTTCCTTTTGCGATCTATTACTGAGAGTAGCTGCCTCTTTTGCTTCGCTTATACTAACAAGGGGGTGGGATCTCAAGGACTGATTGCTGTCCCAGCACAGCGACTGTCGATCCGGTATGCCCCGAATGCGTGGCGTGCAAGAATACGCAAACGGTCTATCGATACGAGGAGTGTGCGGCGACTCCGATTGTGCAGACAGGTCCAAAAATCACGAGGACTGTGACGAGAGATCCATCGACCACTACTACTACGGCCGAGGCGGCTGAGGAAACCGATGAGTTGGATGACGAGGCGGGAGACGGATGGGTACCCTGACCCGGTTTCGTTGGGATTGCGGGAGTGAGAGGGAGGCGTAGGATAGGGAAGGAAGGATGTGATGGCGTTACTCCGAGGTTCTGGTGCTGGTAACTTAATGTACGTGATGTTGGGGATGAATGATAGAGACAGAAGTGGCGCTTACTTTGGTTTTTTTTTTCCATTCACTTCTACGAGATCTATGGCGAACTTTGGCCAAATTGATACCTTAATCGAAGACTTTGAATCTCTTCTGTTGTTTATATCTCATCGCGGGCATGAACGAATCATCTATGGTGGTGTACGGCTATTCCATAAAGTAAATGGTCTTACCGCACTTGGGCATCCTTCAACGTGGGAACGGTGCATACGGCACCACTCTCCGTCACGAGCTTACCAGTCTCCTTCTTCCCAAGGGCCTCTACCACCGACGCGTTGAACGCAACTTCAAGGTTGTCCGTAGTGGTGAATCCAGGCTGGAAAGTCTCCCAGATCTTCTTCTTGGGGTTCAACACACCCTCGGGCTCACCCTTCCATCCCTCGAAGAATACCCTGTCGCCCGCCTTGGCATCGGCGGGCGGGTTAACGAGCTCGACAGGTCCCTTGTGGTCGTCGGTCTCGCCCTCCTTCAATTTGGGTGACGCCGCCAGCACCATGGCGCAAGACTTGATGCCTCGCATCTTCACGGGCTTGAGGTTGCAGACAACGACAACCTTGCGACCCTGCATCTCCTCGAGAGGTACAAGGCCATTAAGGCCAGAGCAGACGGTTCGGCACACCTGGCCCTCGAACTCTTCGGTATCGGCAGTGCCGGCGGGGTCACCCATGGCAATGGTGGAGACGTAAAGGGAGTCGGCCTCGGGGTGCTTGACGGCCTTGAGGATGTGTCCGACTCGGAGGTCGATGAGGCAGGGAGAAAGGACTGCGGGGGTCGCGGGGGCCTTTTGCGGCTTTGGCTGCTTCTCCTTCTTCTCCTTCTTGGGCTTGGCTTCACCCTTGCCCTTGCCCTCACCCGCCGCAGCGCCCTCCTTCTTGGTCCTGTCAGCGAGCTCAGCCTTGTTACCACCAGCAGCGGCAGCAGCGGCGGCGGCGGCCTTCTCCTTCTTCTGGCGCTCCTTCTCAGCCTTGAGATCTTCGGGAGACTTGACGTATCGGACATCGTCGAGGTCGACCTTGACCTTGTCCTCGGCCTTGATATCGAGACCGAAGAGAGTAGAGTTCTGGACAAAGTCTACGAGGCGGACAATGTTGGGGTGGCCGTTCTGGCCTGTCCGCTCATCAGGCGACCATTGGGCAACGACGGGCGCGAGGGTCTCATAGATGGCGACGTCGGCCTTGCTGGGCTTGGTACCGAGGAGGGTGGTTCGGCTGGAGAGATGGGCGTCGAGAGCGTCGAGGATGGACTTCTTGTCCTCAGCGCCGGACTTCAATCGATCCGAGGTGGTGAGCCATTGCTTAATTTCGGTCTCCTCCTCGGGAGTGTAGGTCTGCGAGGAAATAGCGGCCATGTTGACGAATTGGCGGAAAGGAGAAAGCGCCCGGATGGTGGGACGGAGAGCTCGTAGGGGCAACAGTTTGTCGGATTTGGGGGTTGAGGGTGTAGGGTGTGTCGGGGAATTGAGTTGTGGTCTTTAGAAACTTTTTCAACTCTCCTTCGTAGATGAAAATCTATTCTGGTCTCAATTCAATTCCAGTCATCGAGGATGGCGGGGACAGGCGGGGCAGAACTTCAAGAGATGAATTTTGGGCGCATAATTGAATACTTTTCAATTAGAAGATAAGGAAGCCTGCAATATGTCTTTATCTAGACAATTTAGCAAAACGCAAAAACGTGACATCGCACCTTTTGCGTCACGCGTGGGAAATCACTTTCACCTGTTCCATTACGCGTGGGACGCGCCCTCCCACTGACATTATAGCTGAGTATCTTCACATTCCAACATTCTGCGCTCCTCACACATCACCAATTCCGGATTGGAAGTGAATTCCAACACTGGATATAGTGGCCTTTTCATTATATCACTTATAGATTTTTTTTTACGAATTTTTCTTGGTTCTTTCATTCAGGAAACGATTGCTGTCTATTCATTGTCTTTCTTGGAACTACCCTCTTGATACCTGGATCTCCAGCGATAGAGCAACGCAAAAACTTCTTGTTCTTCTCATTGTGCTATGAGTTGTTTTATATATGCCTAATATGTCTGCTCCCACATCTCCCTCGACTGCCAAATCCATCTTTTCTTCTTCCCCGAGTCCCAACACACCACCTTCATCTCCGCCGAGTCTCGACTCTTCGTCGCCGCCGAAAATGGAATCCCGACTCGTAACAGCCGAGGCCAATGCCTTGGCTGAATACGAGAAGGACTATGCCAAGAGAAGGGCTGCTGCAAGAGCTAAGAATAAGCGTAAGAGGAGGCCACTTCTCACCCCCGAAGAGAAGAAGCAAAAAGCCCTCGAGCTAGACAGCCTTCTCCGACAGACCGCGGCCTTCAGCGACATCATTACAGGCAAGACTCGAGCTCTTGGTCGAATGGGCACCTCTATGTCCGGTGCCTCCCTTGGCGAGCATAACCTGGAGCTTGCTAAGCAGCCGAAGTGTATGGTTGGCGGTACTATGCGAGATTACCAATTAGAGGGCTTGACGTGGATGAGAGAGATTGCTGTCCAAGGGCTTAGTGGTATCTTGGCTGACGAAATGGGTCTCGGTATGTCCCCTGTTCTGATGGACGTCATAACTCTTTGGCGTCGATACTGACATGCCTTGTAGGCAAAACAATTCAGATGATTTCTCTTGTAGCGTCCCTTCGAGAGACGGATGAATTCTACGGACCTTTTCTCATCGTCGCACCATTGAGCACCCTCTCTAACTGGTTGGATGAGTTTCACAAGTGGACTCCGTCTATTCCGGTCGTCGTTTATCATGGGACGCCCGGTGAGAGAGAGAATATTTGGCAAAACAAGATCCTCCGACATTATAAGGATTCCCGTGCGACGAACAAGTTCCCCGTCGTACTTACCAGCCCTCAGATTGTCCTTCGAGATAGGACAACTCTGGCTCGGATCGGTTGGGAATTCATCATCATTGTAAGTTTGACCCAACCGGTGGCCGCTACATTGTTTTCTGTTTTCTGTACTAACGATTTTGCTATTGCAGGACGAAGGCCATTGTATGAAAAACTCCGATGCGAGGCTCTACCAAGAGCTGAAAGTTTTCACCTCTGCCACACGATTTCTCATCACCGGAACGCCCCTCCAGAACGAGATGAAAGAGCTTTGGTCTTTGCTTCACTTTCTCCTGCCTTCTGTCTTCAAGGATTGGGAGGCTTTCGACTCCTATTTCGATTTTACTGGGCTAGAGGACGAAGAGGGAACGGAGAGCTTCATTACGGATGAAGAAAAGCAAGAGCTCATGCGTAAGATTCACATTGTTCTGCAGCCCTTGATGCTTCGCCGCGTCAAGGCCGATGTGGCTAGCCACTTGCCCCCGAAGCGGGAGTACATCCTTTATGCCCCCCTCACTAAGGAGCAGACCGACTTGTACAAGGCCATCAGCGATAGAGGCGTTGATACTCGTGCGTATCTCAGCGATATGGTTGCCAGAGATATCAGCGAGCGGTCCGAATCTCTTTCACCTCCCGACTTGCTCACTCCTTTGTCCTCCCGACAAGGCAGCGTTTCACCTTCCGTCACAAGCGGCGCTTCTCGCAAGGGTGCCAGCGACAAACTTTCTAAACTGCCTACACGAGAGTCGCCTCGAAAGAAGAAATCTACTATGGAACCAGAGGCCGCGAAGCCATCCGCAACGGATGCTTTCGCCCTTATGATGGGTAAAAGGGGCCGGGGTCGGCCTAAGAAGATATCCGAGGCACCGGCTGTGAAGGAGGAGGTGATGAAAGACAAAACGGAGTCGTCGAGGAAGAGGAAGGGCCCTGCTACACTCCCCGTTCCCGAGCCAAAGAGCTACCGATCTAGCAGAGAGAGTACTCCGGGGTCATCTCGACGGACCCGTGCGCATCCTGGCGTCAAGATCGACGCCTTTGCTAATGTCGACGAAGATAAGCTTGATGACGACGAGTTTGAGGCACGTCTTATCCGAGAGTACGAAAGCCAGGAGCTCTCAAACCTGGAAGAGGCGCAAACGGCTAAGGACTTTGCCCTCGCAAGCTCATTTGAGCTGGCCAGTACGTGTATCCCTTTTTGCATCTCCAATTCATTGAAAAATTCATCTAACTTGCTCTCACCTGAAACAGAAAAGGAAGTGGCCAGGAAGAAGCTGGGAAATCCCATCATGCAGCTTCGCCTGGTGTGCAATAGTCCACACAATTTCTACAATCCTTGGACCTATAGCGACGATCCGGTTGACGAGACTGTGGTTACCAAGTCGGGCAAGATGCTTCTCCTGGACAGACTTCTCCCAGCTCTGTTCAAAGGCGGTCATAAGGTCTTGATCTTTTCCCAGTTCAAGACACAACTTGACATCCTCGAGGATTATTGCAATCTCAGGGAATACAACTTCTGTCGCCTTGATGGCTCGGTCTCCCACGAAGCGCGCCGAGATATGATCTCTCAATTCAACACTGACGAGGATACGAAAGTATTTCTTCTGTCCACAAGGGCGGGTGGTCAAGGCATCAACCTTATGGCAGCTGACACTGTTATTCTATTCGACAGGTATTTAAACCCTTCCCCCCCCTTTTTTTTTTCCCTTTCAGTGTTGTTCTCTAAAGCCTTTAGGCAAACAAAGTGGCTCTGCTAACTGTCAACTAGTGACTGGAATCCTCAACAGGATCTCCAAGCGCAGGATCGCTGCCACCGAATTGGCCAAACGCGACCCGTAATAGTATATCGCTTCGCTACGAAGGGCACGGTCGAAGAGGATCTTCTTTTCAGCGCTCAAGCCAAGCGTCGGCTTGAGAAGCTTGTCATTCGGAAGGGAACGCTGAAGACCATGGGCAGAAAACTCACGGATGCCATGAGCGACCTCGACAGGGAGACACTACGTGGACTGCTCTTGAAGGATGGTAAGGTATACAAGTATTCCGGAGGCGAGGAGATTCTGAGTGACAAGGATCTCGCGGCCCTACTTGACCGGTATGTTTCTCTTATGTTTCTCTTAGACCTCGATGAGGATGTTAACTGACTTGGGGGTCACAGGAGCGACGAGGCCTACGCAAAGGCCGCTAAGGGCGACGGCAATGCGGTCGGTTATAAGGTCGTCGAGACCGCTGCCGAGGGAATCAGGGAGGCGGCGAGCTCCAACTAGGAGTCTGGTGCTGGCGCGGCCGTGAAGGGATCCTGGTTGAAGGCGCCTAGAGGGATCTCGCCCTCTTGGGATGTGGCTCGAAGAAGCATAACGCATGCATTTCAGGAGTTTAGTTTGATAATCAGTTCTACGGCGTCGCGGCTGTATTCTTTACGCAATACCCATCTGTAGTTTTGCAATTAACTCTATTCTTTCACTTTATACCTGCCATCTGCTGACATGGAGTCCAGTCCGAATGTCATGGTAGCCCGTCTTGCAAACATGGTCCCTTTACTTGGAGTAGTCTTGTCTCATTTCTAGATACCTTACTAGGTCTCTTCATGTTTGACTGGCATAGCAAAGTCAAACATTGAGTCCATCAGAGCTGGTCTCGCGATGAGGGTCAGGCGATTGTTCAAGCGAGGGCAGATCACTCACTACTCTGCACCTACCTTCTCAAAAGAAAAGACCACCTCCCTGCCCAAAGATCATTTCCTTCTACTCTGCTTTTGAATTCTAATTTTCCACCTTTCTCACACATCCTTTGTTCCTCCTGGACTCTATCCTCCCAACACAAAGGAGTCCTGATACCTCTGGTCTCTGTTTTTGATATCATTCCGCACCTTACATGTATCAGCCCATTCACTCTTACCCTTTGACCCATCAGTTTCACCTAACTCACCTCTGAAATTCATTCCCAAGGCATTCCCTATTATTTTTGGCACCTTAGAGGTATTGTGCTTGGTTGGCCTGTGACTTTTTGTTACCTAGGGTTGGCCTGCCGATATTCACGGCCCCACTTCGCCGCTTTTCACTCCGTCCTCGGCAACAGGACTCGGTGCGGTCTTCCGGTCGGCCCTTACCCTCTGACTTGAAGTCTCAGAGGCACAAACACTGAATTCATTCAGTTCCCGTACAACCCCGTTTTCCTTTCTCAAACTTCACTCTCCCCCTGAATACCATTCCCTGTGAGTATTCCTCATCCTAGGCCCGCCGTTGGCATATGGATACTGATATCATCCTTTCCAGACACAATTCCGGCACCCGATTATTTCGACTTGATACTATCGCGCCAAAATGCCACCAGTAAATTCGACTCAATCCGTCGTAAGCCAGATTTGCCGCGGTCTCGAGGCTTATCTCCTTGGCGAGGAGAAGGACCAGGCAAGCATGGGATTCGGTGCCCAGGACTCCGAGATGCCCACCATGACCCTCGCCAATGCTCCGAACTCGAAGCCAACTATTCTCACCAGCATCGGCCAAGGCCAGCAGCCCCCAAAGCGCGCTGTGTTCATCGGAGTTACCCCGGACCAGGAGATTGTCGACATGGTGGCGACCGTTTCGCCCACCACTGAGCCCTCACTTACAACCCTTGACTCAATCACATCGGCGACTACCTTTCCCACCGGCGCCTCCGTGGACGACAACAAAACTGTCATCATCATCGGTAGCGTCTTCGGCGGAATTCTCGTCATTGGATTGACTACATTCGGTTGCATTGTACCTTTGTTCCGCCGGTGGCGGGACAATCGCACACGCGAGCGAGAAATGCGTCATTTCCAATACATCACTCTCTATGCTGCTGCAACTGATCCTACCCTGAGGGAGAGGGAGGGTCCCCGTGTGACTGTTCGCGAAACTGACGAGCATGGAGTTGAGCTGCAGTCCCTAGAGGGAGGACGTCGCAACCCTGTTGGTGGAACGTCGTCAGCTGCGACGGTCCAGGGCGCAGGCCTCGCACCGAATGAGGATGAAGAGGGAGCTCAGGCTTATGCTTTCTCACATGCATCGTCTCGCACGTACGTGGGCACCGCCAATGAGTCTCCCCAGGCCACTATTACCCAACACGATTCCGCGGCTGGCGATGACACGGCCGGTCCAGTTCCCGGCAACACCTCTACGGAGGGTCGAGCTCGCGCTGGCTATAGCGGCTTGGCCGCAGCCCAACTTGACGGCGATGCTAGCGGGTATGACGAGATGCCTGCTGAGGAGGGCGACGGTGGAGTAGGCACCACTACCGCTACCGCTGTCACCAACGCTATCGACCCTCTAGTCATGAGCCGCCACCTTACCAACGTGTGGATGGAGTACGCTAAGAAGCTGGAGAGACGTCTCACCAAGCTCCGAGGAGACTTCCACGAACTGCGGACGGAAGTTAACGCATGGGAAATAAGGCAAGCCGAGCTGGGACGTAACATCAATCGGCTCAAGCAGCAGATTGAAATGCTTATGGACATCCACGGCATGGACATCGACATGCCATCGACACGTTCCCGCGCCTCCTCCCTCTAGCGTAGTCGCACGCATAGCACCGATGGTGATCCGACTGACTTTCCGCCTCCCACGCACGCTGAGAAACCTCTAGAGAAGAACTAAGTAAATTCACTTTAATAAATAGTCGGGGCATTTTTCTAGCGCCGCGAATACTCTGTCATTCTCCTTATGTCTCCCTCGCCAATGTCCGCGGTTCCCCAAGTCTCCTTCGTATTCTTATCTTGTAGTAGCGCACTCGATAGGCCAGGGAGAGTCTGCTAAAAGGGCCAGAAAAGACAAGAGAGAAAATAATGGTAATAATGATAACAGAAGAAAAAAAAAGGAAAAGGAAAAACGAAAACCCAAAAAAAAAAAAAAAAAAAAAAAAAAAAAAAAAAAGGAAAACGAAAAGTTGAAGGGCCGGGCGTGGATCGAACACGCGACCTAAAGATGTCTGCAGTTGTGCTTCGAACTGCAATCTTCCGCTCTACCACTGAGCTACCTGCCCTGTCTAATTTGATTTGCTGTACCACCTCCAGTGCTATTTGTTGGCACAGGAGGCACACGGCATTGTGATTGAGTCTTACACTCAGCTTGGCACATTGATTGACTTGCCTTGAACTAACGTTGGCCTTCGAAAGGGAAAAAGAGCACAATAAACAGGTTTAAAGGAGGGGAAGAAGGACAAATAAATGATAGAGTCTGTCATCTGCGGTATTAAAAAAAAATCTTAAAAAGTAGTGTTTAAGACCCAGAACGCCATCCAATGACCCAAGTACCTGATACTACCGTTTGCGAAATTCCATTGTCAACCTACAGACTCGCCCTTGGGCCAACATCGACCAAGACAACCCTAGAACCTCAAAAGAATAAACGTAAAAAGGAGAGTAAAGGAAAAGAAGAAGAAGAATAACAAGAAGACGCCACCACCACCGCATTAGCTGGAACCAGTAACACTGTCCCAGATGCCTCCAATCTTCTCCGTGAGCCAATCCCACAAGTCTTTGATAGCAGACTCGGCCTTTTCAATCTGCGACTCATCCTCTTCCTCAGTCGGGTCTTCATCCCCTTCCTCGGACGGAGGCGGTTGCGGCGGCTTCTCCTTGGTTGGAGCGCCGACCTCGGCTGTCGGCGAGGTGGATACGGAGACGGGATCAACGCCGATGCTCTTGGACGGCGATGGGGTGATTTCGGGGTCAGAAAGCGGTTCGGAAAAGTCCTCGTCGGCATGCAAACCGACAGTGTGGAGCGGCAGATGGAGAGTGCCATTGTTGCGTACAGGGCGAAGGCCCAAAGAGTCGCACAGCATGTTGTAGACGTTAATGTTTTCTACCACACAGCGTTAGCTTCGTAAACCGGGTATTTAAAAAAAGAAGCGAAAGAACTTACGGAAGACATCAATTTGGCTGTTTGGTGGGTGCGGGAATGCCGGGCCACGAGCGACAAAGATAGCTCGCATGAGAGGATGCAAGTTATCATAACCATGAAGGCCTCGAGGATGGTAAACCTCGCCTTTAGCTACGGCATCGGCGACATTTATTTCCAACTTCTCGACAATTCCCCATCCGGTCTTGGGGACGAGCCAAAGAGGCGCAATACGCTCGTTGTCAGAAAAGTGGTAGCGTTTAGGCATGTTCTCGTCGCGGAGATAGACCTCAATGTTAGGGTTGTCCTTGGTGTTGTTGAGTGCCTGCTCGTAGAGCGATCGGAGATCATTAGGGTCTTTGGGCCGGAGACCAACAAGCGGCCATCCGTCAATGTGTGAAACCCTGTCGAGATCAACAAGGTCGTCCAGTTGGGTGAGACGGGTGACGTCTGTGGTCGCCATTCCGTGGTCGGAGACGACGATGACGTTGACAATCTGGGTCAAGTTTCGCTGCTCGAGACCTCGAAAGATGTCCTCCAGCATGTTGTCGACGTCCTTGATCGTCCTGTTGACCTCGGTGCTGTTGGGGCCATACTTGTGCCCGTCTGAGTCGACATTGGGGACGTACATGGCAATGAGCTGGGGTCGGGTATCCTTGATGTCGACGTCCCTCCTTTCCTTCCCAGGCAGGTCAAGGAACTCGAAGACACGCGCCACCTTCTTGGGAAGCGCCTCCTTTCCGTTGAATTGATCCAAGAAACTTGGCTCGATGCCGAGAATGTGAGCCTCGCTTCCGGGCCACATGTGGATAGCTGTGCGCACACCCTGCTTCTCCGCCGTCACCCAGAAAGGCTCTCCTTTCCACCACTTGGGGTCGAGGCTGCGCTCCGGGTCCGTGTAATGGAAGTCTGTACCGAGGGCGGGGTCGTAGAATGTATTTCCCACGATACCATGGCTCTCGGGGTAGAGGCCAGTAGCAATAGTATAGTGGTTCTAGGCTATTGCGTTAGACCAAGTTTGTTCTCGCCTTTGCGTGCCAAAGATATCGGCGGAATACTTACAGGGAAAGTAACGGAGGGAAAGGAGGGAAGCATGTACTTCGGCGAAACGCCCTCCTTGATAAAGGCGTTCAGTCGAGGTGTAAGCCCTCTCTGAAGGAAGTCGGGACGGAACCCGTCGAGACTGATGATGAGGGTGGTTGGTCCGAAAAGCGCCGTCCCATTACTAAATACCCTCGACGCAATACTAACTCGTTTGCGGTCGATGGTGAGTCTCCAGGCGACAAATACAAGGACGGCGAGGGCGATGACGACAATGATATTGATGAGGATCCAGCGACAGCAGCTTCGCTTCCGCTCGGCCTTTGCGTGTGCGATGGTATTCATGTGCTTCTCTTTCTGGTCCATGACATCGCTGTCTTCGCTGCTCTCGCCGGTGGAGCTGCCGTCCTTCATACCGCCCTCCTCCATCTCGTACATCAATTCGCCATCTTCGCCGTGCGCGGCCTGTTCCTTCAATCGCCGTTTCTTCTCTCGCCTTCGAGCGCGACGCCGGCGTCTCCTCTCGGCAAAGTTCTCGGTGGAAGTGTTCGGAGATTCATCGTGGTCCTGGGTTTTCCTCCCAAATATCGCAAACGGATTTCCTATGCCGAGTCCCGACTCCTTCTCTTTCCGAGACTTGGTCACCAAGTGCTCGACTTCCTCCTCCTCCATCAGCATTATCCGGTCGTGAGCGCGGAGCTCTCGGCTGTTCCTCGCGTTCATTTGCAGCTCGTCATCTTCGCTGTCGGTGTCCTGGTCGCTGCGGCTGTGCAGTGACCTGGCATCGTCGTCGTAGTTGATCGGTGAGAGCAGAGATCCGGTGTCCGCTTCGGTCGGGCCGGACTTGTGCAGCACGTTCCGCGTAGGTGCCATCGCGGGCTGGCGTCTCAAAAGGAATAACGATACGGGGTTTTCATTTGATGATTTGCCCGACAGACCGTGGAAGGCCGACAGATTAAGATGGACGGTGTAGCCGTCAGGGTACGCGTGGAGGTAGCGCAGTCAGTAATAAATTTCTTTGGTCGATGTTCAGCTCCCCTGCGCTATTACACTCTTCTGGCCGAGTGCGCCAACAAGGGATCAATCCAAGGCAACGTGTGTCAATGTGTCGCAGGTTGATGATGAAGACAGCCGGCGACAGCTGTAGATATGGAACTGCCGATTCTTCCTATTTCTTGAGGGGGAAAGCGTGAAAGGCGATGGCCTCTGATTATCTTGACAACAGTTCTGTGCTTGACAGAATCAAAATCACAATGAATATTTTCGATATAAAATGGAATAATTTTAATTTGAGCCCGTAAGAAAAATAAACTTGTAAGATGGATGGGAGACTTCAGGAGGACTATAAATACGCAGGAGCCTCCTTCAAGTTGCTTTTAAGCAGTAGGGATCACCACGGCTTCTCCTCTGTTCTACGAAATGGAGTCTACTGTTCTATTTCGCCGACATATCTCTCCGAAAGACGTGGCTGATTGCTCATCCGAGTCATGGATATAGGGTGCTCAACTGCTCACTAAAATCTCCGAGTTTGAGTGCTGCACTGTTCCAGTCACGAAAAATCAACACAATCAAATCAGCAACGAACCACATGGTGCAGCAGTCCCTACGCCCAGAGCCCGATTGTCGTCGTTGAAATCGTCTTAATGGGCAGGGCGGAGTGGTATGGATTGCTGTGGTTCTGCCCTTTTTCCCCCCCTTTTTCTTCTTTTATTATTTATTTTTTCTTTCTTTTTTTTAAGCCTCCTGGTTCGTCATCCTCCTTCAACCCAGTAAAATTCCCTGGAGTCAAACACGACCTGTATGATAATATTATTCTACGGGCATCCCCAGTTATGTTGTCCATCTACATTAACGGTGGCGAGCAATACTCACGACTGAAAGGAGGATGACAGGTTCGAGGAATCCTCCTCCTCTCTTACCTCGTTCAAGGCTGCTCATGTGAATGCAAGTCCTGCTCGCACTTGGCGCTTTGCTTTGCATCATCAATATATTTGACACGCGGGTCCTTGCCAACTCCTTCGAGACATACTATGTGCATAGAAGCAACCCTCGCTATAAACCCTAAAAAAAGGAACCAAGCGACTAACACCAGGCGTAGAACTCGCTATCATGCCACACCACTTCCCCAGGATGGACATCCCTCCTCCACCTCAAGCTCGGCAACCCAGTATCTCCCCTCTCACTCCACACAATCTTGACATAACCTCTCCCCCCGTTCGCCACAGCCTTGGCCCCGAGAGACACCGTGTCGCCAGGAGCCCAAACGATCACGGTCTTGAACCCCCACGCCTCGGCTTCCGCAAACGCCGCCTCGAGGAGGTCTCGGACGTCCTCTACCGATGTTTCCCCTTCCGCCACGATGCGCTGGATCTTGAGCTCGCGCTCGCGTATGTCGTGGAACCAGAGTATCCAGCTCGTCCCTCCGGCCGCGACAGCACCGACGTTCGTGACAGGACGACCAGTGGCATATTTTGCCGAGAGGCTTGCGTTCGTATGTTGCCATGAGATGTGCTCATACGTAGGGACAACAGCGACGTGAGTCTTCCCATCCTCCGGAAGCGCGGCAAGCCGACTCCTCAACGCGCTCGTATCCCTCTCGCAAAGCTCTTTTATCTCCGCTCCGCTCTGAAGTAACCTAATCCCCTTGGGGACGACGAACCCTGGTTCGACGAGGGACATGGTCATCTGGTCGGCCTTGAAGACGTTCCAACCCCTCTGAGCGTAATACTGCCTCCCGATGTCGCTGTAAAGAAAACTCCACTGGACCCTCTCGTCGAGGAACTCTTGCACTTTGCCAAGCAAATACCCCGCCATGCCCCGCGCCCTATACCTAGGGTGCGTATGCACGCTGCCCACCGAGTACGCTTCCACCTCGTCCACCCTGCCCCCGGACCTGCCCCGCCGCACGAACATTTTCTTGCGCGGCGTCTCGCAGCTCGAGATGATGTCCAGCGGATCGTCCCGCCTGTACAGGATCCAGTAGTGGCAGTTCCCGTCGCGGCATAGGGGTGTCTCCGTGAGGGCCGCCTCTCGCGCGATGTAGTTCTCGAGGGAGAGCGGACGGGCCCAGACGATGCCGTTGTCCTCCCAGGTTCGCTTGCGCTGTTCGGGGGTCGCTTCGTCGAAGACCACGTCGGATAAGAGCGGCGCGCTCGTTCGGGAGGTGGTGGCGGTGAGTACTTCCACGGAGCCCATTTTCGACACGTGTAAGTCTTCGTCTAGGATAACGCCGGGTCGTAATTTTTTCTCAATTGATTGATTGCAAACCTGAGCCACGCGAAGATTTCTTTCGATACGAAGACTCTCTCGACGACAATGACGAAATTGAAAGTGAGGAAATAGCAGAAGAAGTTCCTCGTTCCCGTCATCGCGCAGGAGGTGTGAGCACGCCTTATCCTGACCCCCACAGGGGACAGCTCTCTTCCCCACGTGCGGAACCCACCAAAGTGCGCGTAATACGAAGTACCCGTTGCATTGGGGACCACGCGGTTTCTATTGGTAGCCTGGCGGCCTGCAATGAACTGATAAGTGTTCCTCGGACGAGGAAGCTCGATACCCGAGATTGCGGGTCACCGAGGAAAGGGTCGGAGGAGGGGAAAAGGAAGAAATAAAAAGAGAGCCCTGAGCCGGGTTCGAACACAGGCTCCAAACCTCCATCGTCTCTAGACTCCGTTTACATAAGCTGCCTTTGAACGGAGCATCACGAAGTACCTTTTCCTCAGAGACTGGCAGAGCCAAAAATCCAAATTACTTCTCCCTATTTTCTGTTCTTGATATGAACTGTTTCTACGCCGCCGCTTGAGAACCAAAGGGCCAGTACCTTTGTATTGAGGATCAATATGCTGCTAATTAGGTCCTCCATGTCGGCTAGTAATCATGTTTTCAAGATATACAAGAATTATATTCAATCTACTTCGTATTGTCGAGCCATCCGGCCTCAATGTTTATATCTACGCGTAAGATTTATCAAAATCATTTCATGCCAGAAGCGGACGATTCAATGTTAAAAGTAACCTCATTCCCCTCTATCATTTCTATCGTACAAAGACAAAGACCTCATATCTCTGGTCTTGGCCCGATTTTCCATTTCTTTCCTCCTGGGTCGTATCGAACCCATCAATCAAATATCCAATTTACGGGGTATAATAAAGAAGAAATCCACTGCTTCTCGACACCATTATGAAATCGTTGCACTAGATGCATCCCAAGACAAAACAAACCCAACAATATTCGACGTCGCTTTCCCTCCTTCAAACCCAACCCGAATCGTGTGCGTATATTTTTTAGAGATACCATAATCGCCAGGTAAGAAACGAGAACAAAGGAAAATCGTGGCATGCAAAAATGCCGTGGCTGCTTGGGTACCTCGTTACCCATGGATGCGAGATCTGTGCCAGCACGTAGCAGCTGGATGGGGGTGGTGAAAACTCGAACACCCGGGATCATCGTTTCATCATGGCTGTTTCTTAAGCGAGTGTTAGGTCGGCCGGTAGATTCGGAGACCGGCAAAGTACCAGAATGGTGGGCGGTCGAGAAAAGTAATAAAAAAAAAAAAAAAAAAAAAAAAAAAAAAAACAAGAGTAAACGCCACTCATGCAAGCTGATAATCTATATCGTTCATCGAGGTTGGTTTGGCCCCGAGAATTAGGTCGAGAAAAGAAATCGTTTATGAAAAGAATGAGGTTACTTGAGGCTTCGGGTTGGCATCGAGTATAACATAGCGAGGACGGCCTCATTGAACACCTTCGAACCCCTTCGAACCCGTTCAAACATTACCCAATTCATCCCCAAATCGGCGCATGCCGATATGCCGGGGAATTATAACTGTGAAGAACCCTGAAAGGGGCATGCGGAGGATAGTATCCGGGATACCCATTCGACGAGGAACTCCTGTTCCTGGCGTGGCCCGATCGAGGTACGTAGGGCGGATACCACCCGCCTCTGGGGTCAAATGCGGTCCCTCCATATTGCATCTGGAGCTGTTGATAGTGCGTCGAGGTCCATAGGTCAGGGCTCTGCCGGAAGTAACCATGGCTGCTGCGGGGCTTGGTATTGTTTTGAGATTCGTAGCTGGATCGGTGTCGTAACTGCTGAGAGATGTGCTGCTGCATATCCGAGTAAGGATTTGCACTGGATGGTCGCCGTGGAATCTGTCTCTGCTGCTCCGAATAAGGGTTCGCGCTCGCCGACCGTGGGTATGGTGCCCCACTACTACCTTGGCTGGAGGTCGACTCGGCTCGGCTATGTGGCTTGTTCAAGATCCGTGGTTGCCAGGGGTGGCTCTCCCAGTCATTGGAGGATGACCAGCTCCGCTTCCCAGAGTCGCTCATAGTCCGTTGCAGGTATTGCTGCTGATGCATGCGAGTCTCCGGTGGTGTCATCGTACCGTCTTGGCTTGACTGGCTTGATGCTGTTGTAGGTGGAAAGCTGTACAAATTTTCGCTACTGAGCTGTCGAGTAAGGCTCGATTGACTCCTCGCCCTGTGTAAATTGGCGGAGTTCGACTGCGGGCGAAGCGGTGGCGGCACGCGAAGTTGAATGACACTTCGAGTGCGCGTAAGACCATGTGACGGACCATTTATGTAGGGATGATCTCCAACGTAGGACTGATGGGGAGATCCAGTGTCAAAGGACGCTGGGCTGCCCGCATTAGACCGAGCTTTGAGAGCAGCTAGTCGGATATCCAGCTCACGCTCCGAACGTGAAGCAACTGACCCTGCCCTGGAGGGTGCTCTAGACGGCGCAGGAGAGAAATACGCATCTCGAGCGCTTGTCATAGCCACGAATGACGGGTCGTATCCATTTCGGCTCAAAGCATCACGGGTATAATCTGATGTCGATGTGGTGTCGCTTTCTGCCGAACTACTTCCACTCCATCTCTCGTTATAAGGGGCCGCGGGTCTCTGTTCTTGATCCTGCTGCGACTCCTGGTCTTGGACCCTTTGTTCATCATCGTTGCTAGTGTTCGGTGATATTGACCTCCGCAGAGACTTTCTAGAAGGAAATACAGCGACAGCAGCGTTTACGACCGAGTTTGAAATTGCCTGCAACGAGCGGCGTCTTCGGACAGTGATCTCTTCAGGGGTTTCGGTCCTCGTCGCAGGGATCTGATCGTTTTCCTCAGGTTGAGTGGACTCCACATTTGCCAAGTTAGAAGGTCGGGCCTCCCTGCTGGCTCTGGCGCGAAGGTCCGGGGTGGAGGCTGAATCCCGAGAAGAGGAAGCTGTCGATGATCCAGAATTTCGGAACGAACGACGAAGACCACCGCTATCACGAGAACTCCTCCTAGAGGTAACGCTAAGAAGCCTCTTCAGCGGCCCCGGCTTTCGGGCGCGGTCGGCAAGCGCAGCAGCGTTGGAAGAATCGGAGAGAGGAGGGCTTAGCTGAATGGAATCTGGAGACCTAGGCCCGGATGCCCGGCTCTTGCTGGTTAGCAGCGAAACCGGAACACGGCGGGTTCTCCTAGGTCTCGCTGCGACAAGGTCTGCGATGTGTCTGACGGGCACTTCGGGTGCCCTGGTGCCGGCGGTTGAGTTTGCCCGGGAAGCGGGAAAGTCTTTGGGAGGAGGTGGTGGTGGTGGAGCCTCCCGGTCTGGCGGAGCTGGTATCTCGTTCGCCAAGGAGATCAACCTTGGACTGGGTAGGCGAAAATCGCCGAGGAAGGAAGCAGGTGGGCTCAGGGTTTCCGTGAGTGCTGGACGGGGAGACTGTGTCTCACCAGGACAGGGAGGAAGATCCTTATCTGCCGCCGAGCCATTTGAGATGCGAAGAGATCGTATGGAGACATTTGAGCTGTATCCGGAATCCGTCTTTGAGAAAGGCTTCTGAGAATAATCAGAGGTTGGACTCGACACAATACCGCTATCTCGGTCTTGTCTTGAGAGAATCTGGAGGGTCTTGGAGGTTACGTCGGCGCGAGGTCGATTCCCGCGTCGCTTTGGCTGGGTTTCCTTCTTCGTTTCAGAGGGCGCAGGTTGCTGTGCATCATCTTCGAAAAGGTCGTCTTCAACGGCGGTATGCTTTGATGTAGTCTGGAGTTCTGGTGAAGCCGGCCGACTGTCCATCAGAGAAAATGAACCAAAGTTCATCCCCGGGAGAAATCCAGCGAATGTTTCGGTCTCGGTCTTGGTGATGTTTGTCGGTTGGGTTTCAACTCTAGATTCTAGTTTCAGGAACGTCGCTGTGATTGGGCTCAGATTACTCAGAGTCGGCTGGGGTTCCACGATCTTCGGCTCCGGGTTTTTCTTCGGTTTTTGATTTGATTCAAGACTTGAATCTGAGTCATTTGTCAAGACAAAGACATGGCTTCCGGACCCTCGCTTCCTTCGTCTCTTCTCGCTGCTTGGGCTAGGTGCCCCATTCGTGATTCGTAAGGAGCCAAATTTCATGGCTCCTAGCTGTTTATACTCGGTTTCGCTGGGTGTAACGGCTCTCTCGACGCTTAGATCCGCGAGTTTCACCGGCACCGATAGTATTCGTGGAGGGGTAGGCTCGATCGAATTCCTTCTCGACTGACGAGCCGACGCCGCTGGTTCCTGCCTACTTCGAAGGCTGGTCCTCCTTGACACCTCCTGCGCTGTTTCTGCACGAGTGGCCACGCCAGGGGTCCGGATGACTGAACGACGGCGAACGGGAGCGTATAAGGAGACGTCCGAGTTTGTTCGCGATAACCCGACGCTCGGTGGTCCGGTGGCGGGGTGTGAGTTTTTCCAGGTATTCTCTAATAAGGAATGCTTGGACTCGGAGACTGCTGATTCGTAGTCAGGCATATTCACAGTTGAAGTAAGGTGGGATAGTCGACTGCTTTGGTAGGTTTCGAGGTCATAGGAGTCATAGGTACTGCTCTCAGGCATATGCCAGCTAGGGTTCAAGGCAAGTCAAGTCAGACTTTCGTCTTTAACAAAAAGAGGGGGCCAAAGTCTATACTGAGACAGGGAGAGGATGGTAAGAGATTGGAGTCAGCTAACCTTCCGGTTAAAGGTCTAGAATAATTTTGATTAGGAGGTGGGTCATGGATCATGGACTGAACGCGAGGGAGGCCGTCGTCTTTTCGGGGGACTGTGAAACCAGTGCTAGCCAGCCACTGTTCGCCGGACAAGCGACTCGACGTCTTGGATCGTAAGAAACTTCTCCGCCCGAAGCTGTTCTTCAATGGCGTCTCGTGAGGCTGCTCGACACGATCGTAGTCTAGTGCTGACGGAGTCACGACGGGCTCAATGTGGTGACGCTGAGCAGGCTCTGAGGCGGGACCGGAGACGGAGAAAGGGCGAGAGGACAATCGAGGAGAGAAGAGGAAAGAAGAGCGTCGTGAGCGTCGTTGCTCGCCGTCGTCGTGGGAGGAGTTGAGGGGTCGGGCAATGCTGGGAGCCAAGCGTCCATGAGAGCTTAACAGGCCAGCTGTAGTAGAGGCATGGTTGCCGACTTGAGGTTTGGACAGCTTATGAGGAGTCTTTCTCGGCGGCGGTGTCGCCTCAATGGATGAACTACTAGCATTGCCCATCGGGACCCTGGGGACGGGTGGTACCGCCCCCTTTGTACGTCCAAGGGATGCTCGTTGGATCGAGCCAACTCGTGCTCGCCTCCCTTAGAACCCGCGTGTACACCCCCTCCCTTCTGTCGGCCTCTCACAGTATCTAACTGACTATGGTCCTTCCGGAGACGGGCGGGAATGCAAGGGGGTGCGAGGAGTAACAGACAACGGGGCTCCCGATTCGGAATTGAGCGGTGGCCGAAGGCTTCAATGTTCCTTTCACAGTCCAGCGTGTTGGATAAAGGCAATTTTGGCGAAAGATCCGGTAGGCGGGAAGAGCGTCTATGGCACAAGGCGAGCCAAGGCAGCGTTCGACAAGTTAGGCTCGCTGTCTACTTAGCCGGCTTTGTAAGGGTTAAGCGGATATTGAAACTTCCATGCCGCAAATCCACCCTTACTTTTTTTTTCCTGTTTAAAATTCGAAGCGAGGGGCGGCGTCAAGTATATGGGAGTGGGACGGGGGTGTGTGAGGAATGTGAGGGATAAGTAGGGAAAGTTTGAGGTGGGAGCAGCTGAGGCTCGGGGCGGACGCAGATCAAGGCAATCCAAAGAGCAGCAGGAGCGGCCCAAATCCCAGAGTAGTCCCAGAAGGAGCGAGCAAGAGCAACAAAAAGACACCTTCCCTCTCCGAAGCACAAGTAAGTTTAGGAGGAGCGAGGGAAGGTGCAACAGAAGACTTGGGGAAAGTCCAATGTCACCAGGGTGAGCAAGGGAAGGTGGAGAATGGGAGCTCGAGCTCAGGTCAAGGCTGGGGGAGTATCGTCTACATCTATCCCCATTTAGCTGACTTTTCTTGTTTGTCTTTCTTATTTCCCCCTCCTCTCGTTGGGTTTCTTGGCTCTGGGGTGGGAACCTTGTCCGCCAGGGAATCCTGCACTCTGGGAAAAGCGCCATGGTCAACGCGTTACAAGTCATCAATTACAAGCAGATCGGGATTTATTCTCTTGCATGGGATTAAATTGACAGTTGGTACACGGGAAATGGACATGTACGCAGCAATTGGGCACGGATGAGCAGCAGATTAAAGTACTCGGTGACCGAGAGTGACAGAGAGTGACAGAGACCCCGGCCTTGATTGGGACCCCGATGGTTGATTCCGTTCCCGGCCGCCGCACCGGGGTCAAGATCAGGTACTGCAGAGTAGTGAGTGCACTGCTGTACATCTACGATCTCCCTTCGCGTGAGGTGTCATTGGCAACTTACTTCGTACTAGCGCCGAAAACGTGTTGCAGCTCCAATCTTGAATTTGCGGAACTAGTGAAATGACAACATATGGTTTCATTTGAATCCCCCCATTCTCGTGTTAGCGAATGCCGAAATGTGCCAAATCGAACGTGTGCCGACGAAGTGCAGCGCAAGATCACAGCTGCGAAGGAACGAGGTATGAAGCGCAAATATGTACTTCGTACTTAAGCAAGTGGACGTGAAGGTACTCGACGGAAATTGATACATTGTTGATTCAGTTGCTGGTTTCCAGGGGTTGGAGACGGGGAGCAGGAGAGCAGGAGAGCAGGCGAACAGGGGTCGCGAATTCGGGCAGCGGCCCTCGACTGGACAGCTGGACAGCTGGCTGGCTGGCTGGCTGGCGAGCGGTCAAGGCCTTCAACCATCCTGTGTGCACCAACATTTGCTCTCCTCTCGCCCAATTGCAAGTTGCTTACGAAGGGATGTTGGTGGATGATACACCTCCCCATTGACTCGGGCGTTCAACGTGGACAGCTCTGATCCGGTCGAGCTCAGCTGACCTGCCGGATGTGGAGGAGATGATGATGGGGAGCCTCCACGAAGTTGTGTTGCCACATTCTCTTCTCCGCCATCGCCCTTCAAGCTGGACGCGTACTTGAATGCGGTGTAAATGGCGGGGTTGAGAGGATATTACATCGCTCGATCTGTGGAAAGGAGGTTGGACTGGCATGCAGGGTTAACATTAGTGTCGATGCCGGGAACAGATCTACTCAAATGGATGGCTGGATTGGCACCACATGTACAGATCTTGACGCACACGCTCCCCTGACTAGAAAAGGGCACGGTAGTTAAATCACCGGGCTTCGTACTCTGACCAGAGTTTACGAGGACTCTGGCGTTATTCTTGAGGCCTTTTCTTTTCAATCAAGTACTCAGTAAAACAGCGCAACTAATGATCCAACCTTGAGTGCTGAACGCCTGCATTGGGTCAGCATGGTTGGCCCAATGTCGAGGCCGATCAGCCTCTTGAAATCAACAATCCTCCACCGCCAATACTAACCACCTCTTCAAGAGAGATTGTGACAACGATGATTGATTCTCTTATCCGAACACCGGAGGAGACAGAAGGGACACGAGCACCAGCACCGGCACCAGCACTTGCGCAACATAATATGGCTCGAGCAATATCCACTCGTAACAAACCGTCTTCTTTTTGATGATTCCAGGAGCCAGCTCGAGCGGAGATGCTGAAATTGAAACAAGAGAACTGATCGAGATGACTGCCACTGTTCCATTCGATGTACCCTAGTCTTACCTATCCGGCCTATTCTCCGCGTGTGGCAGGGGCATCCCTCGGTATTGGTTACATAGTCTGTTGAGGTTACATCTATCATACCTCAGGTATCGGCTACTTCGGATCGGAAACGCCATTACCACCACCACACAGACTCGTTTCAGAAGTCTATCAAGCTTAATCAACCATACTGCATCTTTTCTAGCATCGTCGCCCTGACGAGGGGTAGCCTTTCACAATTGTTTCCATCAGATCTGCGGGATGCAGTGCCATGATTCCGGAGGAGTCCTGTTTCCCGTCACGATCACCTCGACGGTTCTCGATGGCATGAGAGACTAGGGTAGTTGTTTATAACTGGACCTTCTGTGCGTATGTTTACAGAGATTGATGGTTTCTTGGCAAGTTCTTTGACACGACGTCGTGGAACCATATGCACGGGGAAATCGGGGATCATCAACGTTCGATACATTTGATAGCATCAATTGATCCTCCTTGACCACACCAATGCATACCGCCCAGCTTCTTTTACGGCAGTATGGTGTAGATTAGTATTCGGCCCCTTTTAATGCTCAAGCTGCGTGCCAGTCACAAAGTGTTCTCCACATAATCCATATGCATCAATGCTACTTACATCTCGATATGAATCCTTGAAGGATTATACTAGGTCTAGAGAGTCGAGTAAAAGCAAGGCCATGGACTCCACAAGAAGCATTTTTTTAATACAAACGAGTACATGTTTTTACACACCGGTCTAATTCCTGTTCTGGAAGGGTTTTCCCTAATCCTGGTTAAATGCGGCACCAGTTTAACATTTCAAACCCTCGTATTATCATTCCTTCAAAGGGTTCGGGCAACTTTGACCCGCCGTCAATTCTCTGCAGGCTAACCGCCCGGGCTAGAAGTTCTGGATCCTCAAACCCGGAAGGATATCCCTATTACGCTTCCCTATCCACAAGTGCAAGTGCGGACTGCGCAGGAAACGATGCGGAGAGTCCCCTCCAGAACCCCGTGTCTCTGCACCCCGTGAAATTTCCGGGCTCGCTTTTTGTCTCAGATTTCTGCTGTCGACGAACATTCACCAACCAATGCCTTTCCGGGACAAGATCAACGATGCTCAAGGACGGTGGATATATTGGATGAATTGGCTCTGGCCCAATGCCTACATCTGCACTCGGGGTTCGGCCGACGACTCGGTTTAGCACTGCCCGGTCTACGGGTACTAGGTCAGAATCCGATGTTGTATCGAGCCTTACTGGAGCTTCTGGAGCTTCAAATAGCCCCGAGAAGATGGCATCGTCAAAGAGGGAATAAGTCTGAGGCAGCCAGACCACTACTGAGCCCACCAGCTACTTTGCCCCTATTTCTCGCAGTCGATGAGTGAAAGAACAGACCGTCAATCGTCAATCGATCTCCTCATCGACCGCATAGGTGTTTCCCATCACCAGCAGGGATCAGATCTCGGATTACTTATAAAGAAATAATCAAAGTCTACCAGAACATAATATTTAGAGGCACTTCTCTACTTCGTAAAGGCCTGCAGTTATCAGGATTAAGCTCTTTGCTCCCTGTGACGATCATGCTACACAACACCTCCTTCGGCCCCACCCCTTCCCTTCAAGCTTGAGCGTACCCCAAGCCAAGCAACTGCCCTAATCCAGCGAAGAATTTGCACCTGAAGCCATATGACCTTCCCTGGACCCATAAGCAAGGATGGGTCTCTTTCAGAAGCTCGCCTGTCCCTGTGCCCGATTGATTTCCAGTGCGTACACATGAAGAATTCTTGAAAGATTCCAGAGCATGTCTGTCCCCACAAGAGTCTGGGGGTTTCAACGCTTTTGCCTGGTCGCTCTTCTGTTTGAGCTCTGCTGAAAATACAAACCATTGTAGTCCGACGATTCATTAGAAGAGGATTAAAGATCATCGCAGTTGGACGCCACCAGATCCGTATTCCATGCGGATATTACCCGCCTGCTATGAGTATATCCCATTCTCACCAACACCAGATGGTCACCGCTCCTCGAGTCTAGACTTGGACTTTCCTGCTCTCCGAATCGTGCTGATAAAGTCCTTGGAAAGGTGTTTGTTTAGTCATCCGGCGAAACTTTCGACCCAGCCGGCCATGAGCGATTGAAGCTCTCGCCTCGCCGCATGAAGTGTCACAGAGACCTTAAGATATGCGCGGTTAATATCAATTGAGACGCAATGCTCCAAAGCGACTGGTCCCACGTGTGCCAAGATGTAGATCCCACGTACCATAGTGATGCCTTTTGATTCCGTGGCCTTCCCCTTGGTGCTTTCATGTACCTAATCCACACATTAACTCTGACGAAGCAAGCATCATTGCTCTTCTCTGGAGCGTGCGTACCTCGACGGGTGAGGCTGGGTAATATTGTTCTCACTATCTGCCGAGCCAATCGCCATTCTCACTCCCGTTCTTGGTCATCCTTCATATAATCAATTTCGAGTTGGTACGGGGCACGCATCCCCTCAAATCCCCTTGTTAGCTGTGGGGATTTTCCACGCAGCGGGCAGAAGGGCGAAGCTTAGTCCCGACGCACGCCAGAAAGCCTCGCTAATATTGCGCCTCTTACTCCGTACGGTTCGTCGGAACAAGCAGGCGTATTTGGGCGCCAGGCCGGTCTCCACTGGAAGTCCTGGGTCATTTCATCCACGCCATCGAGATATACAGAGATCACATCCACACGATAGTGACATCTACGGGGTTCTCGAGACAGTTTTCTGATCCCTGAGTGAAACTTCAGATGACAGCAGTAGAGAACGGCTGCTTCCCTCCAGAAGGTGGTGATCGCCGGTTCATAACTTGGTTCATTTTCGATCCGGCGCGGTTCTTTCCATACATCTAGAGGTCTATTTGATTGGCCATGACGGTCATAGGTGTCGAGTTAGTGTCGGACCCAGCGAGCTGCCGTCTTTTCCCTCATAGGTATACTCGTCGCTATCTGGTCAAAAGGTTTTTAGGATCGGAAGGTAAAGTGAGAACCGCCAACACCGTGCATGGCTAGTTGGCACATTGTGCCTCGATCAGCGTTGCTCACCCTCATGTGTTTACTTGTCCATGCGTGTGCCCAACCAACTGTGTGAGGTCCAAATAGCTTGAAGAGCGTCAGCTCCATGACCACACCTCCATTACGAGTCCGCATTGACAACCATCTCCCCACGCCGCGACGATCAGCGTTCACTGTTCACCTTCACCACACCCACTCCAAGCGCTGGAGGTATCCACCGGGCGCAGGCTAGCTCATGCGTGGAAATGAAGCCCCAGGTGTCCGTTGGGGGAGGCATGGATAGCGGGGGAACGAATATATTAAGTCGCAGCCAAGCGAATGCGTGCGGCTGCGTTCCAGCGATGGCGAGCATATTGCGTTATAAATGAACCTGCGGGATTGTGATCTCGTTGGAGAGATAGGGTGAGAGGCTCTGCATAAATAATGTGATGCCGCCCGCCCTCGGCTAGCACATGATGCCATGTGGGCATTTAAAGAGACCTAAATATGTGGGTCAGGCACCCGGGTTGACAAAGGACGGTGTTCAATCTTCGATGCCTGCCTCTATGGGATTGGCAGAGGCGAGGCTTGTCTGCTGTTGTATCGAACTGCTTGTTGCATCGTCATTGATGTCACCAAAAGTAATCGAAGTAGATCTGAGAGATAAAAGAATAGCCCAGCTTACGTATTGCTCTGTGAAACTAACTTCGTTGGGCAGTACGCATAACATCTGCGCTTCAGCGAGCTGTTCTGCGCCCGCGTCCGCATCGGCAGCTTCAACACAACTGCGCCAGATAGATGGAACTGATCCCATACCATGCCCGACTCGAATTCCGATCACGAAGCTGAAGTCCGATCCTGGGGGTTCCCCCATGTGTTTACCTGGACTGATCAACCGTACGTTGATAGATTGAATCTTGTCAAGCTGGCTTAGGTCGACTTAATAACCTCCGTTGGCCTCCAATCCAAATTCCATCATTGAAGTCGCTATCTTGGCTTCAAACGGGGGCTCTCCATCGTTCATGGTACCTCTGCAAAACACCCAGTTGCAATCGGATCTACCTGCTTTCCTATATTGATTCTAGCCTAATGGTGGCAAGAGGTGGTTCGGAATCCAATCACGAGAATCACAAGCTAACGGTGTCCGAGTTTGATAGGAATGCTTATTATCGGCCCCATTCTCATGACGGCTTGACAACTCACCTCATCATCCAGGGAGAACTGACCATCACGTACCCTGCGGACAAGAGTCCCGAGAAAACCACGCACGGGGTCGGAGAGAGGATCGATGTCGAGGCGGGGAGAACCCACGAGGTTTGGATTGGGAAAGAAGGATGCACCTACGTGATTGGCGAGCAGTGATTTTCTGGCCTAGCTCCCATGTCCAGCATCCGTCAAAACTCGAAGAACAGCTCGAGGCATCAATTAGTACTTCCATCTTAAGCATGAGTTTATTTTTTCAACTCCAACGTTTTCCATTTGTGAAAAGCACTCTCAGCAGGAGGCAATTTCTATGTCATTGATGCTACACTACCACCAGTCCATTTCATCTTCTGGAGTATTAGCGTACGCAAGTACATAGTTAAAGGTCCTTTCTCGAAATCCTTGAACTTCTTCCGTAGGTCCTTCTGTAGGTCTTTCTCTTTGTCTGGACGGAGTCGACGCGGAGTGTTAGCAAATAACAGCCCCAAAGTTTCGTCGCCCACCATCTTGTTGCCCATGGCAAGAGACAAAATACTCTGACCATCGGGAAGTAGTTTTCCGAGATGAGTCGAAAGAGATGTTTTGTCAAGAATCGATCGAATCATGTCCCCGTTCCCATGAGCCGCTGCTACGTGGAGGGCTGTCCATCCCTTCGAGTTGGTGTACCCTGTCAATACCTTTGGACAGTCAAGTAGGAGGTTTAGGATTTTGCTTCGGAACCTGTAGTACTTTTCCTCTACCGTGACTGTACTTATCGTGACGCAACAATGGGGCTTTGGAATAGAGAGAACGTTAAAAAGGGACGAGGCCATTAACAAAGGGGATGCCCTTTCCATTGTAGGGTCACTACTGTTGCGCGCTTCAAATCCGATATTTGGAAGGATATCCTTGTGCTGTAGGAGAGCCCGTACTGTATCAACTTGGCAAGAACGAATGACTAGAGTGAGTGGAGTGTTCCCTTCGCGGTCGCGGAGGTTTACGTCGATTGTCGGCAAGTCTAACATGGCCGTCACAAGCCGGGCGACATCGGCCTCTTCACTCCTCAGCTCCTCGAAATCCCATGCTCCCACGTTACCATGTTCGAGATTCATTATAGGCAATACCGAACATGCCCTGTGAAGTAGGGAGAGTTCAGGGCTGGTCACATCGGCATGAACGTGAACCGGGTCCAGCGACAGCATCGCGCGGAAGACACCTTCATCACCGATGGGCGGTCGGATAATCATGTCATAGGCTGTCCGTCCTTCAGCACAAGGGAGGTGGAGTTGAACTCTTGGGTCCTTTCCAAGCTCCTCCATCACCTCACTGTGGCCTAGCTTAGCCGCCAATCGAAACGCACTGCGTCCCTTCTCGTCAAGTACATTGGGCTCGATACCATCCACAGCCAGGAGGACTGGGATGAGGGCGGGACTGGGGAGGGTCACCGCAAAGTGAATAGGGTAGTAGCCCGTAGGCCCATGTTGCTTCGTAATGTCGGCGCGTGAGAGGAGAACTTTGGTAGCATCAATGTCTCCCTTGGCAATGGCTGCCATCAGAGGGGTGTAGTTGTGTGGTCCGCCGTAATCCACATCTAATCCGTTGTTTGTTAACTGTTTGAGAAGTTCTGCACCTGAAGCTAGGAGAAGTTCAATCATTGGGATGTCCCCGGAAGCGGTGGCAATCGTGAGTAGGACAACATCCTCGACATTGTCATAGAGCTTGAGATCTACTCGATAGCTGCGTTTCCAGTCGTTGGCAGGCATAGGCCCCTTATCAGTGCTGGGAGCACCAAGGTAGTTCGGCGCAGAGTTTAGATCGTAGTTGTGGACACGAAGTATCAAATCAACCATGCCACAATTTCCATGACGACATGCTTCAATAAGCTTTGATTTGATATCAGGGAGTCCCCTAACCATCTGGATGAGACCTAGATTTGAGGCAGCCTCGATGGAAGAGGCTGTTGATGGCATTATGTCACTTGGGCTGGCTGTTGCTAGAGAGCTCAGCTTCGGGACGGCCGTTTTAGCGCTGGGTCTCAGCTTTGTAAGTGTGGTAGGCCCAGTAATTTTTGGCGTACTGAGTGAAAGGTAGAGGCGCATCTGTAGCGCCAGGAGAATCGGTTGAGGCAGCAACAAGGTTCAGATAACGGCTGCAAGTTATGGCCATAATCGTATCAGCATCTGGAAACAGAGACGCCTTTCTTGCGTCGATGTATTCCCGCGTGGACTTGTGCATGAGGCGTACAACGCGTCGCTCGACATCAACAGTGATCAGACCGGAACAGGCTGTGACGACGTCATTGATATCCGGGACGTTATCAACATCAATGGTATCGCTGTCGTCATCGAGTGACAATGCATATGTTAATTCCTCTACGGCGAGAGGCCGTCTTGCGCATGCGATGATCAAAACCGCTTGCATAGCCAGCCGTTTCCAGTCGTGGCTTTGCGACTCGATCATGTTTATGGCCTTCTCATATGCCTTGTCGTATGCCGTGGAACCGGTAGCGAGGCTTTGAAGGGACACGCGGAGCGCCTTTCGTGTGGTCTTCGATCTTAAACACTTCAGGTGAAGTTCGGCAAGGAGAAACCTACACCCATAATGTTAGAAGCACGGTTCCGGGAGGGTGAAGAAGATATAGTACTCACATGCCCGAGCTTGCATTCACAATTCTGTCTATGATCTTATTTTTAAGGGTATTATCTGTGGCCACAAACCTGGGAAATTGGGACAGGTTCCGGGACAGATACAGTCGAACGTCCTGGTCACTAGCCCTAATTTCAATGGTCGTTGTCCTCTTCCCCTGGAAATAGGGTTAAACATCGACGTAATGGCGCGTGGTGAGTAAAAGATTAGACTCGCATTTGCCATGGAGTTTGACGAGAACTCGTAGGAAATCTCGCATAACGTGAGCCTCCAGCTCGTCCAGCCCGTCGACAAGGATGTATGCTCTCGATAGACCCGACAGTGATAGCGACAAGAAGTCGATTACTTTTCCACGGTCGAATGGCCTGCGTTGTGACTGACTTGCCTCGAACGCTTGCGAGATTTCCAAGGGAGCACGGGCGCCACGTTCCAAAGAGGCACGGAGGAAGCTGCGAAGAAGTTCGTTGGTCTCCTGATCGCGACGCTGATACAGTAGGTGCAGTACACATTCACAACGCGTCTGTCCTTGTCGTTCCCGATCATGGTTTGTATGTCTTTGGTTATCATTGCCGTTGTAATTGTCTTGCCACTACCGGGGGTCCCAGGACACAGTAGAATGCCACCTTTCTTGTTGACCCATTGCGTATACTCTGAAGATTCGAAAAGCCACTTGCGCGACCTAGGCTCACCACGAGCCTCGTAGTCATTGTGCTGAGAGATGTAATCGACGGGGCTTATCCATTCCAGCATCGCGGAGTTTGTGTCGGATTCTTGACGTATACTCAACTTTGCGACTGAATTTGCGATGACTTGGACTTCGAAGGTGTTGAGAATTGATATCTGTGCCGTAATGCGACATCGCAAGTCGCGTATGTCGTCAGGCTCCCATTGGAGTCTCTTCCAAAAGCGCTTCAAGGCGCGGCCTTTTATCGGCTTCTCGAGATCGGTATATTTGTTTAAGGTCGTCTCTAGCTCGGAGAGAAGCGCTTTGCAGTTACCTAGAACAACACACAACCTTTTGGCTTGTTCTTGGGAGAGCGTGTCGCTTCTGACCTCGGCATCCTGGAGCACGATGGTCAGGCTGCGGAGTTCGATGCTGATGGCCTGAAACTGCTGTGGCGCCTGGACAAACTGCTTCCGGATTTGATTTGCTAGTTTCAAGACAGCGAGAAAATCGCCGACGCTGTAACCAAAACTTATGATGGCGCGATGCTTTGTGTCAAGGGCGGATAGAGGGCGACATTGGGCTACTCGAGACTTTGTTCACCGAGGAGCTGCTCGCCCCATATTCTACTTGGGAGCTTAGCGGCTGAGTTTGGCTGAAGAGCTGGCACCTGGGAGAGAAAGAGGGGGATTTCTTTTACAAAAACAGTAACTCAGCCGCCTGGGTGCTTGTTGGAGGTTGAGTAGCTGACTGGCTGCATCTGGGGGCTGCCTGTGTGCATATCACTGCTGCGTCTGCATCAAAAACGTGGTCGGAATCACCTAAGTCTACACTAACGAATATCCTCAACTCACTGCACATGCATATCCACCCATAAGCTCCAACCTGGCAGAAACACGATAAGTTCCAAGAGCAATGCTGCTTGTCCCGGCTGATGGTTTGTAGCGTTGGGCGGCGTCTGCGCCAGCCATGTTTGGGACACACCTGGCCAGGCTGTGTACTCATCCCCCTCACAATGCACTACCATGGCTGCCGACACTGGCGGCAGAATCCGCCAGGCATTGATGATTTGGTCCACCAACACCCAGCCTGAAGTCGCTCCTTCGGTTCTTGTCGAGGGCCATCGCGTCTGCCTGGATCAATGGAGCGTCAACATCCTAACTCCATGCCAACTTTTCCCGGTCGATGCGGTAGGGTAACTCGAGTCATAAAAATGATGTACCGAGTATTATCTCTGGGGGGATTTTGGTTCTCTTATCAGGTCGACGGTTGGCAGACTGGTGGATGGCGGAAAAGAGTCCCAACCAATGTTGTCAATGTCTAGGATACGAGAGCCTGGCGAGGCATGCACCTGGTTTTGTTTGACGACGGGGACTGTTTGTAGGGTCTTTTTTTTTTTTTTTTTTTTTTTTTTTTTTTTTGCTATCAACTATTGGGACGTGGAATTTCTGTCAAGGCCAAGCCGGACAGCAGTGGTGACCTCGTTAGTATCAATGAGCGGTTAGTAGCCAAGAGCTAAGGACTCAAGTGCATCCGATGGCACCTGATCGCCGTGGAGTCTCAGCCTGAGCCTCTCGTGGAATCGACAGCCAAGGAGTGGCCAGGTCCTCCAAACGATACATGGAGTGAAAGCCCAGGTATGTCTTTTGTTGAATGCATACTGATATGAAGGGTCCCGAGCCCGCCCCAACATGCAGGCCTGGCGAGATCGAAGACTCCAACCTCTCGAGGATGCGATGCGAGCGAGCCAGGAAGGATCCAGCTCTTGTGATGTGACATCTGCCTTGCATGCGTGGGATGCCTGGTAACGCAAACGCAACATCGCTCGCTCTTCCCGACACTCTGTAGCAGTTGCCTTCAGCTCTGAACTGATGCCAAGGCTTGCCTGCCTGATGAGAAAGAGGTAGGACCGACTAGAATCGTTCCCAGAGTGGTGACCAACGAGATTGAATTGGGTAATCAGATTGAATTTGCAAGTTTAACTCCGATCGAAGGGTACGAGCCTTCCAATTGACCCCGAAGGGGGGAGGCTTGGAGCGATTGCGCCATCGCCAAAAGTGGGTGGCAGGTGGATAATATAGCCTTGTCATACCCATCGATCCAGGCTTCAATTGCTGTTGCATCGATCCTTCTGCACTCACTCCAGAGAGCAGGTTTGGGGATCCCCCCACCGCTGTAAATGAGTGCAACGTTATCCTCACGAGCTGGGAGACTGTGAGAGTTGCCCCAGACATCAATTGATGAATGATGGTAACCCAGCCAGCTTACTCTCGCACGAGAAGCAGACCTGACACTGGAGAGGAACCGATTTGGTATTATTAGAGGATACCCCTTCCTTGCTAGATTGGCACATGTTTTGGTAAACTTATCCACGGCTTCTACTGCTTATAATTTTCGAGGTGCCCTCTGATTGTTCTCACCCACGACTAGACGTGCTTGTGATTGCCATGAGCTAAGGCAGCCTGGGCCTCATGTTCGCGAGGCTCCCAACCATGTGCCGGATTTCCACCGGAGAAGTGCGAAGTAAAAAGAAAGAAGACGGAGGTGGGAACATCGGGGCCTTAGTCGATTTGGCGTCGCTCGGCTGGTTCATGAAGGGACGGACTAGCCGACTCCTTTGCAGCCGGTCCGAGATTCGTCCACCCGCGAGCCCCCAAATATGGCGATGACGACATCAAGCAATGCAACATCTGAACGCCGCATCCGAAGCCAATGTGGAGGAGGTGGAGGAGCTTGCCCCGCCCAGGAAACTTGGAAGGAATATTTAACCTCTTGGATTTGAGACTCCCGAAAATTGGAATGCTTGGCAGTGCGACTCTATCGAGTGGACCCTGCTATATCGAGGATTTCGAACCTGTTGATGCAGGCGAAGAGACCCTGAACCAGCAGTTTGTAGGAGAATTTTCGCCTCCACTCGATCCTACCCGCGTCAGCGGACATCGCAGTCGGTGAAAAAGATGCGCCATCATCCTGTGCCAAGACAGATTGGCGTGGGAGGTGCATCGGCCCTCAATTCCTCGTGCCTGGTATTAGGAAGTATCACCCCCGGTTTCTAGTATCTAAGCTTTGTTGAGCTGGAAGCTTAAAATACTTTGATAGTACAAGTCCGGCCAAGCTTGCTGGCTGTTTACTATCCAGAATCCACCTCGGAGGATAGAAAAAAATCCGGATCATTTACTGCTATGGGGCTAGGCTTGGCGAGATGGTCGAGCGTGAGAGGGCCTCGCGCTGATCTTGGGTCAAATTTCCATGGGGACCGGAGGAAAAGGAATGATCTTGTTAATTACGTACATGTTGACCAGATCCTCGTTGTGTATACTGGACTCAACTTCTCTTAAAGGAAGCTCATGCCATGCGGGAGACCATGTCAACGATTCTTGTTTCGTCTAAACCTTGGTCCATGCTTATGCTCGGCACTCCTCCTCTTCTTCTTCTCAAGCTATTAACCTTTTCCCAGATACGAAGTATTCAGTTATCCCCCACTCCCCAGTGGTGACAGCTGAATACTGCTGCAATAGACGAAGCTCCCTTTCTCATACACCCGGTTCACCGGGGTTAGTCCCCGCCAGTTCTCGTCGAAATGTCTGTCAAAAACGTGTTGAAGAAGGTCGGCGGCTGGTTTGCGCCGCCCCCCGGCAAAGCTGAAGATGGCAGAGATCAGTGGCCATCGCGTGCTGCTTTCCTTCTCGCGTCCATGGGTGGCTGCGCGGGCATGGGAAACCTCCTGCGCTACCCGTCGCAAGTATACAACAACCATGGATTACAGTGGTACATTCCGTACCTTATGTGCGTCTTCCTGATTGCTATTCCGGTCCTCGTCCTTGAAATCGCCATCGGCCAAGCCTACCGCGGCGGTTCCGTTGTGGCTTTCAACAATATAAACCGCCGCCTGAAGGGTGTCGGTCTCAGTCTGCTCTATGTCGGCTTCGTCGTCGGACCCTACTTCGTGGTCATCCTTGCGTGGATTATGAACTACTTCCGAAACTCTTTTATTAGTCCACTTCCTTGGACCGGTCGGGGAGAGGAATTCTACATGAAGGATGTGGTCGCTAACATCCCACCCATTACCGGCAACTTGACTGAGGATGGCACCAAAGTTCTCAACTATACAAAGTACCCTGGTGTTGGCCTCGTCGGAGAGACGGTTGGCTGGACCGCCTTCACTTGGTTTCTTGTCTGGCTCTGCATCTTCAGGGGTGTGGGGTTGACCGGGCGCGTTGTATACTTCACAATGGGTTTGCCTGTTATCATGACCATCGTCCTCATTGGCCGTGCTGTCTCTCTCGACAATGCCAAAGAGGGCATCAAGCTGTATTTCGCGACTTGGAACGGAGATAAGCTTGCCAACGGCCAGATCTGGCAAACGGCCTGCGGCCAGGTCTTCTTCTCCACCGGCGTTGGCTTCGGTTACTTCACCTCATACGCGTCCTACAACAGCAAACATTCAAATGCAGTCGTGGATTCCATCCTCATCGTTACCAGCAACGTCTTGTTCGAAAACATTGCCGCCTTTGCCGTGTTTGGCGTGGTTGGGTTTCTTCGCCTCTTCCCCCAAGACGGAACGCGGCTGGGTAGCTTCACCGTTGGTTTCCTGACGCTTCCCTTGGCCATTACTGAGATGCCTGGTGCGAACTTCTGGGCTTTCGCCCTGTTCTTCACGCTCATGGTCCTGGGATACAGTTCGGCTTTCGCTATGTTGGACGCCGTGGTTACTCTTGTCATGGATACCGGCATCAAGTACCCCCGCCCGCTTGTCGTAACCACCCTCGTGGTCATTTCCTTCCTCCTGTCACTGCCGTATTGCACCCAATTCGGCTATTATCTTCTCGATGGTATCGACCGGTGGATCAACGATATCGCTCTTGTATTTGTCGTCTTTTCCGAATGCGTGAGTTCTACGACCGTTTACCGATGGAAGGACGTTGTCGGCCAAGTTGGTCGTCCCGCGTTCATTGTTTATAACTGTGGTTACTTTGGCGGTATGGTTCTTGGTGTGGGCATCGCCCATGCTGTGAGACCTCCGGTTGGCGCTGGAGTCGGCTTCGGTCTCTACGTTGCTGGGTCTGCCATCTCGACATTCATTGCCAAAACACCGGATGCGGAGACCCCTAAGCTCTTCAACGGAAATGCAATCTTTCGCCGGTTCTATTGGTTGGCCTTTTACTCGGTATGATATCAGATCAGCCCCCGCCAGCCAGTGGAAGATGGACCGTATCATAGAACTAACAAACCTCCTCTCTGCCCAGGGTAACCAACTGCGCCGTGACCTGAATGTTATCGTCGGTCGCGGAAACAACTGGGAGATACCAGCTTTCTGGAGTCCCCTTCTCCGATACGTCGCCGGTCCGATTCTCGCCATTGTCTTTGGATTCTCATATCCCGCTTTCTACAAACTCCGGATAGATCCTCTCCACATCCTCGGTTTTGCCATAGGCCACATCGCCCTGTTAATCATTGCTTTTGGCTTCATCGTACCGCGCTGGTATGATGTTATCATCTCGCCATCCCGGCGTGGAGAAGGCAGGGTCCCGTATGCTCCTGGGGTCGCCTTCGAGGCGGTGGTGTCTTCGGGGAACAGCGATGCCCTGGAGAGCGGCGAGGTGGAAGGAAAAGTGGTTGTGGATCCGGATACCCAGAATAAATGATTTCGTTTCTCTCTGTTGATTTCTTTTCTCTCCTGTCTTGTCATGATGGCTTGGATGTTGTTTAAGGGAAAATGGGGATGCTTGCTTTGATTCTACTTTGCATGGATTGGGGAGAACGAGGCCCATTTCGTATGGGAGTGGAAGTCCACGAATTGACCAGGCTTCGCCCCCCGTTCGAGTTGTTTCTTCTTATTGTTCCAAGGCTAGACGTCCTCGGCTTCGATACCCATTACCATCTCATCGCCGGGATAATCAGAAGGCGACATGGTACTTTCCTCCTCTGTCACTCACATTTTTCACATTTCCGGCCCACCCGGCCGACTTCATGGTGCACCCATCGATAACACACCTCCTCATCCCTTATGACGGACAGATAAGGAAGACTTTATGAACTAGCTACAGCGGAAGATACTGCGACCGAAGATAGGTTTTTCGATTTCTCGAGTGGAATGTATTTTGTAGACCACCTGCCTTGCGACTCCTCAGTCCCATGACGTCCGAATCGCCGTCGAGTATGCCATTGCCTCTTTCCTATCACCAAAACAACCACAAGCGCTCAATTTTCCGCCTTCTTTCCACTTACGCTCTCGAGTAAGTGCACGAAATTTAATGGGTGTTTAATTGCCGCCTCCTATAGGACCATAATTCCATATTCTCCCCGCAGCCCAATTGCAAGACATGGGGGACTGGGAATACCGAGAGTGAAGACGCGGGCTCAATGGAGCGCGTGTTGTTACTTCCCCTGGGATCCTGTGGGCTAAAATGGCTGTCTCTATGTTATGTATCCCTTTTGCCTCTGTATCGGTTAACTTGTTGATTTGGTGTCGGGTGTGGCGAGTTCTTGATATGGTGGGTACTGGGAGGCCTCACAGGAGAACAGGTGTTCAAGGACTGGGCGTAACGGAAATTAGGGACCGGTGCTTTCCCTGGGCTAACTACCCACACCAGGAATCACCGTGGGTTGGATACTTTTCTCAAAGGGTCTTAAGCGATACTATCCGCTCATGTCCGAATCGGACTCGTCAGGCCGAGCCGATCGCATCAAACTGTCATCCGTATTTCCCGCATCGGGCGAGTCGGGAGTCGGCCCCGTGGAGGTACCTTCCGTGTCATCAGACTCAGAACCCGTGGCGTAACTCAAATCACTTTCGTCTTCCGAAGCGAGGTCTAAGTCCAGGAACTTCGGGGGCCATCGGATATCGGTCGGGGGTGGACTGCCAATGGGAGTGAGAACCTGTCCCGCGTAGCCAATGACCCCATCGCCAGCTTCGATTGGCTCGAATAAATGGCTATCGTTATCCCAAGTGTTGACGTAGAGACGGTGTAGACCCTCAAGAGGTGCCACGTCCAAGAGTTGGAATCTATCACTACCTGGGACTAAAGTAATGGCGGAGAAGACGCTTATCTGCAGCTCGAGGAAGTTCTTCATCTCCATTATCTCTTCATGCAGGTACCTGCGGAGCCGAGCCGGTCTAGTTGTCATCATGCCCCAGCCGTCCTCTGGGTCAACTTTATCGAAGTAGTGATACTCCACGTCGCGAATAAAGTCTTGTTTCGGCGGGCCGTACACCTCCAGCGTCACCGCCTCGCGGGACATAATGTTAATGATCCACGCCCAGGTCACTGAATTCGACTGCGCCAGGCGCGTCTTCAACGTATGGTAAAACCTATTCCTGTTTGTCGCATTGGCGATCCTGTCGAGGACTGCTGGCGCCCATTGTCCTTCGTCTCTTATCTCCCGCTCCTGTTTGTTCCGTCCCGGCGGGCTTCGCGGCGGGCTGACGAACTTGATCCCGTAATGCAGCTTCCTGATGTTGCCTCTCTGCTGTAGCCAGTCGACAATCTGCCAGCCTTGCTTGGCGGGATATCCGCCCGATTTGAGCCTCTCGCAGACGATGAGCTTTCTTTTCCGGGCAACGCCGAGGAGGAAGCCGAAGTCGACGAGCTCTCCGTAAAAGCCTGTGTTTGGTTTGTCGTCTCCAGAGTCAGATGTAAAATTGGAGTCCGAATCGCTCGGCAGTCTGTTGTCTTCCGATTCGAGTTCTACGTCCGATTCTGCTTCCGATTCTGCTTCCGATTCCGATTCTGATTCTGGCTCTGATGGGCCTTCCTGTGCCCACTCAGATTCGGGAGAGGGGGTGCTATCCAAGACTCTTTGTATCCATGGTGCGATGGTAGGTCTTTCCTCCCCGTCATCATCATCGCTATCCTCTTCTTCCTCTTCCTCTTCCTCTTCTTCTTCTTCCGACTCCTCCTCTTCCTTCCTTGCTGCTGCCTCTTCCTCTTCTCTTTCTTTCTGTTTTTGCTCCCATACTCCTTGCCCTTCTGGGAATTCATCTGCCCACGGATTTATGTCTTCTTCTTCCTCTTCTTCTTCCTCTTCTTCTTCCTCTTCTTCTTCCTCTTCTTCTTCCTCTTCATCTTCATCTTCTTCTTCCCTCTCCTCCTCTTCTTCTTTTTCGCCATCTTTTGATGCTGAGGATCCATCCGGCCGGGTTTCCACACCACCACCTTTGATCACAGCGCTGAATACTACGCTGTATGGTTGACCAAAGCTGTTTGAACTCTCGGCATCTTCCTGTCTTCTCGAGTTGTGTCCGCTCTCCATGTCTTGGCCTTCCGCTCGGACTCTTTTTGATGGAGGAAGAGGACTCGCGCTCACATCTGTTGTAGAAATAGAGGCTTTGCGCTTCAGTGTCATCCTTCGGTCTTCTATTGTTTTGATATTCAGGCGCGTCTGGCTCTTGGTTTTGGGGTGGTGCGAGAATCTCGTTGGTGTTGATAGTCCTGTTGACCTAGATTTGCAACCTAAGAGGTGAGATTGAGTGTAGGAAGCGGCTTACTTTTAGAGCACATCTTGCTAGGGTGACGTGACAATAGAAATATCCATCGTGAGATCCTCTTTTGCCCGGGACTGTGGAAGGATTGTAATGCAGGCGGGGAATGGCAACTGGGCTGGAATGCAGAAATCGACTCGATACTTAAGAATTGAACAATCGATTCACCCATCAAGGATTCATGAATTTATGAATTGTGTCTGTTTATGGCCTATGTTCTGGACTTCGCGGTTTATTTCTTGATCAACATGTTCCAGTTTACATCAAGTAGAAGTCCAACAGCTCCGACCAAGATGCAAGTAGGCTCGATCAATACCTTCTCGTGGAAGCCCTCACCCTCCCAACCCCTTACCGGGTGGTGTATCCACCATTGGCAAAGATTGTCTGACCAGTTATCCACTGGCCCTCGGTACACAAGAACTTGACAATAGGAGCAATGTCTTCAACCTCCGTCAAGCGGCCTCCCATCCCCTGGCTCTTGTGGTACGCTACGGCTTCCTCCGATTCTTGGGGATAGAAGAATGCTTAAGTGTCCGAGAATGTTAGTCTAACCGGCCAACGGTGGTGAATTAAATGGCATGAGAAACAAAGAGCAAAAGGACTAAAGCGCTTACGAGTGTCCATAGGACCGGGGGCAATGGCATTCACGCTGATTTTGCGGCTTTGAAGCTCCTTGGCGACTCCCCTTGTAAAATGTTCGACAGGGGCTTTCGAACCGGCATAGGATGTGTAAAATCCGGTAAAGGCAGCCAAGAGCGAAGTAACAATGGTGATCAACTTGCCACCATCCGAGACGTTCTTGGCTCCGGCTTGGAGAATGAAGAACGCAGCCTTGGAATTGACCCTAAAATTCCACCGGGCACACCAAAAATTAACATCATTGTCCATAACGACTCCGGGAACGGCATGAAACTTACGCAAACATCTCATCGTACTCGGCCTCGGAAATCTCCGTAATAGGCTTCTTCAAGACCTTGCCCACAGTGTTAACGACGATATCCAACCCCCCGAAGTCTTTCAGCACAGCCGCGAACAAGCCATCGACGGCCGCCTTCGTCGTCAGGTCGCCCTGGTACAGAGCGACCTTGGACTTGGGAGACGACTTTTGAAGCTCGGCTTTCAGCTTGTCGCCGTCGATCTTAGAACCTTGGCTGTTGTAGTGTAGGGCGAGGTGAGCTCCCTGGCCAGCAAGCTGGCGGGCGATTTCGGCACCGAGGTTCTTCGTGCCGCCGGTGATGAGAGCTACTTTTCCGGTGAGAGGCATTGCTTGGGTGGCCAAAGGAAGACTAAGAGTGTAAGTAGATGAGAACAGCGATTTGGAAAGTGTATTGATAAGACTTCAGACGGGGACGCCCTCTAAATAAAGGAAAAATTACTGGTAGCGGATTTATAGGAAACGTAGCCAGCGAGGCAGGCCTCGTCAATGCTTGGTATTTATCTGGAAGCTCTGTAGATGACCTGGTCTGTTTGGGTGAAGCCAATGTGCTTTTTCCACACGAGTTTGAATGGAGTAACGTCGTTCCCCCACTTTTCGCGGACAATATTGGAAAAAGCACGCATTGGTATGCGTAAGAGAGTGCTCTGGCTAAGCTGAAACCCGCATAGCGGCGTTAAGAGTTGGGCAAGGATCGTATTCATTGGGTCAACTCATCATGAAGAGGGCGACTTAGACTCGGCTTCGGTGCCGGAGACATAGTTCGTGCATACCTGCGTCGATGCACGTGTGTCGATCTAAGTTGGAGAGTGAGGGGGAGGGAGGACAAGTGATCTACAGAGTCGGTGGATGATGTCTAGGGCAGTTTAGAGACTGCCGCGGAGATTTGGGCCACGTTGACTGAATGGGTCCAGATGCCTCAATGATGCCAATGAAAGGAGCCTTTGAGCCTAAGAGGACAACTGCTCGAAGCCAGCGCCATGTCTCAACTCTAATCATCGTTTGCAGTAACACCGCACCTCATTCATCGATTAATTATGGGTAAGAAGCTATACCTAACTCACTCCAACCAAGGTACCTTGTAGAGTTCGCTGGTATTGAGACAGACCGAAGCAGACTGTCTCAGAAATAGACGTTACAAGACCAGAACAGACATTACGACGCATCACTCAAAAAGCATACAAACATCCCGCACCGTTTGGCTTATTTCTTCCACTCGCCCAGAGTTTTTCGCCCAATTCTAACAAGATCCTCGTTCTCCAACGGATCTTTCTCAATCCCATCTATGATCTGGCTCAGCATCGTCGCGGCGATCTCGTCGACGCCAACGGTCTTGGCCAGATGGAGAGTCCCAAACACGTTCATGATGGACTTGATGACACTCGCGTGAGTCGGACCAATGTACGACGGCTTAACTACGGTAGCCTCGACCTCGCCGTTGCTGTCGGCGGCGTACTTGATTACAGCTCTCTCAACCTCTCCCTATTTGATTCCATCGTCAGATAACTTGGAAAGACCTTTTGAAGTATTGAGGAGTAAAACTATTGGGGAAAGCGGGTTATCCAATCTTACCCTCAGTCGAAAATAATCTCCCATGAAAGGTTGCCATTTGTTTGGGTCTCGCGAAATCGGAGCGCCACTGACGTAGACGAAGCGGAAGGGTTTTGCCGGACCAGCTTCATGAATTGCCTTGATGCCGCTCACGGTGTAATCGAGACAAATTCGCCGAGCGTCCGCCTTGCTGTGGCCGAGAAGCTTGTTGGGGACAAGACCGATGGTCCTGTGGTCAAGGGTAAGAATGTGGATTAGACGTTGGGTTGCTCCATATTTTGAGGCCCATCATGGAAAATATGCCGGGTGCCTCGCTCGCCACCAGTTCGATCGTGGTAAGGAATGAGCCCGTTGCTCCGCTGCGCGCTGCTGGACTTACCAGATGCACCCACTCGCACCAGCCAGCTCCTTCTTGTCTTCTTCGGAATAGTTTCCAAAATCCTTGAGAACTAGATTCTTGAATTTCGAGGCATCCGAGCCTTCGGGGACAGTGATGGGTCTTCGGCTTAGAGCGACGACGGAGGTGATCTCGGGCCTGGCCAGGCTCTGGCGCAAGACCTCGGTGCCGACAAAGCCGCTGGCGCCACCAACGACGATTTTCATTGTTTTAAAGCGCTAGGCGCTGCCTTTGTAGATAGGGCCCTATTATCTAGATGTCTTGGGGTCGATGAGTCGACAGCATGACCGCGCAGTTCGCAGTCGGGGGAACGACAGTGGTGGGAACAAGAATATGATCCGGCGTGGTTCTGCCTCCCCCCGCTTCGAAGGGTGGCACAGATCATGAACGGCTTGGGGTATTTATGCAAATGATACCTTTGTATGTTCCTCCTTCGTATTTGGACGGCAACGATACCACACGCAATCAACATGAGTAATAGCAAAATGCCACCACCACCGCCACCGGGATTGTAAACTCCGGAGGACCTGGTCTCGCAATCTCCCGCCTTTCGAAGATTGGTGGTGGTTGCTCGCCACATTGCATTTGAACTGATTCTTGAGTCGTTCGTTCAGATACTTTATCGAGGCAGCTCGTTCCCAAATAAAATCGAAATCCTTCATCTATCAATTGATATCTAGTTCAATTCCTTTTCAAGTTACAGCGGCTGGCAGACTTTCCGTCGTGGATGGAGTTGGACCACGTCGGATTGAACCATGATGAACCCATGGAGCGTTGAACCCCCTATGTAGAGGGAGCTCAGGTAAATTCGAGAATTGATGGGGGACGAGCTGAGTTCTGGGCCGCTCAAATTCCATGAAGCCAGGTGCAGTCTTCGGCAATGTCCTTTATCAACGTCATAATATATGGAGGCATCCAGGCATTGGCAGCTTTTGCTTCGTGAATAAAATTGAACACTTGATTCTGTTAACTTGCTCGGTTCGTCTAAGTGAAGTTTAAGACAATAACCCAGGTGTGGTTTGGGTTTCTCGGGTCAATCAAATGATCCCAGTAGGGATTATTTCTGAGAAGGGCTTCTGTGAATATGAGGCGGGAAGAAGGAAAGAAAAGAAGAAGAAAAAAAAAAGATTTGTGAACCCAGAGCGATTTGAACGCTCAACCTTCTGGAACCTCCGCAGGAGATTGGACACTCCAACTTTTGCTGGAATCAGACGCGCTACCGTTGCGCCATGGATCCGCTGATGTCTTAACTGCCCGATTAAAGTGGATTAAGGCGCAATGGGGCTGAATTCGTCAACCGCACTGACACTGCGCTGGTGTCCAAGGAGTGTAATTACGCTATTAAAATTACCCTTGCAGCATGAAGAACTTCGCCTTGGTAATTGGATTTTTGTGAAGAATACTGAGCCCCGATTGCAACGTCGCGACAGGGCCGATCCTTGTCATTTCCCCTCTGCGTCTGGGTCTGGACGAGCGTTCCTCCGATTCTGACATGTAGGGCTGTACGAAGATATTAGGATCCCAATCGATATTTTTCTTGGCAGGAAATCAGATAAGAATTAGCGAGTCCCCCCTTTTTATCGTAGACCTGAATTTGAGATCAATTGATGCGCGTCGACTCGGCCAACAGAACAACACCAAAATGGCCCCCTTACAACCTCTCCTACATGTTGCCATCTCCTTCCTCCTCCTCTCTTCAACAGCCGCTAAAAAGGCCACCGAGATTTCCTCCGACACTCGGAGGACATACACTGGACCCCTGACGACCACTTTCACGCCGCCGTCATCATGCATGGACATTCGCACCTCCGCGTCCTCGGGAAGGTATCCCTCTCTCGAGGTCGGCTGCCAAGGTCCTGCTGGCGATGAGTGCTGTCCCAAAGGTTGGGCCTCGAACCGCTACTTTAGCCCGGGTGTTTGCCCGTCTGGATATCAGGCCTGCACACTCCCGACTACGAGGCAGCGAGAGGAGACGACGAATCTGTGCTGTCCGAGGTATTTATACTTTTATTCTCAACTCAAATCAATACCCGCTGCTTTTTCCCCGGACCGCACTCCTTGGTCTCTTCTGGACAATGATCCAATGTAAGCAGAGAAAAGACTCCGGACTAACACCTCCACCCAGCAACTTTGACTGTCCAACCGTCGTCGACTACGCAGAATGCAGTTCCCTCTTAAACACCCCCGTCGAAACCGAATACGCCTACAAAACCGAAACCTTCTCCGCGACAATTCGCTCCGTCATCGCAACCCCGATTCAAATCCGCTTCAAGGCGACCGACTCCTCCGTCGTCCCCATCCCCACCGACTCCTTCAACCTGCCGCCCGTCCGAAAAGGCCTTAGCACCGGTGCGAAAGTCGGCATCGGAGTCGGCGTCGGCGTGGGTGCGGTTGCCATCTTGATCGCGGTTGTCTGGTTCATTCGCGTCAAGGGGAAGCAAGGGCAAGCGAGTGAGGGTGGGCAGGAGACGCCGCAGCAGGAGGCTATGTTGTTGGGGAGCTTGCCACCGCAGCAGGGAGAGGAGAGACCGCCGCCTTATTCGAAGGGGTAGAGGGGTGGTTCTTCTCGGGGATATGGGGAATGTATTTTCTGTACTTTTTACAAATGTTTTTGATACCCATTTGTTGCACTACCTGTTAGCCCATCTCATCATGGATGGCCGCACTTGGTCCTTTTGGAAGCAAATCGCTGAAGTCATTAAGTCATCTACGAAATCGTACAACTCATACTGGTAAGAAGAACCGCAATGCATCGCCAATATGCAACAAACAACAGCCCACCATCACTTTTCCCTTCTTCAAAGGACAACGGACACCACCAATACAACCTAACCCTTCCCCCCCGTCCTCCGAAACTACGCCTTATATTCAACGCCCGGCACATCGCTAGACCTCGTCTTATCCTGCGCCTCAAGAATTCCATTTTCCGAACCACTCCTCGCCCCTCCCGTTTCGGACTCGTCCTCCTTGAGAAGGCGAGTGACGTAGCCCGGGGGAACCCAACTTCGCGACTTCCAAGGCTTGACGCCAGGCTGACTGTGCATGAGGTCGACGTTCTCGAGGCTGAGACTGACAGACTCGTAGAGGAAGAACCAGACGACGAGGGCGCCGACTAGGTTCATGCCGACGAAGACGTATCCGTAGGCGTAGGAGATGCCATCGGTGGCGAGAGGGGTGAGGAATGAGATCATGACTGCCAGGGCTTTGTTAGTTTTGAAATGAACTTCGGGATTGTTTGAGGGAGGTTGGTGGACGTACAGTTTCCAAGCCAATTGAAGGATGTCGCCAGGGACGCCTGCTTTGCACGAGTTCGAAGGGGGAAAGTCTCGCCGATGACGACCCAGCAGATGGGACCCCAGGTGCTAGGAAAAAAAAGGATGGAACGTTAGCAATGGAAGTCCTTCAATACCATACATGTGGTTCCGCAGCAAAAAGGAACTTACGAAGCGAAAGAGGCAATGAACATAGAGGCGGAAACAATCATGACAATGCCCGACGCCGAGTTATTCTCGGGGTTGAGTGCAGTACCCATGGACGCAAAGATGGTCAACCACACGGCCTGCCAGATAGCACCGATGAACAACGGCCACCGCCGTCCGAATTTCTCGACAACGTACAGCCCGAAGAAGGTCATGCCGACGTTGATGGCTCCGAGGATGAGCTGCGTCCGGATGGGGTCATCGATGCCGGCCGACTGGAAGATGGTCGCGCCGTAGTAAAAGAAGTAGTTGACGCCAGTCCACTGCTGCAAGAAGTGCAACGAGACACCCAAAAACGTTCGGTACACCTGCTTCGGGATACCGTTCGCCCTCGGGATGACGCACTCCTTCCACCCACCAACACCGACGGCCTTTTCCTTCTCGAGAATGTCCCGCATTTCGATGAAGTCCGCCTCGACGAGTTCATTGTGCGGGTCATACTTCAGACCCCGGAGCCTAGCCAGAGACATGCGCGCGGCATCCCAGTCCGACCGAGCGGCAAGCCATCTAGGTGACTCGGGCACGGCGAGGATTCCGATACCGAGAGGAAGGGAGAAGACCATGCCAAGGCCGATGACAACGCGCCATGACGCAGAAGAGTCTTGAATCTCGCGCATGCCATAGTTAACGCAGTTGGAGACGAGGATGCCGAGGGTGATCATGAGCTGGTAGGAGGCAACGACGGCACCGCGGATCTGGCGCGGCGCGCACTCGGATTGGAACATGGGGACGCCGACGGAGAGGTTGCCGATGCCTAAACCGGTGACGAAACGGCCCATCATGATGTGGACCCAGCTCTCCATGGCGGTTATTTGGATGACGGAGCCGATGAGGAAGATGATGACGCCAAAGCTCAGGCTCTTTCGACGACCGAACCAGTCGGCGGTACTAGAATGGAGTTAGCTATTTGGAAAAGAAAAATATGGAACATACTTGCCGGCTTAAAGTGTACGTACTAAGATGAGGTGAGAGATCCGACCAAGGTGCCAATGCTCATGAGGGAGACGACGAGCGACTCGATGATGGGCTTGAACTCCTTCGTGCCATCGGGTTGGTGCTGTCCGAATCGGTGAATGAAATCACTGAAAAGCAGTATGCCGGATATCTGGCCGGTATCGTAGCCGAAGAGGAAGCCTCCGACCGAGGAGATGATTCCCAGGAGGATAGCCTCCATGCCGCAATAGGCGCCATTGATGCGGATTTTTCTGCAACATCCATGTTAGTAAAGCAACCTGTTAAGAAAAGGCAACACCAGCGAAGAAGATCTGATAAGAAGATCCGTCAAAGTGCCTACCTTTGCCCAAGCATTGTGAAAAGAGACTTGTATAACAGAAGAGAAAACAGGTGGTGAACCTGGAAGGATATCAACACGCGACAGCATCCGGGGGCAGCGCCGAGTTTAATAACCCGCCGGGGTTTCCAGAATCCTGGGGTAACGGATAAAGAATTTCGTCCTCTATTTCCGCCATGCTCCGTGATGTCAGTGGCCTCCCCCACAGATCGTGATGTAATCTCCTGGGGAAGGCGTGAAAACCGGCTGGAAGCAGAGGCAATCCGAAGAAAGGAGGGAGGGCCAATGGCGAGTCCACTTCGTTGAAAAGGGCCGATCTTGTTAGTCGGAGTGGAAAAGAGAGCCACGATCGTCTCCACCGAGACTTCGGGGGACCCACGGGGTCATGTGTCTCTGTTAGGACCCTCCGCGAGCCCATGTGGGGGTTGCGAGCTGACTTTTCTCTGAATCAAGCATTTACTACGAGGCACTTAATGTTGTGTCTTACTTCGTAGTCCGTTTTCTTTTTCTTCTTTCTCCTTCTCCTTCTTTGAATGTGGAGATGTCAAATGGGGTAGTCCGGGCTGCCGGATCAGTGTTAGTGAGGAACTGTGAGCGTATCGGCAGGCCGGCTAGCTAAACTTTCGGCGAATTCGGTCGCGTAGGTGGCCAGTGACGTCAATCTCCGGTTGTGGGAGCGAGTTCTGTTGATGTCGTGTCAAGAGTTTAGTGTCTGCTTGTCCTGGGAACTGGGGCGACTTTACATTGTACGAGGTAATCATGCTGTCAGCCGGAGAGTGGTCCGAGGCCGAGGCTGGAGAGTCCTCGTGTACTTCGTACGTTTACATCGATGTTTGTTTTTAATTGATTTGAAGATCTTTACTGTACCACGAGATTTTTCAACTCAAACTCCAGTAGCCTGATTGATCAAAGCTGACCGATTGATTACCGGGGATTAGAATTGCCACCGGAGATCAGCCCGAGTCTCTGGCCCTTTACGTTCTTCCCTTTAGACCGCATCTGGAAATGTTTCGCGCCTCCGTTGAATTAATTCGTCTTTGGCAGCCTCCAAGTTCGATGAAGTAGTGATCTCGGATTTGATGTCGCTTGTTCGGTTGGTCATCGACGCGGTGTGTTGCTGGGAGTACCTACCTCCCTCTGCTCCAAAAAAGGCCCGAGTAGATTGCGTTTCTCCAAAACCATCGTGCGACACCACATCGCCTGCCAGAAGAATCTGGAAAATGGAAAAAAAATGGATTGATCAATCAAATTTGATCCATTGATCAATCGATTGTTGTGTGGCGTTCCCCACCGGGAAGCTTGAGCTGCCCCCACTGCCCTATAGGGCCATGTCGGGCGGCTCTTTTTCTTCCGAACCACTGTAAGCCAACTACCGACGTAGCCCCGATAGAGCTCAACCCCAGTGTTGTTTGAGCCTCAAGACGTTGACGAGAACAACAGGGAAAGAGAACGAGCCGAGGACTTGGCGTTTGCACGAACAACAGCCTGGACATGAAAATACTGAATGATTGTCATAAAAACGGCTTCCATTAATTCGATCAAAGAGCAAAGGATCAACCCCATAACGATGAGATCAATCACCGAGAAAATTTTGATCGGTGGAGTCACGACGTGGCGTCGGTCTCTCTCGGCCAAACTGTCACAGAGCAGGTCTGGCGCGGGACCTTTTGACCGAGAGACTCGAGTTTTCTTCGCCCGAGTAATTTCTCTCATTATTCTCGACTTTCCTCGATTTAAAGTGGAATATCCAGGTATATTTCAGGGTTAAATAGATATCCACCAGCCACCTGTCCTTGTCTCAAAGAAAGAGAGGGGTTAGGTGCAGGAATAGACAGGGAGGAATCCAACAGAGCCCATTTCCCTTTTCTTCCCTTTCTTTTTCTAATCCTTCCTTTTTCTTACTGTTTTTGAACTTTTTTCCTTCTTCTTCTTCCTTTTCCTCTCTTCCTTATCTCACTCTATTTTGTCTACCAGCCTATAACTCCTCGGGCTGACCCTCGAGAATCTAAAAAAAAGGAGCATTGCCCCCACCCCGGCTTGGCCGCTGCTTAGGCACGCTTCTGGAGCCGTGCTTCTAACTTCTCCACATGTGCCTTGATCTTGTTGAATTGCCACGGGAAGTCTACGACGTACAGGAACGGCCGCAGGTCGTGCCTGTTGTCATCGGGATCTACCGAAAGCGTTAGCCATGTCCGTGACCTGTCAGAATCTACGTTAACACCTACTGTATCCGGACAAGTGAATCGAGGGAGTGATGATGGTGGCCTTGTGACGATTGATCGCTGTAGGGTATATCATAGTTAGAACCTAGCTTCCGGTTCCTGGTAGCTTGGGAATGGGGATCAAGGTGGAAACGGAAGAATTCTTGACTTGCCATAAAATCTAAAGAATCGCATAACCTTCTCCGCAACTTTTCGCGGCGTCATGCCAGGGCGGTCGCCCCATTGTGTGAGCAGCCGTTGGTACATGGACCAAGGGCCAAGCTTATCCACTTTGCGCAGGATTCCAAACACGGAGAGTTCTATCCGCCAATGTCAGTGCCGTGATGCATAACAACAGTGATTCTGTCTGCACGGGAAATAATACTTACCCTCATAGGTCATGCCCATCTCGTTCTCAGACTCGTCGTCTTGTACACCTGCCTCGAGAGGAAGGAGCTCGGCGGTGGGCGTTGCCTCGAGGAAGTCCTGCTTTATATTAGCCAATGTCTTTGTAGAAGGCGTTGGGGTTGGAGATCAAGGAGGGTAGCAGCTTACAGTCATGATTGGGAGATCCCACTCATCGCGTGCCCAGCTAGAGTAATCATTGTTAGTATCGATTAAGCCTCGTTCTTCAGCGCCCGCGACTAACCTCTGGAAACGACGGGCATCAGTCTTGGAGATGCTGCCCAATGGCGCTAGATCACCGCTCGAGGCATCGTACTTCGTGTAGTATCCGCGAAGGTTTTCATCCTAGAGAAGTAAGTATGCGCTCCGAGGAAACTCATGGAAAACTCAGTCGGCGCATGTACTGAGTAGAACTTACCACGTTACCGCTTGATAGCACAAGTAGTGGTGTACCAGCCCTGGGCAGGTTCCGGGCCGTCGTCGCTAGTTGTGCAAGCGAGTACTGGACCACCATACGATTTCTAGCCTGGATGTTCTGCAACGCTAGGTTTTCTGCACGGCTACCGCCATGGACGCTATACCGCGGCGTAAAATTCAAGGCCGTTTTGATAAGATCGTTGTGGGCACCAACGGCATTGTCGATGGAAATATCCAAGTGATGACCGCCTAGCTTCTCGGACAGCTTCTTAGCCCGTGACTTGGTGTCTTCGGAGGAGTTTACAGTTCCCATATAGCAGGTTGTGAGTAGGAGGTTGACAATCTCTTCGGGTTTCTTGGGTGAGAAGTCCTTTATGCCAGTGACGCGCCTGAGGTCTGAGAGAGTTGTGGTCTCTCCTGCTGCGATGGAATGCATGACGAGCCTGGCCATTCCGTAAACGAAGAGCGCGACTGTTGAGCTATCCAAGCCTAGGGATGGTCAGATCAAATTTCAGATGCACAATTCGGAGCGACAGTGAATTACCTCCAGAAAGACTGAGGAAGAACCCCCCAGCGTTTGTTCGAACAAGATCTAAATGACCATCGAGTTTAGTTTACAACCCAGCAATTCACTTCGAAGCGGATACCTCGACAGATAGTCGCCTCGTAATAGTCTCAAACACTCACATTGCCAGAGACTGTGTAGATAAGTTAGCCCTCGCTTTAGATGTAACGTAACGAAGATTTGAGAACAGAAACTCATCGACGCCTTAAGACAAAGAGAATGGCGACACTAGGCTTTCACTCGATACATACTATACTGAAGTACTCAGCCAAATCTCCTCCATGGGGTCAAGGATTCGGAGTTCCTTGTCCTTGGACATCTTCAACACGTCGGAAAAGTACACTTCGTCGGCCGGTCGGGATAGTCGTATGGGAAATTCAACTCGGGGGTAGTCCGGCTGAGCAGCCCCTTGGACGTTTCTCGAGATGCTGGAGCGGAAGCTCCGAACTTGTTCAATATCAATTGTCGCTACTGTGACTTCAACGGGATTCAAGGAAAACTGAGATCCCTGCTCTAAGACTCTACCATTGACCTGGAAAGGAAATTAGAAAACTGGCAACATAAAAGATCGGGATGAAGCCTACTAGGATCATCGAGGAGCCGTCAAACATCATGCGAGCCTCGCCATCGACACTACGGGTGTGGCGTTAGAAATAGTACAACGTAATGATAGAATAACTCTCCGTACCCGGTAGCATTGGCATAAACGTAAATACCTCCCAACTTCCTCGTAGAGTTGGCAATAAGATCGAGCCTAGTCCTCAGCTTTCGAAGCTCGGCGTGAGAAGCGCTGCTGTTGAGGATGATTTCACAGCCATTTAGACCCATATAGGTCGAGGGATTTGAAGGGGTAAAGAGCTCCTCGCAAGTTTCACATCCGATGGCGGTATCAAGCGTGGAGAGGATTGCGTCGCCGAAAGGGACAGTATGCTGACCAGTAATTCGCTCGATAATAGACTCCAGGTAGTAGGGTTCCGTTTGCATCTTTTTGGGCCAGGCAGTAAAATGTCGGGCTTCACGATATAAGCCATCGTTCGCAAGGGACATCTTAGGGCTATAGACAGCAGAGAATCAACAACCAGATCGTATACACGACAAAAATGCTGATGTTGATTCCCTCGGGGATAACCGAGCTCCAGTGCTGGATTCCATAAATTTTGGACGAAAACATACCGAATGAAAAGAACCCGTTTGTATGTGCAAAGAACTCGGCAGTTGTATCTAACATTGCGATGCCGAACTCCCATACCTAGATCCACGAGCATGCCCTCACAAACAGGATTTGAGATAATTTCGGCCAGAACCTCCCAGCTGTGAAGAAAGGTATCACCTTCTGCTCAGGTTATCAGCGGACATGGCCAGAAAAAGTGGCTCAACATGGACATACCTAGATGATGGTCCAGACATCCATATCCGGGAATTTCAAGCTTCGGCACGTTAGTCCCTACTCAATGAAAATAAGAGATTCAAAGCACACCTCGGGACCCGTTCGGATAGTTGCACCCTTTTCCTTGGCGATCTTTATCGACTGAAGGATCCGATCTCGGTTCCCGGCGAAGTCCAGTGGGACACTCGGGAGAGTTGCAGCGGCAACAGTGATGCAAGCCATGGTGTTAAAGTATGAGCAGTTGGAATTGACAAAATAGCAATATCCAAGGGCGCGGTGCTCTAGAAAACTTAATTGGTGGTGTTGAATGCGAGGTGCTGGTTGAGAAGATGGCTCATATATGAGGGGAAAAGAGAAGTGACGTTGGGGCAAATTGTCACGTTTGCGACCCCACATTCAACATACTCGGGCTATCGAAGCTTCGCTAATGCGCGGCTCCTAATTGGAGCTGAGGCTCCAACTTTTCTCCCAAAAATTGTGCCTCATAGAGCTTCTATCAAGATCTCCATACGACGATATCCACTTAATTTCCAGTATCATGTTAGAATCTATCTAAGAATATAGGAAATCACCTTCTATTCGAGATGAATGTTGCATGTGGAGTTGCTGTGCTGTATCAAGAGAGAATGCCCCACATTACGTAAGTGGCTTAGTGTCTAGATCAGCCCTAAGAACGAGATCTTCACCTCGACAATGACTCCTGTTGCATTCGAAAGGGAATTCTACTTCTCAACAGATTCAAGGAACTCGCATTAATACTGACTAACATATATTTTATATAGTTTGTTGATGCAGAACAAATAGGAAACTTATACTAGCTCAATTACAATCGGCGAGAGAGCGACAGAAGATGGTCGGTTAGTTTCTCCGGACAAGACAATAGTTCATCAAGCTTTCGGGTAATTCACCCCCCTTTAACATTTCCATATAATTCACAAGGATAGTCCTGGAGTTGGTAGGCTAGGCTTGTGACGTCTCCAGTCTTAACATAAAGCCTTCGATTCCGATAAGACCTGCCCTGGGAGGCAGGCCCATACGTGCTCTCGAGTCTCGACACTGTCAAGTATCAGAATCAGTTGCTCTACAGAGCTCGTGTTATTGCTTCTTACCATTCTCAATCAACCTCCCTCCTAGTAACCCGGGTCCCGTCTGGATTCGATGGCGGGTCCGCCGCATTCTCGTCGACACTGTAAGGTTCCGACCCACGCTTGCCTGAGTCCCGCTTAGTGACCCGGGTGCCATCCGGATCCAACGGCGGGTCCGCTGCGCCATCGGTGCCGGCGCTGTTAGGATCCCACGCTCCTGGGTCCCGCTTAGTGACCCGAGTGCCATCGGGTTCAACGCCGGTCACCCGTGTCCCATCCGTGCCGATGCTACCCCCTTCAAAATGGCCCCTAGCTTTTCTCTCTCCGTTATTGTGACTATCTCGCCGATTTTCATGCTGTCCAGCGATCGCCAAGTTCTGGTTCCCTTTGGAGTTCCAATTTTGTCCGTCGAGTTCAGTATTCGCGGTGGGTGCAGCCTTGCCGAGGCCATGGAGGAGGCAAAGTGAGATGCCGACCAGAGATGGCTTCATTTCGAGCTGTGTGTGATAGGCTGCTGGGTAGAAGAGTGAGATGGTTGGTAAAACCTAGTCTATTAAAAAACCGTGCTTGAGATGACAACCTCCTCGGGCTCCGGTAGAACTATTTATAACATGTCAAACCCGAGGACTGGTATTCCTGTACTCCCGTATTCCTCGTACTCTTCAAACGAGCCATTCAACAAGCGGAATGACATATTGCTTACTCATTTCCTGCAGATGACGATATCCTTTGCAAGAACGCGTCACTCTTTTCTATGGAAGCTGGATATTCGTTCATAGCCGGCGACTGCTCAGAACCACAGTTGAACATTCAACCATTGGATGTTGGGTAGTGCCTGATTCGCGCTGCAAGCTGAATCTGGAATGTATCCGACCTCATGGAGGGCGAGCCATCATGTGCCTCAGACGGAGAAGCTTGGAAAGTCGTTCGGTGAAGTCAAGTATGGATAAACCTATTGAAAGAGCTGCCCGCCGCTTATGCAGATCCGGCGAGACTCTAAGCCGGTTGCCCCTGAGTGTGTTTGGATTGGCGTATTTGGTCACTTCGGGGAGTTATTGCGAGGAAAGAAACGTAAAACAGATTGACCCTTTCTCATGTCTGGGTTGATCTCCCGATAGGCTGGTAATGGGTCGAGTAAATAGTTTTCTCCCGAGCTGGTTCTCTCTCGGATCGGACAGAAGAACCAGCTTCTCGGCCCGTCGGATAGGAACTTCTTTTCCGGTTATCCTTTCTAATTTTCCTTTTCATAGGTTTTGCAGCTCATCGAGTATTAGTATCAAACCGATCCGACGTCTGTCAATTCTTACAGGAGCTTTGCGGCAGCTCCCCACGTTTAACCATTGCCTAGTAAGACGTTGCTTCCTTTCTATATATGGGAGTAGCATGGCTGTGTTGCTTTAAACCATATGGTCGGAAAATAGCGGTAATCGGCATCCGTGCTAGCATATTAGGCAGCAGGACTCTTCTCTACACAATATTCCTCCAATCGTCCAGCTCTAGCTACTTCGTCTAGAATTCCAGTTAATACCACTCTACATACGATAATTGCCCACGTGGTCTCGAGCCATTTCATCAACCAGCCCGTACGCAAGGCAACTTCGTCCTATCTTCCATTGAGAACTCTTTACAGGCTGTTCCTATGAGATTTTAGGGTAGTATTACTGTCCACTCCGAGCGCCCTGCACTGGGGTACTCGATTCTACTATGACCTAGTACTAAGCCTGCCAGCGTCGACAACAAAACTTTCGCGATCGATTTACTATCCACTCGAGCGCCCCTGGAGGTTTCGTTATAAGTACTCGCCTTCACCAAATTGCTCTGCTAGGAACACATCCCCTGAATCCGCACTCCCCTCTGTAGCCCAAGGCAGAGAGTAAAGAGAGAACAAGTGGATATGCTGCCCGATTGTGATTCAGAAGGGATGATTGCTTGGGAGCCTCCCCCGGGTCATTAGTCCAAGACCAAAAAGGACAGGATTTAGCAGCCCAGCTGCTACTGATACTACACATTTCAGTAAATGAGGGCAATCAGTCTTCATCCGTGATTCCCGGATGAGATTCGTTTACGTGATCGTCTTCGTCAGGAAAGAAAGCCTCCGTGCTGTAAGTTTCATAGCGCCAACGATGACGGCCTAATAGTGCAGTGTTTGGGATGCTGGACTCTGGCTCGTCCTCTATTGTTGAGGAGGCATTCGCGTCTCCATGCGTGTCCATTCCATGTTGTTTGAGATTTTCTAGGCTATCGGAGGTCTGGCACTTGCGATAAGTCAGCCCTGCCAATAAATACTTCCTAAAACCCAGTTGCTCCTGGACAATATCAAGTCCACATATACGCGGTCTACTAGTGGGAATGGTCCTAGACTTTGAAAAAGCCTGTCAAAGTTGGACAGGTTTATATAATGTAAAACTACGAAGGTAAATATATTGCACTTATCAACACGCCGTTTTAGGCGACTTGTAAAAAGAGAAAAAGCCACTGTCCGTAGTTGATGCAAGGCTGATGACTTCTTACGCTTTGGAAGGAATCTGCAATATATGACGGAGTTGTGTTTCACAGGATATATGGAAATCACAGTGCCAACCAGGATAATTCAAGAAATTTCAGTTGCGTCGAAGCAACTATTAGCTTAGAGAAGACTAATGTGCTGCAGATATTACGGTAAAGTGAGAAGTTAAATCGTAGTTCGCTGAATCCATAATTCGGACGACTTATCGACCATTGAATGAAAAGAGCTTGGCAAGGCGTCACAGTCAAAAGCTACTACACAGTTTCGCCAAACAAATATCTTGCAATATCTTCATAGAGTTATCGGGGACTTCATAGGCGGAGCTAGGAAGAAAATACATCTCTTTTCACATTCATCATTCACATTTCCATCCTCCTCACAATATATATCATGGGTATTAAAATGTTGAAAATACTCAAAAGTTAAAACTTTCAAACCTGGCTTGGTGTGCTGTCGCTGTTGATGCTCTTCTGATCAGCAGTAGCCATAGGAGCCGCAGCAGGAGCCTGGGCCCTCTTCCTCCTAGACAGCAAGAACAGGGCCAGTCCAGCAATAAGGAAGACAGAACCAATCACAATCATGGCGATACCACCCTTGGCGAGAGGAGATAGGCCGCCGTCCTTCTTGCTATTTGTGTCAGCAGACGCGTCGTCGATGTAAGCGGCGCAAAAGGGAAGCTTGCTCTGACAAGCGCTGCACCAGGTACCGACATCGGAAAGCGAGCGGTCGCTCATCTCGGACTGGAATTTGGACCACGAGAGGCTGTCCTCGCCACTTCCAAAGAGGGGATACGAAGTGAATTCACTGGTGGTGCCGTTCTTCAAGAAGAAGCGGACACGTAATGAGTCCGTGTTGTCGGGGAAGCTCGTCATGTCCTCCTCCGTGAAGAGCTCGAAACTCAGAGTGGAGGCGTAATCTGGGAGGCCCCTGAAGTTGTCGGACAACTGAATCAAACCGTTGACACCAAAGAAGGCAAGCATAGTGTCGTAGCTTCCAGCAAAGAGAGAAAACTTGAGCTTGGCCTTGGTAGTAACGATCTTCTGAAGCTGACTGAGCAGGCCCGCGTTAAGGGTCTTAGCATGGATTGACCCACTCGGCTGGCTGACGTTGTAGTTATAGCCAAACTCGGAGCTATCAGAGAGAGTCCGCAGCTGGAAGAGGTCTTCGTCAGAGACATCAAGAGCAGGAGAGGACTTGTTGTGGATACGGGCAACGTTGATCAAGTCGAAAATGTCGTAGGCATTTTTATACGAGAAGTTCGCGGGGCTGGTGTAGTCATACACATCCGCAAGGGTAGACTGGAACTTTTCGTAGAAGGATTTGGTTTGGTCTGATCGGTCGCGGAACTCGGTGCTGCTCTCGAAGCTCTTTTGAGCCTTATCCGCAGTGGGACAGCTGTCGTCGCCCTTGATCCAGATGGCATCGGGAGCGTCTGCGCTCTGGCCATGGAGCAGGACGTACTGGTAGCCATTCAAGGGGCTAACCGACTCGCTTCCATTGTTGAGCTGGCTGGTAGCGAGCTCGGGATCAAGACCCTCGAGAGGGGGGTACAGGCCTTGCAAAAAGGCCGTAGCTGTGTTTAGCAAGATGGCCTGGTCCGGCGAACTGGCGTAGACCTGGGACGAGACATATTTGTCCTCGGAAATATCCAGGATGCGCTGAGGCGAATCTGCATCAAGATAACGAGCCCGGAACTGATTGCCCTGGGCAAAATTCTGCTGAGCTCCGAGGCTGGTCAATTGCTGGTTCTTGTAATGCTTCGTAGTACCTGAGGGATTTCGTTATTATTCATCCCATACACATCGTGCGTGAGTGGGGGCTACAATGGAGCATGGACTTACGATCTCCATGGCGAGAGTAGACGACAACGCCATGAACTGTCTCGGAGACGACAGAAGCCAGCAAGCTGCTCAAAACAAGGGCGACCTTTCCAGCCATAGTGTGGATGATAGGGGACGCGGAATGGTAGGAAAGCTTTGAGAGACTCCGGTAGTTGGTCCAAGGGCGTGCGTTTTGTAGGAAGGTAAACTTCAGTCCCCACGAGTGAAATTCGGCTTTAACCAAACTTGACAGAGCAGCAGAGGAAGCAGGCAACTTAATAGCTCGAGAATTTCGGGGCTTATCAGTCCCATATTTATCTTAGCAAGGAGGCAAGGAACCAGTCACTGATTGATAAGTGGGGGGTTCTTAGGCAACGTCCAAGTCAATTGGACGATGCTTTGGACATTTGCAGTGACTGAACGGTTTTTGATGATTACTTATCGGCGTGTTGTGCTATTTTCTATCTAGACCCTTGGCTGCGCATGCGGGCCGTGGTACAGAAACCAACCAGATGAGGCAACTGTGCGGGGGAATCTGCAATATTCTTGAGCGAAGGATGAGCATTTCCGAGGAATCGCTCCACAAAAAAAACAATTCTCAGAATCAACTGACCCATTAGCGTATTACTACTAGGACGTGTAAGGAGCTGGATTAGGAAACGTCAAAGGCGCGTTGACTGACAGTCTCCCACTCAGTTGTGACTCGGGTAGGCCATTGCCTCGACATCCATGGATCAAATGCCCACCTGGAAAGTAACCCCAAGACAGGATCTGATCGCTGCGAAGTAAGGTCGTTCGATCGGGTTTCTTGGACAGCACTTCGTTGCGGGATTGAGTGGGATATCACAGACTCGGACACCAACCACACACCCCACTCCGTCACTCCGCCCCAGCTCCAAAAGTCCACGGATGACTTGCTGAAGTAGTTAGGGCGATGTAGAGAAGCACTCCAATGTCGTGATTAACCCACGATCCGTGTTCCTTGTGGTACCACCAGCTGAGACTCATTCGATGCATCTTGTCAAGTAATAAAACGGGTAGTCTTCTTCGAAAGCCCCGCGCGAATGGTTCCTAGCGAGCGCGGCTGGAAACCGCAGAGAAAGGCATTACTGGTTAGTGCCTTCTCTTTCTCACTTTTTTTTTTTTTTTTTTTTTTTTTTTTTTTTTTTCTTCTTCTTCTTCGGTGGCTTGGCTTGGCTTGACCTGATTCAATTCAATCTCGCTCCTGTTCTTTCTTCGATGGTTGGTCGCCAACAAATCCACACTTAGAAAGTGGGACCTGATTCCACGTGACTTCATATTGGGCTGCGACGACGACCATGGTTACCTTGGGCAAGCCTCGTCAACTCGCTCCTGTTCTGCAAACTGAAAGCATCAAATCCTCTCCTCGAAGTAAACCAATACTAACCTCTGGCCACACATCACCGGCTAATCTGGAGAGTTCAATAATCATATCACGCCCAAACAAACGCTTTTCACGCAATGAGCACACATTCCGCCACCGCTAACCCAATAGATGACAACAACACCCATCACACCCCAGAAATCACCAGGATTTCTATCGATCACGATGGAGACCTCGTGTTTCGCGTTGGGGAAGAATTGGGGGAACCAGCAATGGAATTTCTTGTTTGCTCCTCCACGCTACGTCGCGTATCTCCCGTCTTTAAACGGATGCTGTTCGGCGCCTATGGAGAAGCTCAACGTGGAGAAAGGGCTAAACAGACTGGAGAGGAGTGGGTAGTTGTTTTGCCAGAGGATGACCCTACCGCCCTGCTTGTTTTACTCGGTATCGCCCACTCCATCTTCGAGCATGTTCCAGCAGCACCGGACGTGAATGTAGTATACCAGATCATGCTCCTCGTCAATAAGTATGATATGGCCGGTGTTGTGAGGCCTTGGGCAACCGCCTGGCGAGCTATTGCCGAGACGGCATCTAGCTCTAAGAAGTTGGATGATCGCGCCAAAGCCTTGTACATCGCCTTGATCCTAGGTGCAGCTGCTCTCTGCCTCAAACTGGCGACTGATCTTGCGCTGGATGCTGTATTGGATGGTCAAGGACGCTTGCTGATTGGGGGAGGCCGGCAGTTTGGTGGGTTTTCCTGCTTCGGCCCATTTCGTATCGAAGGTAAGGTTAAGTTCAATCTTCGTTTCTAGGGCTCAATGCGACAACTGACCATTTCAGTAGAATCTATACGAGAAATTAGAAGGAGACGAATCGCCGAGATCTGGCGTGACGTGAGCAATATCATTACCCCCATCCTCAAGAATAATTCTCCAGATTTCCGATTTCTTGGATTATTCTGGAGTAATATGGTCAAGACTCGTGGTGGTTTGCTTCCAAATTCCCCTAGTACCATATGTGAAAGTCCCAATGAGTTTTTATCCTCCCTTCGGTCAGTCTCGGAGGAAATTGCGGGTCAAAGGCCGATCTACAGTTCTGACAGCGTCAACCCTGGGCGATTGAAATCCGTCCTTGATCAACCTGCACGATTCGGCATGCCACAATTTCCCTCCTCTCGACAAGATCCCTGTCGAATATTACTGTCACCAGAAGACATGGCCTTCATGGAAAAACAGAGGTCAAAGACTGGCTGTGAAAAGTAATTTACTATTTCTAGCTGTGATGGGTTTTGCTCAGCTAAGTCGGTTGAGTTCGGCGGAAATAGCCCCATAAATTCGACATCGGGACCCTGTGAGCTAGGCTCTCTTCTCTCCATAAATATAAGTTTTGTGATATATATCGGAGATTTTCTAACAATCACATAATAGTAATGGCAGGCACTCCATGCTGTTGTACATTTTCTTGTCTCGATTCTTTTAACGGTCACATTTGATGCCTCTTCCTCGGGCGTTCCTCGGGCGCTGGCGCGTGGTGGTTCAGCGTCTAGGTACTAAATGGTCACCTCCGCCCTAACAGTTATCTCACCAAAACAAGGAGAATTGCAGCTAACTAAAACTGGAATACATAGGCTACTGAACACTAGGCTATTAGCTCCTCTCCCCCAATCAGACTCCCGCATCAGTCTCATGATGGAGCCGCACTATATGGAATTCATTGACTATCTTCTCAGTGCCTTCATCGCAGAACCTAAGCTCTTACATTGCAGGGCTACATACGCAGCGAAACTCTGTTGGGCTCATGCTCAAGTGTGCACTGGATGGCCGCCGTGACAGTGACAGTGTTGACTTCATCGAAGGTCGGGCAAGAACACCCCTGTCTACCTGTGTATGGGTGGCGAAATTGGGCCTATGGATGGTGGATGCCTGGGCTTTCATTGATGAACGAAGACAATTTCCGTATCAGTGGCTTGCTTCTTGACCTGCCATCATAACACATAGGGGCACTGCAAAGATGGAGGTGACCAGGTGAGCGTGGCTCGCGAGTTTTGGCAGTTCGGTCTTCGTCACGGATAGACCCTGGTTACTCAGGTTCTGTATGCACCTGGTTACTCACGAGTAATAGTAAATCGCGTCTAGTGACGAGGGAGAACGGAATATAACTCAATCAATTTGAAAGAATCCTTTTTGTCGCTTGTTGCAAGGCTGGTGGCTCCAACCGCAGAGATATGTTGCCCTCTGCGAATTCCTATTTCTAGATGCAAACGTGCTGCAAAACGTGCGGCTTGGGCCGGGACGCACTGACCACCAATCATGACGAGGTTCGGAGATCTGGGGGGCCCTGGGATCCTAGCGTAAGTGTTGCCTGATGCCCTTGGGCATTAGCATGCACTTTGTGTCCCGCATTGTGGCACAAGCGGGAGAGTACGATAAGTATCTGTGCTCTCCTGAAGAGGAAGACCTGTGCGGCTGTCTTGTTCCACGAAGTTCGGATGAGAAGTTCAGTATATGATGTACTTAGAAGGTGAAACGAAAATACCTACATGTGGGAAGTGCTGCGTTTCGTGCATCTGGTAGACTAGTACTTCGTACATCCTAGCAATCTGGAGAGTGGACCTGCATCGGATGGGAGTTAGCTAATAGGTTTTGGTTGTTCGATTTCCAGCAATTCACAGCCACTCTCGTTGCAAAGAATCTTAAAATAAACCAGGGTTCTGGCAAAAATAAGCAGGCAAGCAGCAAATGAAACCCTCGTCCCTCAACTTCTCGGCAAGATTACCTTAGGAGTGTCCTAGTATCCACTCTGGACTGCACATCAGCGTAAGACTCTGGGGAAAGTTGCTCCATACCCTGTCAATTATGTGCAAGATGAAATTAGAATCACCCAAATCGTGCCTCCCTTTCCATGCGTCTTTTATTATTTTACTATGAGAGTATTATATACTTAAATCCCCCAAATACAAAGATAATACGAGTGCCTTCTTTTCCACTTCTTTAAGATCACAGTCCCCAAGATGAGCTACTCGACGTTACCAGAGGTTGTGCCGGACCCGGCACCGCAGGCACTCTCACAGGCGGAGGCGTACGATAGAGCAGGGGCGGATATCCGTGATCAGAAATTCACTGTCGTTGAAGATCCCAGACCCGGCCACTATGCTCCGAATGGAACACCCGTGCCTTACTACGCTGTCTCGCCATTGACTCCGGCCCCGCCCTATAGACCATCGACAGCAGGCGATCCGTCATACCCCAACTATGCCGCTAGCACGGGCGTCGCCGGTTGGGAGAATGTCTCGAGGAAGGAAAGCACGGTCCAACGAGACTGGACCTCCGAACCACCCAAGAAGGACGACCGGAGGATATGTGGCATGAAGAAGGTTTTCCTTATTATTCTGGCGCTTGCCCTGATAATGATCGTGGCAGGAGTAGGAGGGGGTGTGGGGGCCATCGCCGCCCGGCAAAAGGCATCAGAGAAGGCCGAGGCCGCGGATCAATCATCGTAAGATGCCTCTCGTCCCTTTTTGCTCCCTAATGTCCTCCTCTTTTCCCGGAAAGCCATAACTGACGCGAAGTCTAGAACGCCAACACCTACTGCTGATGCACCATCTTCAGCAGGAACCCCATCGCCCACTGACGAAACAACACCATCCGTATCCTCGACAGCCTCTGAGACATCCTCCCCCTCCCCTACCTCCGCCCCCACCTCATCCACGCGTTCCTCATCCGCCTCGCCTCGTCCTACCACCACCCGGCAGGAAATTATCGATGTGGGCTTCAGATTCAAGGCATATTCCGGCGACAAGTTCTCTGGGAAGTCAACCGAAGTCCAGGGAAAGCCCGGTTTCGTAGACCTTCCTTTCAGTTCGACAAGCTACAAGTGGGATCCAAAGGGTTCTGGCTGCTGCGTCACGTTCTGTCAGGGCACATCCAAGAGCGTCGGGTGGAGGTGCACGGAGTTTGAACGTGAGGAGTCCAGCTCGTCATTTGATAGGTTATTTATCGGCTGTGGTGATGATGGGAAGCAGGAAAACTCGCGCTGCTCTTGAGAAAGGAAATAGGACCTTTGTTTTGGCAATCATGTTTTCCTTTCAACGTGGAAACCCCCGCGAGTGTGATGGGAGGGTGATGTATGAAGGGATATCTCGGCATCGGTGGTCGGAATAAAATGGAAAACCCTCAGGGACAAAGCGGAGTTTCGGTGATTCATTGTGGGAAATGGTGCGCTGTCTAGAGAAGGCTCCTGACCGAAGCGAAAAGGGTTGGTCGTCAAGAGAGCTGTGCTGCCATCAAGCCTGCTACCGAGTCTCAATCGATCAATCCGAAAAAGGGCCTGTTCTACATTGATGTGTCAGTGGCCTAGATTTCGCATCAATTGATCTTGACATAAACCAATTTTGTGCAGCATCATTAATTCTAGAACGAATTGTTTTGCATCGTTGGAGCGAAACGCTCGCCGCCGAGCTTGTGGTCTTGGATTTGTCTACAATTCAATGCTGATAAGATAGAGTAGGATATTCGAAAGGGTCTGCGACGTCATGGAGTATGTCAGATTCTGCAGGTGTGGCAGTCAAAACTCGATCATCTGAATCCTTGCATTAGTGAAGACGCATTGGGGCGGTGAGTGCCTGGACTTTGTTGTGCGCTTTGAAGCTGATTCTGGCTTAGTCCTAGATATCGAGTTAAACGAGCTTTCCTGATCAGACGAGGAATGTACTTGTAAATTATCGAGGTAGCATGTTGCCTCACCATTTTTTGTCTCGCCTCGTCAGTGGTGGTATTTGAAATTTTAGCGGTGAGAAACAAGGATAGTAATGACAGCAATTGGGCCAAGAGAAATGTTTCACCAATTCGGAGAAATCAATACGCCCTTGGACCATCAGAAACACTGACCATGTGATTGATAGTCCAGCTTCATGCAGGGGACTTTGAAGGAAATCATTCCTAAACAACATGCTTAAATCGGCATCGCGTTGGGAGGATGCGTTACTGGGCGCTAAATGACTCGATCCTGACCAGATACCGGATCGACGTTTGGCTCGCGGGGGTTGGGCAAGCCTTCAAGTGGTTTGATGGTGATGTTGTTCGGTCGCAACGGACCCGACGCGAGATTTGAGGGGGGACAGCGTCGAGCAGTAAGATCAAATGTGAATGACATGGTGGAGATCATAAAGGGGCTGGTCCAATGTCCAGTCCAGCCCCAGTCTGGATGAATTAAGCGGATACGCATAAATCCGGAACCCAGACTGGAATTCGGGGTCCTCGTCAATTTACCTTGCACCATCCGTGCGATATTACTCTGGACTTGGATTTCTTCCGGCTGAGGAGATCATTCAAGCAGATATCTCAAGCTTACTTCGTACTTCGTACTTCCAAGAAAGGAAGCTGGTCTTTTGTCTGCGAATAATCGGGGCATCTGTGTCCTAGTTCCTCGGAGGATCGTTACTGTTGGCTGAATCCGTTGCCTCGGGTCGGATTCGCGGACGTACCCACGAAGTATTTTCTAACGGTTCTCTGTGAAGGTCTTTTTTTTTTTTTTTGGAATATCCCGTCGGAGGGGTGAATTGATCAGAGGTTGAAAGGGGGGAGGGGGGTGGCTTTTGATCCAACAACCGAGGAAGCCTGAGCTCTCATCTCAATTTCTCCAATGTTGAAGGTGTGGGTTTATTTCTCAGCGCGGGAGTTCAGTTTCGTAGCGCGCAATGGTGCGAGTTAAAATTGTTGGTGTCCCTCAGCTGGAAATCTCCTGCTCCTTGTACTTCGGCACCGACATCGAAGATTTGGAAGTAATGGTCGCGTGTGTCGCCCCAATCTGGTTTCTCGATACGCGTGTCCGCATTTCACACATCAAACCAATCCATTCTCCATTTCCTTTGATCTCCATTTCCCACGACGCACTGCTGACGCTTTGGCTAGTGCCGAAGGAAGACCAGGCCATCCACCCACTCGCCAGATTTATCCCTCAAAATACCGCCCGCCCTTCTTGGCGCTGGCAAGGAGGTCCTGACATGAAGGGCGTCGACGCAATTGGTAAACCCGTAACGTACAGAGTTGAGGCGTCCAGCCTGCTGTGCTGTTTTTCCAATTGCCTTGGCCGCGAGCCATGCCAACACTGGGTGCTGCTTGCTGGCCGTCCGATCGCTTCGTACCCCATTCGAGTGTCACCTGACGCACTGTTGCTGCCCAATTGCGACCCGCGTCTCACGGATATGCTGCGCAAACCCTTCCCCCAATCGGTTTCTTACGTGTCTCGATCGTAAAGGCTTGCGAGGTCATTCCAGTCAAATATAACGCAGCCGGTATATGTAGTGCCTCCCATCACTGTACTGCCGCGTTCCGACTGCCTCTTCTATACCTTACGATTCTTGATTCTTAAAATGCAGGTCTTTGTGCCTCCTTGGGAGCAGGCACTGGGGGGTGTCTGGTGGGGTTGGTTCACATCAAGTCTCCACTGCTTCGGTAATGAGGACCAGGCCGTGATAAGGATAAAGCGGCTCTGGAATATTCAGAATTAAAATTTAAAAATAGAATAATCTCCAAGAGCAGTACGAGGGCAATGAGCATGATGGATCTCGGACATTTCCACCATAGGCTGGACCGGATTGGCTTCTATTTTTTGCCCTGGAATCGCCACTCCATCAAAGAGCAAAAGGCGAAAGAAGTTTCCTTCGTAGGCGAAGCCGATATGGTATTATTGCATAAAGGGTTCGCGTCCAACGCTCTGGATCGATGTAGGCATAATAGGCGCTTGATGAGTTGCTACCTGTACCAAGTTGTTGCTGAATCAAGAACGAGCCAGGGACGTTCCAGGAGGTTACCGTGCACCAGTCAGGGGCGCCCTTTCCTCACTCTGCTCCACTTTGGGCTGCTATTTCCTTCAAAAATGGGCGGCCCCCAATTGCAATCCAACCTGTCCAGCCGCGACTGACAACTGGTTGCAAAAGGGTCAGACCACAGCGTGGGTCACTAGACCAAAACTCGCCTCCTCTTCCACATCCTAATTCCATCTCTCTCCTCCCTTCTCCTCCCCTCACATAATCACCATCATCGCTCTCCTCCTCACCGACCTTTTTCGCCTCCTCTCCTACGCTTTCCACCTGGCGACATACTCTCGGTAAGAATTTTATTTTGCTCCTTACCCCTTTCAACCCATTTCCACCCTTCCCGATCTATTTATTTCCCACTTCCTGTCCGGAATTTACCCTAATCTTTCTCCCCCTCAAGTCCCCCGGGCTCCCAACGTCAATCAAGCATCTTTGGTCTTTCATTTCTGACTCAACATTATTAGGGCTTAGGTGTGTATTCCCCGACTTTCCCGCGTTATCATCATCCGAACTCGACTCATCTTCTTCTGCCACGCGTCTCTTTCCTACGTTTCCTCCTCATCTCTCTCCCGTCAAATATCCCCAACGTCGAACCCCTCACTGTTACGCAGCGTTGCCTCTGTCCTTTCTCGTCTATTTCCCATTCAGCCTCCATGACATTTCTTTTCTTTCCTTTGGGGTCTATACATCGATTTATACCCCATATCCTCACGCAGGTACCCAACTAACCAATTCGGTGAATCAGGTTGACGCCTCCACGTCCCCTACCCGTATCATCGACTCGACTTAACCGAATCACCATCGTCTGCTTCCGTCTCTCAGGAACGGTCGCACCTCAAATACCACCGCCATGACCACCATGGTATGTGACTAGACATCTCTCGACCCTTGCGGGGAACGATCAGCTAGCTCTTGTCCGTGTTACGGTCACCAGTGCTAACATTCTTGTCATCCACAGGATCTACGTGTCGGTAACAAGTACCGCATCGGTCGAAAGATCGGTTCGGGCTCTTTCGGCGATATTTACCTGGGCACTAATATTATCTCTGGGGAGGAAATTGCCATTAAGCTTGAGAGCGTCAAGGCCAAGCATCCCCAGCTTGAGTATGAAGCCCGAGTCTACAAGTCCCTGGCCGGCGGTGTCGGCATCCCTTTCGTCCGCTGGTTTGGCACCGAGTGTGACTACAATGCCATGGTCTTGGACCTTTTGGGCCCCAGCTTGGAGGATCTTTTCAACTTCTGTAACCGGAAGTTCACCCTGAAGACGGTCCTCCTCCTCGCCGACCAGCTCATCTCCCGCATCGAGTACATCCATGCTAAGTCCTTCATCCACCGCGACATCAAGCCCGATAACTTCCTCATGGGCATCGGTAAACGTGGCAATCAGGTCAACGTCATTGACTTCGGCCTGGCCAAGAAATATCGGGATCCCAAGACTCATTTCCATATCCCCTACCGCGAGAACAAGAACCTCACTGGCACCGCTCGATACGCCTCCATCAATACTCACCTTGGTGTCGGTACGTTGCCATCTATTATCTCTCCCTCCCCCGTTTCCCCTCTACATCCACGCTGTTGCTAATACCTGTTTTCTAGAACAATCTCGACGTGATGACATGGAATCTCTTGGTTACGTCATGCTTTACTTCTGCCGCGGTTCGCTTCCCTGGCAGGGTCTGAAGGCTGCTACCAAGAAGCAGAAGTACGACCGCATCATGGAGAAGAAGATGACCACCCCGACCGAGGTTCTTTGCCGTGGCTTCCCTAACGAGTTCGCCATTTACCTTAACTACACTCGTTCGCTCCGTTTCGACGACAAGCCTGACTACAGCTACCTCCGTAAGATCTTCCGTGATCTCTTCGTCCGTGAGGGCTTCCAGTACGACTATGTCTTCGACTGGACCGTCTATAAGTACCAGCGAAACTTGAATACCAGCTCTTCGTCCCAGGCTGCCAATGCCAACGCTGCTGCTCAGGGCGGTGGTGCCGCGAAGCCGAATCCCACTTCGTCCCGCCGACGACCTCAGGATCCTGAGGGCGAACACGGAGTTGACCGACTGTAAGTGCTAAGCCGGACGCCTTTATGTTGTCAATTCAATATTACCTTTTGACCCTAGAGCGGATTAGTGCTCTATCAATTACATTCCGCTAATATCAATTAGTGGACGATAAGCGGACTATGATGAGAGCCCCCGAAGGATTGTGCCTCTAGTACGGTGGCCCGCGAGATTTCCCTCAAAATCCCGTCCCGCCCGCTGCTGTACATACAACCGTTTTTCCCATGATCATAGTTTGAACCCGTGGACCAGGTGTATACCGGCTCTTTCGACCGGATCCGCGACCCCCAATGCCACCAAATGCAGTTTGTAGCTCGGAGCGGACTGCTGATTCGTCGGCCCTGGCCTGCCTTGGAGCAACATCTGCATGGCGTGTCGCGTGCTAGACCCTAGTCACGATGCATCTCATATAGCATGGGTTTTCCTTTTTGCGTCGTTTCCTTTTTCGTTCTGTCGTGGTTTGGGATTGTTACTACATGGCTCGGGATGATATTCAGTCTAGAAGCCCGGTTCTCCACCGTCGTCAATAGCGATGGTGTGTAGCACTGTGCTTTGACGGCTTGGATCTCGCTCGAACGGCATGTCCGGTGCCTTTTTCGGAAGGTACTACGCTGAGAGGGGGGAGAAGATTGGCTGTTGTTTCGGGCATCTCCTAGTACAAGTCCTTCTCGAACAGCGGAGACCGTCGATACCCCATCCTGATCCAATCCAGATGACCAGATGGACAGTGATCCTCGAACCCCATCTTTCTATTTCCTAATTTCCCCAATTTCCCCAATTTCCCCAATTTGTTTTCTCGTTGATGTTATTTCCTTTGCAGCGAAGCGTCGTGCCGAATGTCCGTCCGTCTCATCGTTCTGACACCCGTCAATACCATCCGTTAATGTTAAGAAGGCCACCTCCTCGCTGGTTTTGTGGGAGAACGTTTTGCGTTAACAAAGCATGCGGACTGGACATGACCGTTTTCCCTCGGGCGTCAACGCTATTTTGTTCTCCTTTTGGTTTTGTGGATGTTTATTGCTTGCGATCTGGAAATGGCCTCGGCCAGTCTTTAATTTAGCGGAATGTTTCTCTACTGCTTCAAGGGCTCTGTCCCCGAGCCAGTGAGATTCTTCCTCGATCTCGTTCCCGGCGATGGTTTCTCCTAGTTCCTCGACTCGCAGACCCGGCCTTCACAAATTCACGACCGTCCGACTCTCATGCTTTCGCCCCAGCGTAGTTCAATCATGAACTTCGCGACGTCGAGGGAAGCCAGGCACATTACACAGCGGGTAGTATTTAATTCTCTTAACTAGCATCGAAATTCAAGTGCGCTCTCCTTATATCAAATTCTCCTCTGTAATTCGTGACGTCATAGATCGGATCCAAGCAATGCCCTCCATCCGCGCACGACTACATTCCATCCTCCCAAGCGAGAATGCAATGCTGTTATGCCTTCACTAGGTAGATGTATTCCTTCGCTTCAATTTCCCTCAGTACCAAATACCTCGTTACATAACGTGTCGGCACTTTTCTAAAGTACAGACTCACTCTTGTTAGTTATTGAGCGGCGTTGTGTGACTGGCATTCTCTTAGCTCGAGTCGTGGCGGCTCTCAGCAAGACCAAACCTCTGGTCCAGGAACAGCGTAGGATTGAGGGATCGGGTAGTAGATATTGATGACCAGGCCCGGGTCGTTCGCCGTATACGCCCCAGGCAAAGAGACGAGGGGCTGGGGGTTTCCTTTCCCTCCTCCAGTTACGTGCAGCTGGGCGCATGAGATGTAGAACTGGGCACCTCCAGGGGAAGAGGCTGTGTGGAGACCTATTTGTTCTATCCGGAGGAGGTAGTCGCCGTCTGGGATGCATTTGGGTATGGTAACTTGGAGTTGGGCTTTCCCTATTTTTTTATCACTAGAATTAGCGGCGTGCCCTTTACATTAGAGGCTAGCAAACTTAAGAAAACAATTTCAAAATGCCCAAACGGCTCTTTATTCCTCACCAGTGTTTGGCCATGTGATACTGGACGCAGTAATGGCGGGCTTATCCTGAGAGATTTTGAACCAGACGTTTCCCGTGCCGTTAAATTCGGCAGCGGACACACCATCGGGAGCTTTGGCCATGTAGAAGCTCAGGGGACCTGGATGATATGCGGCCGGGCTTGAAGTGAAGCCAACGGTGTCTCCGGCTGTGACGTTGGCGATTTCGGTGGATGAGCCGTCGTCTGTGGCTTGATAGCATCGGATCTCGGGCGAAGTTACGTCGACGACTGGAGCGTTACTATAGTGGTTTTCGGTGATGCGGACGTATCCCCATTGCGTAGTCGGTTGTCCATGCAGGACGAGACTGTCGAAGACATCTTGGTGGGGAGCATTAGGGCCAGTATCACAGCTCGGTCTTCGTTGGTAGAGGTAGAGAGGGACTCACAGTGGGCATAGCCCAGGGCCAAGAATAGGATGCCCAAGGTAAATTTCATCTTAATCTTTGAGATCTTATGTGTGGTTTTGTTCGCCTTTCGTCTGGATTCTTCCTCGAAGTTCGGCCTTTGGGACGCCGTCTACATGGGCCCAGCGCCGTCAGTAGGACTGCAGCTATCCTACTTATATAGCCACAATCGCTTGGCACCATATCCGAAATCCACGTCATTGAAGACTACTCCAACCTCGCGGACGCAACCATCACGGTGGTAAACCTAGCCATTCATCCACTAACATCGCCTCCGTCCAGGTCCGAAGGACGTGAGCGGGTTTTGGCTTGTGATCAAATACTTGCTCACTCCATATTACCTCCACATGCCGCGTGCCTTGGTACAGGCTGTGGTTCTTGTTACCGGGTACCGGCATTGGGGAAGGGTGGTGTGTGTCGATGCTTCTCGATATTAACTCGATATTGAAAGGCTCACGCACAGGTGCATCCGATGAGCCGAGTTTCCGCCGAGTTTCTTCGGGACAGTGGGAGGGAATCATCACCCAACATTGGGATCTGAGTGTGATTTTCTGGAAGGAAAATAGTTAGCCGGGGGCGTTGTGTATATGGAGTATCTAGAGGATTTCGTTTTGCTTTCTGAACATGAAATGTTGTGACTTGTCGGATGCGGCATACACATATCGAGGACCCTGTTTAAGCCAATCCTACGAAGTTACAAGCAAACTCAACGACGTTTGTATCATATTTTGCAAATAGAACCATACGGTTGCGTAGGCGTAGCTTATTTAGCAGAGTTAGTACTCCATCTTTAAATATTAGAGTCTATATACGTCAAAAATAAGTTAAAAAAAAAAAAAAAAAAAAAAAAAAAAAAAAAGCAAGAGCTCACTGAACAACGAGAGCCCGTATCTTTTAGACCCTTTAGTGATTCTTATCAACCTGACCCTGACCTTAACCCTAACATGCCTATGGAATATCCCAACCTAGCCAGCTAGTCATTTTCTCAACAGCCTACATATATGCAAAAGCCAATACAAGAGAGTGCTGCCTTTACCTTGGTGGCATTTGCTCTCGAAGCAGCCATCATTCTCGCACCCCAAAACTTAATAAGATCTCCATTATCTGGTTTTTCCATCCATTATTGCGACCTCTAGCGCCGTTCACTGTCTATTATCCCGCACATTTGGGTCGGCGCCGTGCGCAAGAAGCGTCTTCACGGTCTCATGGTCATCGTTCTCGATCGCGATTAGTAAGGGCGTCCGGCCTTGGGTGTTCCTGGCATCAATATCGAACCCGTAACGCAAAAGTAGTGTAACGGACGCCGGTCGCCGAGACTGGACGGCCAAATGAAGTATCGAGTTAGGACCCCGTTCCGGGCTCGAATCTGGACATGACAGTAGTCCGTCTTCCTCCATCGCATGGAGGGGCTTATCTTGGCCCGGTGATCCGGACTCTTGAGCTTCATTGACTGGAGGTAACTGTCCTGGGATTAGGTTGTTTAGTTCAATTGACAAAGTGTCGATGATATTAGGTGGTTTGACCGGGCTACTTACGCACATGTTCTGCAGTAATTCGAGACCGGTATCGGCATGACCCCCGGCGTCATCCATCAGTGTCAACGGTGTGGATGATCCCGCCCTATGAAGTAGCTTTTGCAGCTCGTCGGTCTCGGGAAACTGCAGATCCCATTCCTGAGTGTCTGGTGTTGGGACCTCCATGTCCCTTAATGCGCTGAAAGAGAGGCTCCTTGACAGAAGCCCAACTGTCGTTCTTCTTGAACCTGCCTATGTCCCCTCATGAAAGACATTGCCGAGGAGTGCGAGCTTGCTTTCAAACACGCCATCGGACCCTGCGAGGACTGGACCGGTGTCAATATTTGGCACAAACTTGTCCCTATTATCGCGCAGACATCCAGTCGGGTTTTCATAGGACCGGAGCATTGCCACGATCCGGAGTACATTCGCTGTATCATTCAATTCGCATCCCAGGTCTTTCAGGCGGCGGGAGCCCTGCGTAAGTCAAATATGTCGCAATAGCCCGTTACTCATTAGATATCCTTGTACTAATTTGCCAATATTGAATAGGTCGGTGGAACCCATGGCTTCGACCTGTAGTTTATAGATTCATCCCCGAAGTCCGAGCCGTCTGGAACTCGTACGAGACAATGATAAAGATTATGACTAGAGTGGTCCTGCCCGTCTAGCCGACATCGAAGCTGGAAACCCTACCCAAGACATGGTGACTTGGAATATACTGAATTCTGAGCGTGGAAAGAGAAGCTCCATTTAGAGTTCAGGCACATGCCTAGCTAGTCCTATCCATGGCGGCAATCCACACATCCTCATTGACCGCGTCTCATATCCTCTACGACCTCGCGGCCCACCCGGAGTACATCGGGCCCTTTCGCACCGAGCTCGATTCCGTCCTCTCCACCTAGTTTGACCTATGTCTCGATAAGAGCAGCATTCCAAGGCTCAAGCTCCTCGATTCCTTCTTTAAAGAATCGCAGCGCCTGAATCCTCTTAGCATCACAGGGTTCAATCGCAAAGCTATGCAGGACATGATCCTCCACGACGGCGAGATGATCCCTGCAGGAACCCACATTGTGTGCCCCTCGGCGGAGGTCATGAGAGACCCGGAGTTCTATTCCAACCCGGATACTTTCGACCGTTATCGCTACTTTAATCTGCGATCGCGATCCGAAGAAAGAAACCTGCATCATTTCGTGTCCGTGAGCATCGACAATATGAACTGGGGATATGGTCCTCATGCCTGTCCCGGGCGGTTCTTCGCCAACACGCAACTCAGGGTGATCGTCACACATGTCTTGCAACAGTATAACTTGAAAATGCCCGAGGGAAAGGGCAGACTGGGGACTGTCATCATGCCGAGTGGCCTTGGACCAGAAGTAAGTCAGGCGTTGCTTATGAAAAGGAGGAGCTGAGGTTTGTCAAGGGATGCAAGATAGCCGATCGCCGCCAAACCACGCTAAGTCATCGCCGTAAGCTGAGATTCGCTAAATACCTTCAGTGCAGTTCCCTGGGGAATCTGATTGGTCTTTCCCCACCGCTCTATAGGCATTTGCTAGAGTTAAGAGACTGAAAGCATTCCTATTCTTGAGAACTTCAATGGGAAAAGAGCCCTAGCTTCATTTGAGGATATATCTCAATTAATACAGCCTATGACTGAGTATTCTACTTAATCACATATGCTAACTATTCACCCATCACCTATTTATATAGGCACTGCCATCACTAAATCATTCCTCATTACTACCTCTAAGCTATGATGACCCAGAAGCTATATATTAGAGATATGTAGGGACCCCGGCCGCCCCGCGCGAGGAAATCACCTGGTTGTTGGTCGCGAAGGCCCGACAGCATCTGGTTTCTGGTGCTGCTGGATGCGGTAGAGGTCCGGGTCGTTGTCGAGGACGTGGAGGTCCTGGGGGGCGTCGGGTGCAGGTCGGCGAGAAACGAGCCGCCAAGATAGCCCAAAGCGCCCGTAATGAGTACGTTCAGTATGGCGTTTGCCGGCGGTGTCTGATGAGCAGTCCTATGTTGCTGGGGCGTACATCACAGCTTCATGTGGCTGCTATACTACATTTCTAATACAGGTCAACAATATCAAGGTCGCTTCTTTACTTTGGGTTTTTTTGTCACTTATGCCCAAAGTTTTACCGGAGCCGGACTTTGGCATTGTTTTGCCTAGTGGATTTTCTCGTGTTAGTAGGTGACAAGTCAGTTAAAAAGTTCCTCACAAGACATTATTTCCCAACTGGGCTTTGTTAATAGTGGAGGCTTGTTGAGCGTGATGCGTCGACCCATTTGCGTAGAAGACCTCCTTGTCCACCACATGGATGTCACCGTCAGCCTGCGCCTAGCCATTGCATTTGATAAGCTAAATCTAGCGGAGGCAAACCGCAGAGACGGCGCGCCCTATGCTCCGTATCATTTACCGTCGAGTCTGCACTATTCCACCAATGCTTTCCCAGCTGAGGCCGACATCGTGTCTGACTATACATGGCAATCTAGAAAGGGGGTATGAACGTGAAAGCATCCTTGGCATAACCAGTGCGTCAGGGATAGCATCAAAAAAAAACTATAGACACAAGTGAGAAAGCCAATGGCCTACAGTTATAACCGGTTGCAGACCAAGCTCTGTCATCTTTGGAGCTGATGGGGCAGTGAAGCAATCATGATTGATTTCCCTCTGATCCATTTTGGCACCCTATCACTAATCTTCAGTAATCGTCGTCACACTCGCTTTCGTCCCCACTTCTAGAACCGCGCCAGTGTTTCTCCGCAGGGTGCTCGGGTGGCACAAAATCATCCACAGCGCCATATTCCAACAGAATCTGAGCCGTAACCCTATTCCGTATCGACTTTTCCTCCCTGGCTGCCTTTAGTGGATTATGATATCTGCCACCGCGGAGGGTCAGGTCAGCACCGCTTTCCACCAGCTGCCGCACAATGACCTGGTGGCCTCGGAACGCTGCCGCCTGCAGGGCCGTGCCATAGATGCCCCCGGTCTTGTTCACCTCGGCTCCGTGCTCGAGCAAGGTGCTGACCACGGCCTCATTTCCATGATAGGCTGCGGCTTGGAGGGCCGATCCGTAGCGGCCACCGTCGCCGCCAGGCGAGGCACCGTGCTCCAGCAGCTTGTCAACGATTGTCTCGTGTCCAAAGCGCGCAGCAGCCTGCAGAGCCGTGCTGTAACGGCCACCGGCAGTTTCCGGCCGAGCACCAAGTTCAAGCAGTTTGTTGACGATTGCTTCCAGCCCAAAGCGAGCAGCGGCCTGCAGAGGACATCCAAAGTAGCCACCGCTCTTGTTGACATCGGCCCCAGAGTTGATAAGGAGTTCGAAGACCTGAAGAAGAGTCTCATTCTTGTCGTGAAACTTTTGAATGACATCTTGCAGAGGCGTGCCAAAGTGTCCTAAGGCGTTGACGTCGGCACCGAGGTTAATAAGTAGTTGGTGATGACGTTCAGTTCGGTGCAGCAGCCCATCGTACTTGTCATCTTCAACAACCTCCGCCCCCAAATCCAGCATCATCTTGATTATGGCATCGTCGTTACTTGCTGCCGCGGCGTGCATAATGCTGCCGTATCGGCCTCCTCGCATGTGAATATCAGCTCCGTGCTCGAGCAGCACACGCACGGCGTCCTGCAGTCCCCGTCCTACTGCAATCTCCAAAGCGTAACGTCCGTCGCTTGTTCGACGCAACGGGTCCGCTTCGTTCTGAAGCAGCAGCTCGAATATCTCTATGCTGAATTTATACGACAGGGCTTCCATTAGCGGTAGAACGTCTTTTCCAAGGTTCGGGTCTGCCCCCGAACGAAGAAGAAGCCGGCATAGGTCCTCATGCCCATACGTAGCAGCCACACTTAGAATCGTGCCATCTCTCCCTTCGCTGACGAGGTTGACATTGGCTCCGCGATCGATGAGTAGTGCGATGAACTTTTGCTGGGCATGAATCGCCGCGCGCATCAAAGGCGTGCCGTTGAATCCGTCCGCATTAGGATCAGCCCCATAGTCCAGCAGAATTTTGGCTATTTCAAAATTGTCATCGCCGTCGAATGCAATATCTCCGAGTGCCGTGAGACCATACTCATTAACGCCATCTACTTCGCCGCCACGACTTAACAGCAAAGCAAGAGTGTCTGCATGCCCTCTACCCGCAGCAATGGCAACCGGAAAGCCATCTCTCGAATTTTCGTCGCGGCCATTAGGATCGCTACCGTGATCGAGCAGAAATTCAACCAGATGAGTCATGCCGGAACGCACGGCGCTGGCCAAAATCTGGGGATTGGAGAAGTCGGCACCTTTCTCGATCAACAACATGGCGGCGGCATCACGGCCACCTAGCATTGCGATCTGAAGTGGGCTCGCGTCGGTATCGCCGTTGGGATTGGCTCCCTTGTCTAGCAAATTGGCAACGAACTCAGGAGCAGCCGAGACCGCAGCAGCCAGCATCGCTGTCAGCACTCCCTCTTGATCACCGATCGGCGGCCGAGACTGGAGGATGATCCGAATGGCATTATCTTCCAACTCTACACAACTGCGGCCGGTGTTCTTGCAAATGGCCTTGACTGCTTGGACGAAGGCTGGACACCAATAGTCGAGCTCGGGATAGTCTGTTAGCACCCTTCTTACGATTTCATGGTTGGGCAACGTAGATGCGGTTCGTAAGATCGCCCCGGCCACCTCGAGGTCCAGCTTGGCATCATTCAGCAGTATGTCGGTGATGTCGCCAAGCCCCATGATGAAGGCGAACTCCACTGGATAGTAATAACGGTCACTTGAGGGGGGAAACGCGCCGTACTGGTTGTGCCAGAATTTCTCCCAGTCATCCGTAGACACTTCTCGCAGCCGAGGGAATGGGATCAGACCACAAGCAGAGCGGTTTGCTCCGGCAGAAACCAGCATCTCTACCAGATCCTTTCTCTCATCGCGTACGGCGAGATGTAGCGGAGTTGTTTTTTGGTGAGTTTCAGAAGAAGGATCCAAGTCGTGTTCGAGCAGACGGCGAACAACTCCAGGCAGATTTAGCTCTACTGCATGGTGGAGTGGGGTGAACCCTTCCTGGAATGAAAACATATCATGACCTCCTAATCTGCGGTTTGTGTAAACACGATAATCTTGAGAGTAGAAGACTTGGCTGTAGCTGCTAAAGAGACCCGGGTGCGAATACACTTTCCATGCAGCGCGCTCGATTTCCGGCGACGCCGGGCTCGGTGGCAAGTGGGTATGCCATTTTCTCGCGGCATATGAATAAAGGGGGTACCTCTGCAGCCGCTGTTGCATCTTCCGCTCGCTGTCCAGCCACCCGTCCCTAAACACTGGGAGTGACAGATATGCCAGGCATGCCCTGGCGACGTGTTCTTCCGTCAGTGGCGCAAATTTGTCAGGGTTCTGGGAAAAGTATTCCTGGATGGAAAAGTGGGCGAGTCGGAGGTTCTTGTCCCCGTCCATAATGACGAGTCCGCAACAGGCCTCGACCAGCTCCTCAATGTGGGGAATGTCGTCGGCGCCAAATGTGTCGTCTTCATCTTCCTCCTCGGTGTAGTAGACCTCCATGGTGACGGCGTGAGAAATGGCGCGAAAGTCCAATGGTTCCTTTGCATAGGCCAGCCAGAGCAGCGTCGGCATGGCGAGATCGGTGTCTACGATGCGGTGCAGAGTCTGGTCGAATACCCCGTATATGCTTTTGGGCATGCTTTTCAGTGCCCTGATAATTTGGGCCTTCTTCCACCCCTTGAGGATCTCGTCCAGTTGCAGCGTAGCCCACAGAAACATGCCTTGGGCCTGGGCGACAACGGCCTCGACAATTTCTTCTCTCAGCTCTGGTGTCATGATTCGCTGCATGGTAGTACTGTTTTTCCTGCCCTTGATCTTATGGGCGACAAGACGGCGGAGATCATCGGCGTGTGCATGGATTTCGATTTTGTGCCAAACAGATGCTGTGCTAGACGGGCAATCGATCGAAGGCCGGCTGGTCACAAAAACTCGCGCTCCGTGGTCTTGGAGGTTGGTGATAATGTCCAAAATTGGCATTAAATATTGTCCGCGACACTCGTCGAGGGCGTCAATGATGATAAACGGCATTTCGACCTGGATCAGTAGAGAGAACAACGTCTCCGAAAGGCCGTCGGAGAGATGAGGGCGTGTTTTGGCGATGTTGGCGCTGTGTCGTTGGTGCAGATCTTTGACTTCCAATGGAAGCTGCGGAAGGGAGCCTGCTAGTTGCTTCAGCAATGTGGCACAGAACATTTGTTGATCTAACTCCTTTTCCCGCGCATAGTCAAAGTACCAGTAGGCGACAGCTGCTGTGCCATTCGCGGCCTTGGACGCAAGATGGTTGATCACCGTCGAACTGGCAGAGTCAGCTACTGATGCCGCGCCTTTATCCGTCACTAGACTCACGAGAGGTATGTTTTTCCTGCCCCCGGAAGCCCATGGCACCAAAGCGACCGGGCCCCTTCGCTGCCGTTGGTAAACTCGACAAACTCCGGCGACTCCAGGAGCCACTCCCCCGTGCTGGGAATCGTGCGTCGGAGCAGAAGGTCTAGTTTCTTTTCGGGCTCGTCCGCAAAGGACGCCAGCCATTGGAGCGTTTTCTGTCTTTCCAATTCTAGACTAACGTTAATATTCGTGAATTGTTTGATCCGCGCTAGACTCGCACCTACCTCGCCGAGTGTTCTCTTGATTCTCCTCCATCGTCACCACTTTAGAATGGGTGCTGCTTAACACAGTCCTGTAGGAAACCGGCTTAGCGCCGAACAGCTTCGGAAGAGAACAAACGGGGCGTCTCACGAGGCATCCACGGCCAGCGCATTGTGGAAGAGGCCACGATATCTCGACAGTTTCTGCACAATTTTGGTCGTGTCATCTTCGGCCAAAGGCCACTTGAGACGGTTCACTGCTGTTTTAATCTTCCCGGCGCTTGACATCTTCTCAAGCTTTTCCTGCAGCTCTTGAATGTCTCTCTGGCACGCTTCCAACGACAGCTGGAGCTGGGTAAATATCCGGGGGTGCTCGGGGGATGAGGCGTCGTCGTTCGCGATGGTGGCGGTCATCCCAGTCAGGACCGTGAACAGGGCCGTCAGCTCGTTTCTCAAGTCATCCTGGGCCTTGCATGCGCCTTTCACACCCGAGCCATATTTGTAAGTGCTCGAGACGAACATTACTAGCCCGGTGACCGATGCGAGAACGGAGAGTGGGTCCATTTTAGCGGGTTCCTAGTAGCCGTTGAAGAAAACCAAACGTGTGTCAGGGGCCCGGGAGCAGAAGACGGCAAAAATATAAAGTAACAACAAAAATAACAATAAAATAACAATAAATATACTACGAGCAAGTAGGTGTATGGCAGCGGGGTATGGGGTTAGCGGGGTCGACAAGACATGAACGCCAGGTGAAAAATAAAATAATTGATGTGTGATGTAAAACTCAGCCACTTATACAGTTGCACGTGTTGGTCTTACACTCATCACGGAGTCCACCGCTGGACAGGGCGAGGCTCCAGCATGGGACAGGATAATCCTCGGGTATGCAACTCATAAATGTTCCTATATTCTATCTATATTCTGGTGAGACGTCGTCTAAAAAAGATCTATTGTCGATTATAACAGAATTGCAAGGTGAAGTGCCATTTGGAGGTAATTAACACAATGGCCCTCCAGATCCACCTCGCTCGCTCTAACTGCCCCTTGGTACCCTCGGAACGGCCTCGCAGATGAAACCCGGATTAGATTATTTCATTTTGTCTTGTCCTTCTTCGCATATACCTCCTGCATATACCAATTAACTGCTCTCTGCAACCCCTCCTCCGTGCTGACTCGCGGCCGGTACCCCAATCTCTCCTTGATCTTGTCAATCGAAAACGTCCGCTCGATCGTGATGAGCCTCACAACCCTGGTCGTCAATAGCGGTTCCTTCTTTCCAAGGGTGAGCCCCCAGACAAGCCACTGCACCAAGAATGCGCCAGCCATAACGAGCCACAGCGGAATGGCCCAGATATCCTCCTCCGCCACGGGATACCCGGCCATCCTCGCAGCCATCCGGTTGATCTCCCAGAACGGATACCGCTCATCGTTACGCACGAAAAACGCCTCGCCTTCTACACGCTGCGATTCAGGAAGCGGCGGAGAGGATGATGCGGCGACCAGGGCCTTAGCGGCCAGGACCTCGGCATACGCGACGTTCCCCACGTATGTGATATCCATCAGGTTCTTGCCGTCGCCGAACTGAAACCGGGCTTTTCTCGTGTAGGCATTGCGGCACAAGTTCGCCGTCACGAGTAGGTCTCCCTCCCCATGAATTGTCGTCGGGCGAATAGAAGCCGTCAGCAAGCCGCCAACGCGGTTTGCATTCAGCACAAGCGTCTCGGCGACGGCTTTCGTATGCGCGTAGTGTTCCGGCTGTTGTGGGCGGTAGATGACGGGGGCCTCTTCATTGGCGTCACGCAACGGAACATAGTGGTCGTGTATGATGGACGTGCTGGACGTGTACACGAAGGCTACGGTGCCGGCCCGCTGGGCGCACTCGACGAGATTCTGCGTCCCAGTGATGTTGACCTTGTCCAGGAGATCATGGTTGACCTGAAGCGGGTGCGGCGACACGGTATGGAAGACAGTCTTGGGTTTGACCTTGGCGAAGACCATCTCAACTTGGGATTTCTGAGTGATGTCTCCGCTATAGTAGGTGACACGTGGGTCACGATTCGCGTCGGTACGCAGATCCAGGACCGAGATCGATGCCGAGGAGTCCTGCTCAAAGACCTCGCGGATTATGTGGTGACCGACGAAGCCGCAGCCCCCGACGACAAGGATTGGGCTCAGGGAGGCCATTGTGGGTATTAAGGAACCGGCGCTTTGGCGGGCATTAGTGGGCACTAGCTTGCTAACTAGTTGCGGAAGTTGGAGTCAAGGTTCCGAAGCCAAAAATAATGTTGCATCGGAAGGACTTGCCAGATCTTCTCGGGTCCGTGCGAGTCATGTGATCGGACTCAATTTGAGGAAGAAAAATGATGAATAAATCTATGTATCACAGAAGGTGCAGACTGGAGAACCTTCCAACTTCAACAACTCGTATAAGTTGCACCTCGAAAAGTCTCGTTTGACCCCTCGATACCGCCCTCAAGAGTCCCAAGCATACGCGCAGAGAAGCCTCCCTAGTAGAACACAACTATTCCCGTTGTAATGTTTACGCCGAGAACGGACCCGTCGTCCAACCGGTAGCGAGCCTATAGACCTTGCATCAAGCCCGTCGATGCAACGGGCGGATATTCCGAATTGGCGCCCCAGGGCCGCACGGAGAGGGCTCCCGGCGCACATCTAATCTCCAGTACTTGGCCTTCTTTGGCCACATAGCCCGAGACATGCTCGGTCATGGCAGGATCGACGGCATCGAACCAGGGTGATTGAATTGGGTCCTACACTGCCGTGTCCCCAGCACCAGGTGTAGACGCTACCTAGCAACGGCGCATCACCCCATGTCTCTTCGTAGTAACCCACGCCATCGGTTGTGGTCAAGGGCGAACCATGGATTGTTAGGTCGGTGGTAACGTCGGCATCTGGCAGAGCATTGGCCCAGAAGACGTTTGGCATCATCTGTAGCGTCTGGCCCGGCTTGTTGAGGGAACACGGTATATGCGTCGGTGCTCGCTGATATCGTATTCTATTAGTGATAAGATGAGAAGGCGGCAGAGTGGCATTCGCTTCAAAACGTACTGATTTCAGATGGATGGTGTCGTGGACGTCAATGTCGGCATTACCTATCGTGACAAGGTACTCGGCACCGGGTTTGTCGAGTCTCGTTTCCGTGTAGCTGAAGCCCGTTCCTTCCCAGTTCGCGTATATGCCATTCTCATCCACCACGATGGTCGCACCACCGGTGGCTACAGCCTCCAAGCAATAGACCGACCCATTGGCAAACATCCATTCATTGTGATGGAGTATGGGCCTCAGAGGTAAGGATTCCGAGTGGCCTTTGGGCCATTGTCCCAGAATATCAGGACAAAAGAAGCATTTGTCGAGTCGGACACAGCGCTGAAGTACCACCTAACACATTTTCAAAGCCGATGTTAGCTAGAGGAAGACGACGACCACCACCAGCAGAAGTAGTAGTCATATACCAATCATAAGTGGCCTCATTTGCTGCCCTCGGTGTAAATTTTGGGGCGTCGAGATTGCCGGCGCACGTAGAGGTTTCTGCCCACGATGTGCCAGTGCTAAAGATATTTGCGGAACCCGTACCGTACCCCGCTCTCGCTACCCGAGCCGCCATCAGAAACCATAGTAGCAGGGCTCCCTTGATGATCATCATTGTAGAAGTTTGTTTCCGCGAATAGAGATAACTTGCCAATAGGGTGAAACACAACACCGCGGGGCAAGTAAGGGAATAGGCGACACTGCAGAGGTAAGGGAGGTCGTAGTGAACAAACAATACGAAGCAAGGAGGGATAGAGACACTGAAAGACCGAATTAACCATTGGATTCAATCTGTAAGGATAGTTACAATGGATTGCTTAAGGCGTTAAGGTAGGAAATCGGCATCCACAGCCGATTGCTTAGTTAAGATCGACGGGTACAATTGCAGGCTTACAGCATGTTATTGATGTGTGTTGGCTTACTCCTTGCATTTGATGTAAGGGAGGGATGAGGCTTACGATAAGGTTGGCTTACTCCCACACCTCCCGCTTGATGGGCCATTGCGATTTTGATAATGTGAATGACTTCATTCTGGAGGGATACCTGATATATACATAGACAAGCATATATGATTCTAAACTACCCTTGCTGTTGAAGGCTGAGATAAGAAAAACGAATTTCTCTTTTCTTCGTTCGACCTGGGGGATTAGTCGTAGCTACAAGCAGCATCTACCAACCCCCTAATGAGCTTTAAGTTTATCCAGTGAAGCATCACCAAGATGGTCGAGGATCTCCTCACTCTTCTTCACAATTATCTCGTTCCCGTATCCTTCATTGTCATTGCCCTTGTGGTTGGGAAGCTATGGCGTCTCTCATCAAGATTCCAGCTCGACCCTCAAGAGCCACCCCTAGTTCGGTCTAAAATTCCCTACATTGGTCATCTTATTGGATTGATGCAACAACCACATCGATACCTCTTTGAACTCCAGTACGCTATCTGTGTCTTGTGAAGTAAGATAGTGTTACGTTGCTAACTGAATCGTCTAGTAAAAAGACACACCATCCCGTTAGCACCCTTCGCATGTTCAACGGCAAAGTCTATGTGCTCAACTCGCCATACCTTGTCCAGGCAGCTTTCAAAAGCAAAAACCTCAGTTTCGCGCCGCTGGTGGCCGAGTATGTGGGCCGGATGGATGAGCTGTCTCTGAGGGCCCGGCACATCTACGCCAAAGAGGGCATGCACGAGCGCATGATGCTGCTCTTTCAGCAGCAGATGGCAGGCACACCACTGAAGCAGATGAACACTATTGCCATGGAAGAAATAAGCTCAATCTTTCGGCAGCCTACGCAACCGCAGGGTAAAACGTTGATTGAAGTCGACAGCCTCTGGGTTTGGATGCGGAACATAATGACAACAGTAACAACCTCAACTCTTCTCGGTCCAGGATGTAATCCGTGGAAGAAGGACCCGTCTCTGATTCAATCTTACTGGTCTGTTCTCCCCCCGCTATCCTTTGTGGCACTCGCGATAGACTGAATCCATAATATTCAGGGACTGGGAGGCCGGAGATATCTCTCGCCGAACCCCATTGGCAGCCATCAAGGACCGCACGTCTCATCAGGGTCGTGTCGCCATCGAAAAGGCTTTGACTGCTTATTTTGCTCAAGAAGATTTCTCGAGGAGCGGCATGCATAAGATTTCGCGAATGACACAAGAAACGGCTGCAATGCAGAAGCAGTACGACTTCAGTGCGAGCGATATGGCAGCTGCGTACACCCAAGTCATCCACGCATCCGTAATGAATGTGGTCCCGACTACTTTCTGGGCCCTGGTCCAGATTTTCAGCAGGCCAGATCTGCTCGCCAGTTTACGAGAAGAGGTCATCGGCGCCATTAAGGAGGAGAACGTGGACAGCAACACCGGGATCCTCAAGGTTATTGTCGAAGTCAGCCGACTAGATAGTCTCTGCCCGAGACTAGTGTCAGCCTTCCGAGAGGCCCATCGTCTAGCGACGACAGCAACATTACATCGCCGTGTCGTCGAGGACACATATCTCTCAGATGGAGGCGACGTCAATGGCCGCACTTATCTCCTGAAGAAAGGAGTCACCTGCATGATTCCGACCACAGTTTCTCTCCGAAGTCCCGAGGCATGGGGCGGTGAAGCAGCGGAGGAGTTCGATCCTGAGCGCTTTCTTTCACAAACTAGCATTGATCCTGTTTCTAACCTCCGAAAGAGAGCTTACTTCCCCTTCGGTGGAGGGAAAGACCTGTGTCCCGGACGGAATTTTGCGATAGCTGAGGTCATGGGCATCATGGTGGTGCTGCTCAGCGGATTTGACATTCTAGCTCCTGATGGTAGCACATTTCCCTTGCCAAAGGTAGCCAAGCCGAGGCTGACCACGGGCACCATGAGACCAGACAAGACGGCAGACTTGAGAGCAAGGATTAGTAGAAGACCGGGGTGGGAGAATGTCGTGTGGAGCGCCGCGGTTCCTGACGTGTAACTATACCAACTAGCTCACGCACCTGCTATTTGGGTAATATGTTACATAGAACGCATGTTTGATCAGTGTATAGGGCCCTCCAGGATAGCAGCACTTAGCGCATCGGGTGCATGCTCAAATGGTCGTCAGGCGTGCCCCCCAATCAAGGTAGTTGATGAATATCTTCGCGGCCGAAATAGTAGCAGAACCGTATGATGTTCTGTCCATTTACCCTCCTCCATTTCAGATTCTCGTTCAACAATATGCTGACTTCCAGCACGGTCAGGGCCGTACGTTAGCAGTTAAGTGCTTACAGCAAGAGCAGTTGTATAGTTAGTTTAGTTAGAAGAGTTACGAATGTACAGAGGCTCTCTAGTGGAAATGGCATATCTACGTTAGTCCAAAGTTTTTGGTGCTAAACGAGCAAACATCTTGGCCCAACTTAGAGAACAAAAGAGCGGGAGAAAAATCGTTTGAAATAGTTTCAAAAGCTTCTTATCTGAAACAATATCATAAAGCGTACCATTGTATTCCCTAGTCAAAATGAATTCATTTTACATAGTCCTGAATATAGTAATGCCTATCCGCTAGAAAATTAGCGGTCAACTTGGATAGGGCAACACGAAGTGAGGGCGTGGAGATCCTCAGTAACAACTAAGTCCGGGTCTAGGTGTGTGCCTACCAAACTCAAGGTAGTCTATTGAACTCGTAGGAGATCCATAAGCTGTTCAAGGAGGACTCTCAACGAGCTTGGCCACTTCGCAGGTGCGTCACTGTAGTAGGCTGAGGGAGAAGCAGAGTCGAGGAGCTTATGCGGGATTACAGTAGAAGCCTCTTCATCCATCTCATTAATTACATGTAAGATGGCTCGAGATAATATCCAAGGCTTGTCGGCGATGAGAGGAGAAGATTTGTGTACTAATTATGCCCACTTAAGGAGCATGCTTCGCTCGCGTTCCGTACAAACAAGAGACAAAGTTAACATAATACACTATATGCTGCCTAAGCGCATCGATATCTACATGCCCCGCGATAATCAAGGGTGATTGAGCTGGCGGTAAATCTCACCGAAAGCGTCGGCATTGTCGTCAAGAAAGCCGCCAGGAGTAAGCCGGTACACTCGATCGAGCGCTTGATCGAGGCCCCTTTTAGTCGGCCCAAACGGTTGTCTCACCTGTGCTTGGGGATGCCGAGCCTTGTCGACGCGGAATTGGCCCGTGGCCAAGACTGGATTGGGCCTCCTTCGGACATGTCTTGGCTTTGGTTGCGCGGTATTCGCTGGTGCAGGGCTAGCCAGGGCCGGGGCAGGACTTTTATCGTGAACTCTCGGACTCGTGAGGGGCGGAACTTGGTTTTGCGGAGTGGTGAGTCCTTTTCCACTGAAGCATTTGACGAGCATCTGTGCCGCTGAAGCGCGATCCTGTGGGTCAATCCTCGCCATCTCTCGGATGACCGAGACAGAGTCGGCCTTGGAAGCTAGTAATAGAACTGCTTGTCGAACCTCCTCATGAGTCTTAAACCTCTTCGAGGCCTCACGGAACCCTTCCGCATCCAATGTCCACAACATCGTGACATAGAGTGACCATACATCAGCTTTGTGGGTCTGCTTCCCGCCTTGAAACATCTCTGGAGCCATAAACAACGGGCTACCAGCAAAAGTTGACGCAATGCCTTGGCGGTTGCTGAGACCGAAGTCCCCCAGCTGGAAATGGTATTCGCCCATCCGTGAAATGTAGAGGATGTTTTCTGGTTTCACATCCCGGTGAATGATGCCCTCCACAGCAAGACAATCGATTGCTTGAAGCATGTGGTGAAGGACGGTACCGCCCAGGTCATTAATATGGGTAGAGCACCCGCCTGCGACTAATGATTGCAGGGTCCCCTCCATTAAACCCATGAATATCTCCACATTGCCTGCCTCCCAGCCCCGCGAACCGATATAGTCTACAACATGCGGCTAGTATTGATATTAGTTCATGTACATTAGGTTTTCAAGTAGCAAAACTCACATGGCTGATCCTCGAAAGGATCTCTACCTCACGTCTGAGCGAATCGTGTAGTAATGCCTTCCAATCTTGTTCTGTTGTTCCCGTCGGCCGCTTCAATATTTTGACAGCTAAAAGCTTGCCCGCGTCTACGTCCACTGCTTTGAATACATCTCCAAACTGCCCAGATCCAAGATCGTCGATTTTCGCATATCTCAGCTGCGGCTGTCGGCGTCCCGCGGTGTGAACTCTGGTCTCTCGTTGAGAGGGCAGGACGGTGTCGGCTTCGTCGATCGTTTGAGCAAGGCGGGGGTTCTCTTCATAACTAAGAGCAATGCTCTTCCGATTCTTGACCATCTCCGTCACTTTAGACGAGCTATTGTGCCATTTTAATTCAAACTGGACGAGGTTCCGGTTCACGCCACCAAATCCAATGGCAGTATTGGCACGATCATGCACGACGACTTTTCGAGGACGACCATACTCGAACGGAAAAACGATCTGGCCAAAAACTTGGCTCGTCTGACTGTGGGATCTGTCGTAGAACATAACAATACCAGTAACCCACTCGATCTCGAACGAGCATTGGATCTTTGAAATACTGGAGCCTTCCACGAAGATATCAGCATCACCACCGCGTCCTATCGTTGCGAGAGTAGTATTGCCAGACTTGGACTGGACGTGGCCGATATCGAGAACGAGTTCTCCGTTCAACCACGAAATGAGGTGCTTATTGCATTGATGAGCGAGGACTTCTTCCGCCCGCGGGTTGCAGGGTTTAAGGGAGAATAATGCTAGTGGATGAGGTTCAGGACGAGGCATCGTTTGAATGGAAACACTAGTAATGAACTGTCGAAGTAAGGGGGTGAACGAGGACGAGGAACGGCGAGTGGAAATGAGGAGAGAATCTAAGAGAAAAAGAGACCGGAGCAAGTAGCGGGAGGGCATGATTGCCCAGGCCTTTGGCCCCAAGACGTTTTAACGCCAGTCTTTGCATTTTCGCATCTCGAGTGGTCTCTCTTGCTGTGAGGTAGGCAGTGAGGTTTCGGATTCGAGAAGCGGGCGGTTATCTGTTGGTGCAGGGCGATGCGCAGCCAATGAATGGTGGTGTTCCCGCAAATGATGCCACTTCTTGGCGCCTAAGGGCAGTGATTCGACACGCCAAATTTAGACACGGCAACATCCGTGACGTCGCACGCCCAATTTCGGCTTTCGCCTTTTCCACCTCATCTCATCTCTCATCTCTCCTTCTCCATCATCTTTACTACCCACCACGGCCCCCGGCCTACCACCCCAATTTACAGTTTCTCCATGGCGGACTCAATCCGGGGGGAAGGGCTATTTGTGGCTCATAGAGCCCTAGCGACACTCGCCCAAGACCCTCAGCGACTGGACCATGCTCGAAGACGGTTCGAAGAGTCTCCGCCACCATACTCGGCTTGCGTTTCGCACAACTCAACTCTGTCCCAAAGTCCTAACCCGCCTAGCGATGAACAGCAACGCCGCGAAGAACGAAAATGGCAGCTTAAGCGTGAACATCGCGCATCGACTCCTTATGAACAATTCGAAGCCCAGAGGATCGATGAGAGTAATTGGATCATCAAGGCAAGGGAAGATGGGATATATAGTGTGCCTCGCGGCACCAATTACCTTAGCTTTGCGGAGGAGAAGGTCAAGAAACGCTGGATTGATCAGGGTATCTGGAGGAAGAAGTGGACCCACTCATGGAACGGTCGGCCTGAAGGCCCTTGGAGGCATGAAGAGCCGCTTGAGCTGGAGTCTGAATCCGAAATGCCTTCGGAGGCGAACTCAAGACCATCTCTATTCCGCGACCCCAAGAAGGAAGAACGGGTGAAACCAAAACAGCCCGAAGTCAACAGCGAGCGGTCAGTCGCAGAGCGACTGGCTGCACGAGAACGAGAGCGCGAGGCATCTCGCCCCTTCCATCAGTTCGTTTACCAGGTGTCAATAGAACGAGAGCGGATCCAACTCGAGTTACGGGCTAACGACGCCATTGTCCCGGAATCTGCTGATATAAATTCAAGAGCCTACGAAAGGGTGAAAGCGGCCTGGGTTAAGAGAGGGATTTGGAATAGAAATTGGGGCGTACTGCCCGGGATGTCGTGGAAGCATGAGCAACCTCTTGAGGAGATGCTTCGCGAAGAGATGGGCGATGATCCTCCCCCAATCCAAGCGGATGCGCCCAGGGGCAACGGCTGTGGAACAGGAGAAGCACCTAGGACCTGGAATATATTCGCCCCCGCCCCCCACGAATCAAACCAACCGTCCGGCAACTTGATCCAATCCCCGCAAGACCCGCCGGCGGACATTATTCCGGCATCGCTCGAAGAGGGCGGAAACGCAATGGAAGGAGTATCGTCCAGTCAACGTCCATCCAGGTCCTGCTCGCCAGGGGCATCGAATCAAAACTCGTTGTCTGGTTCGGGGAATACATGTCCCCCGCGAAATGATCAGGCCAATCAATCTCCCGCCGCGTCGATTTCTCGAAGAGAGCCATCCGTTGAAGGTGGAAATTCCCAACATGCTGCGCACAATGCTCTCGGTCCAGTTCATCCATCGAAAGTGGCCAAGGTTATCAGAAGGAGTGGGCCAAAAGGCACTCGGGGACGACCGAAGGCCCCCAAACGGCCCTCGGAAGCCCAAGAATCCTCGGCCGGACGAGATGTTCCAAGGGCCCCTGCTAAGACTGCCCCTGCACAGCCCCGAAGGAGTAGGCGCTTGCAAGAAGCCGCTGAGGACAAGACAACTGCGGATATTGAAGATATTGCTGCTCCGGCGCGGCGCGGCCGCCCCAAATCGAAACCGGCGAACGCCAGTGCCGGTAGCCTGGAATCGCCATCAGCAAAACCCCAGGGAGTGACCAAAAAGCGAAGGACGCGACGTAGTCGGGGGTAGGAGGGCCAGGGTCTCATGGAGAAGATTAACGGTGACGGATTGGCAGGTTGGGATCTAAGCGGGATTTTACATAGGCTACCTTGCCTACCATAGTATTGACACCAGGCCAGGAGGTTCGGAAGAACCAGGACGCACATAGACGAGGGGAAAGGTAAGGCTGCTAAAGCCTTCAAGGAATGGGTGGCACAGCTGCCAGATAGACATACTCTGGTTTTCTCAGACGGGTCACAGAGGGAGGACAGAGCAACATGGGCGTACTCAATATGGAGAGGGGGAAAGGAACGACATGGGGAAAGGGACATCTACACACAGCAGTGGCCTTTGATGGGGAGGCCAAGGGAGCGAGGCAAGGCCTAGAGGTGGCAATGAGAATGGCGGGCACTACCCACATCACCTGCTATATAGACAACCAGGCGGTCATCCAAGGGCTTGCAAACATAGCCCCAAAGTCATCCCAAAGGGATTTCCTACGCTACCAGGAACTGGCGGAGCAGAGCAAGGGCCGGGTACAGATCAGGTGGTCACCAGGACACATAAATCAAAGAGAATGAGAGGGCAGATAAGCTATACTCAGACGGGGAGACCTACAAACTCCCAACAGACAACAAGGAGGACAGACCGACACTAGCAGGGGTGAAGGCTAGAGCCCGGGAAATCAGATGCAGGTAGCAACTAGTATGGCATAGCAAGGCAAGGCCTGGGCGGTACCTAGAAAACATCTGGAGAAGCCTAGGCTACAATGTGGGAATATATGAGGACCTAAAGCTCCTTAGACAGATACTGTCTAGGCTTATACAAGTAAGGACAGGGCTTGGGGACTTCGTGGACTACCACAAGGCTTGCCAGCATGAGAACTATGACCCATACTGCAGCTGCAGGCATGAGAAGACCAGGGAACGCTTTGTATAGCTAGAGGAATTCTGGAACCACGATAGGGATAGGAACCAGATGGATAGAATGGGACCAGGGTTAACATTCTTGACAGCACTAGAAAGTGGGAAGGCCTTCTGGGCCCTGGAGAGAGCAACGGGTTTCTTTTATGCCCAGAGACCCTGAACAGCAGCCAGGCTAGAGGGGAAGAGGGAGAAGGGGGTTCTAGAAGCCTGCGGGGGCGAATAGACTGAAGACTATAATCATTTCATTAGTTATTTTCCTTTGTACTTTTAGATAGCATAGTGGTGCAATGCCAGACCCATATATCACAGTGACAGTTTAGAATACCGGGTTGATGTTGAAGCTAAACCAGAAGATCTCTCGTAATTATAGTTATTTCATGTGCTACCTCACTCCTATCGCCCGACTTGAGGTTCAAGTGGTTGGGATTCTCCAGATGGTCCGAAGCCGGCAACGACCGATTTTCCGACTCCGCTGGCACGGACCAAGACTCTTACCGGGTCAACCAATTTACCTTCCTCGTCGCAGCGTAATGATTGGCCTAAATCTCCTGATGGGTCTGTGGCTGGACGCATGTTCCTGGTCTTAGGAAGTCAATATATATGGAACCATGCTGGACCACTCTTGCGTCGTCGATGGTGCCACCCCGTTATCTCGATCCAGGACCTGTTTTGACGTCTAAATATCTGGCTCTTCATTTTATTTCGCCTCTCAATACGAGCCCAAAATCCATTTGATCAACATGTTTTGGAGCAAATCCGTCCCGTTCAAGGCAGCGAAAGACATTCCCTCTCTTGAGGGTAAGGTAATCCTTGTGACAGGGGGCTCAAATGGTCTCGGAAAGCAATCGGTGCTAGAATATGCCCGACACAATCCCGCCCAGATCTGGCTCGCGGCACGGAATCTCGAAAAGGCCCAGGCGGCGGTAGAAGACATCAAGAAGGAGGTCCCAGATGCGCCAATTACTGTTCTGAAATTGGACCTCGCCTCTCTCCAATCCGTCAAGGACGCGGCGGCGAAGTTTTCGGCAGAATCCGACCGCCTGGATATTCTTCTCCTGAATGCGGGAGTTATGGCCATCCCGCCCGCCGTCACAGAGGAGGGCTACGAAATCCAATTCGGAACCAATCACGTCGGCCACGCCCTCCTCACAAAGCTCCTGGTTCCTGTCCTTGACAAGACTGCCAAGAGCTCCGATGCCGGGGTTCGAATCGTTTCTCTCGGCTCATACGCTCACAACTACACGGCGACGGGAGGAATTGATTTTAAGTCACTCAAGTCGAAATCCGAGAATATGTCCTCCTCTGCAAGGTATGGCCAAAGCAAACTGGCCTGTATCCTCTTCGCCCGCCAACTCGCCAAGGAGTACCCTCAGTTCACCTCGGTTTCTCTCCACCCCGGCCTTGTGAGGACGAATTTGTTCCATGCTGCCACAGACTCGCCAGCCATCCTCAGGCTTACTATGCCTCTCTGGGATTACTTCTTGGTGACTCCTGAGGACGGCGCCAAGAATCAGCTTTGGGCCTCTGTAGCCAAGGATGTCAAGAATGGAGAGTATTACGAACCAATTGGCATTCCCGGCCGGGCTAGTTCGTATGGCAAGAACGATGAGCTGGCGAAGAAACTTTGGGACTGGACGGAGAAGGAGTTGGAAAGCTACACTATCTAATTGGTCCACCTAACGACTTGGGTAGGCTTGAAAAATGTCGAAAACGAGTCTATCGAAGTATTACGTTGCCAAAGGAGCATTATTTTCGCAAGGTATGGTCGTGGTCCAAAGAGGCAGTGCAGTTGCGGATGATCGACATTGTTCCAACAAATGTATGTACGTCAGTGTAGTATTGAATTGATGCATCAATAGCATTGTAAGAAGCGGCAATGTCAGCACTTTAACTGAACCTCGTCCAATTGCCATCAGCAATGTGAAACGCATGGGCCTTAATTCTTCGTGGGAAGCCGTTTGAGGATTACTTGTCGGCCTTGATGGCCCTAATAACGCACCGGTCGGACCT